GAAAATCGTGGACTGAGATTGACGACAAATTGAATTGCTCTCAATAAATAAAAAAGGTTCACGATCAAACATCGCATTCCGAGTTTTATATTTATAACGGGCCCGGTTCTGAAAATAGCTTGCTCGATCCTCGCTTGTTATTATTGCATAACAGGGAGCAGGGTTCTTTGAAAGCGCACGTTAATGCCTTTGAAAAATACTCGACACGGCCACGAGTGAATAGAAAAAACGTTTGTTGGAATTCGGAAGCAAGTTAGAAAAAACGGCTAAAGAAATAATTAGGTCCAGCCCTAACATAACACGCCGCATTTTTCAAACAAGTCGACGCCTCGTGAAACTGCTTTTTTTTCTCGCGGATTTTTTGAGAGGGGTCTTCGAAAATGCGTTAAAATTACTACTCTAAAGTTTTGGGTACGCAAGTCTTAGCGGAACAGATTTTTAATTGATAGTTTGGCGAAATCAAAATTTGTGTTTTGGGTTCAAAAGTCCAGTAACTTTTACTCTAGAAGTTACGTCAGGATCCGGTTATTTTCATGTCAAGGACAAAAATTGTAATTTTGTTCTTTCCCTTTGTTGTCCAGGGACTTTTATTATTACAGTCAGGGCTTGCCATTCCACTGATTTTTTTTTCTGGGATTTTCTCTTAAATTCGTGTAATTTCAAGCCCTGACTGTAATAGTATAATCCCCTGGAACACAAAGGGAAAGAACTTAATTATAATTTATTTCCTTATCAAGAAAATAACCGTATCCTGACGTTATTTCTAGAGTAAAGTTACTGGACTTTTGAACCCGAAACACAAATTTTGATTTCGCCAAACTATCAATTAAAAATCTGTTCCGCAAAAAGCTGCTTACCATAAACTCTAGTGTAGTAATTTTTACGCATTTTCTAAGAACCCTCTCTTCTTCGGTCAAATCCGCGAGAAGCAGTTTCAGTAAATAGCGCAAATTGTTTTCAGGGTTTCCACCAAAAACCGTGTATTTGCAAGGCCAGAATTCGCAAGCCCTAAGTGCAGTTATGATAATTTTGGTAGTTCATTTTCAATAACAAAAAAAAAACTTATATAGTATTTGACAAGTCAGCCATTTATGATTTCTTGGCGAAAATGCAGAACAAGCTGTCCGACGCATTCTGGAAGCGCTTCTTTGTGGCTCTATTTTGTACCGCAGCGTCACTCACCCAAACTCTCGCCCGACGTAACTCGCCCCGATAAATCAAGTGTCTTTTAATTGCCACACTTTCTCCCATAACAGACTTCAAACGAAAAATGACGCTAAACCGGATCGTACTACTGGCAACTATCGATTACGATGCTTATCGTACTTATCGTTGATCATTTAGACATCAACTGTCAAATTACTGTATCTTCTCTGAAAGCCAATAAACAACAAAATAACTGACAATTTAGTTGTCGTCAAGACCATTTTTCTCCTTCAAAAACTTTCTCATAATGCAGATTTCTTGCCTTTTCGCATATGATTTTTCAGAAATGAAGATGGTGATTCCAAGGTGATTACGAGTTGGAGACTGGACATAAAGACACCAATTACTGGTGTTTAGGCGCTTTGGACTAGCGCTTCTGTTCTGGAGTTGTTTTTCTGTAAGACTGTTTTCAAGAGAAGATTTCATTTTTGGGTCAGAAATCGATGAGAAAAACAAGATTTGAAGAAGTTTTCGTAAAAAAAGTCATTTTTCCGAAGCAGCTTTGCGGCTTTGCTTCAGAAAAAGCCGCTATGCGGCTCTTCCGGAAAGCCTTTTTGGACCCTGACTCAGGTTTTCATTCATTATCTAAATTGACGAAAAACTCATGTGACCTCATTTTCCTCTCTTCAATTCGATGCCAACTTCCGGACTTTTTCCAACCTTGTTCATCTCAATTTGCCGCGCGTGAAGCTCAAGCCTGGGTTCAATCTTGGGCTGACAAGGTCGACCAAAAGAATGGTCAAACAAAAGCCGCGCGAAAATCATGATTATGGCGGGTGCATTTTTCGCGCGCTAATGAAATGAAAATTTATTGAAAATAACGTAACGGCTATCATCTAAAAATTCACTTGAGCGAATTCCTTCCATTTTAGCCCCGTTTTGAAACAATGCGGATTGATTAAGCACCATCAACAGTGCGATAATATCCCAATCAACAAAACAATCAATTGCAATTCATAGAAACCACTAAATCTTCCACGATGTTTGTGATTGCAATATTTAAGTCGCTCGTTTTTAAAGAGACTTTCAGTTGCTTTTGGAGTCAACAACTCGAATGTGCGAATTTACAACATTTCAGCACCCTTTACAAGTTTTGTTCTGTTGCAGGTTTAAAAAGATTACCTGATTTTATCTTGGCTAAAGAAGTTTTTATTCATGAAAAACTGTCTGAGCCGAAGTTCAATTTTGAAAATTGAGAAGCCGCTTGCGGCTTTCGAGCTTTGTTCGGCTACCTGAGTTAAAACCTGAGTCAGGGACTGAAAGATCTTTTATGAAAAGCCGCGTAGCGGCTTTTTTTTTTAAACGAAGCCGCAAAGCGGCTTCACGAGAATTCGAAAATCGATTCGGCTTCATTTTTACAAAAGCCGCTTCGCGGCTTTATATTTAAAATCTTTCAGACCCTGACACAGGTTTTCAGAATTGAACTTATGCTCAGACCATTCTTGAACAATAAATATTTGCGAGAAAAACGTTCGGAAAACAACATTGTAGTACAAGAGCGAATTTCAAAGGGTGCACTCCACGTGGCTGAGGCGGCTTGTGGTTCGCAGCATGTGATCAGACTTGGCCACGTTTTTTCAGATTTTCACACATTCGCTTGTTCAAGAATTTGTAAATCGACGCAAGAATTCGAGCTGATCCCAGGCTCATCCTCAATCAGTTGTCCTGTTATTAGCTCAGTAAAAACTTTCAATTTGCTCAACAAAAAATGGTTTTCGGTATTTTAAATGAACGTTAAAATGAAATCCGAAATTCGAAATTTCACAATCTGGAACTGCTCCGGAAGCTAAGTCAGACACCTGCTGAATCTGAAGGAGAGGAACACTGTTGAATTCTCTCAAGTAGAAACACCAGATCAAGTTCATTAAAACTAATGGACGCTCGAGTCGACTTTCTCTTGACATCAAATCGGGCTGAGAAATAAACATGAGACGCGCTTCTTCTTATCTCGATTAAACCAACTTTACTTCTATTCTCAATCACGTGATATCCGTCCAGCTCATCTATCAAAAAATAATGCTCTGATGAAATTTAAGGAGACGCAGGTCGATAATTTCTTCTATATCAGCATAAATAAGAGGAATCTCTTTTATATTTCTTAAGGACCCGCCAGTGGGGGCCCCCACCCTGTATCTTAGATACACCCTTAATTTCAGCAAGAAACTTTTAGATCAAAGCCTCGACTTCAACCGTTTCTATTATGATGATCTCTTGACATCAAACTTAAGGATATACAGGCCGTTAAAGGTTAGGTCGCAAGGAGCGAGCTTTTTTCGGTTTTTAGCTAAGGTATACGGTAAAACCAAAATTTTTTGAGGGTACCCTTAATTCTGAAAAAATGATCTTCACGGGGGTCCTTAAGGATGAAAAATTCTGGCCCTTTAATTGATAAAACTGGTATCTATTCCAGGAGAAAAAATGGCTGATCCAGTAGGAATACTTGGGACATTCTTGAGTGTTAGCCGCGAGCACCCGCAAAAACCATAACGATACAGAGTGCCAATTTCATTTTCCCTGAATTCGAAAATTTGAAAATAGTTTTTCTTCCTTTGATGAACCCTGGTAGGATTCAGAACAACATGTGTTTAATTTTCAGATTTGTGTCAATTACTTCGACAAATTGGGGCGATTTGACATCTGAAAATTGTGCCCCAAGAATTCAACAATTCATCCCTCCAACAATTTATCTCCCTCCTTGATCTAAAAAACCTCAGTCAAGATCTGAAATATCTTTGATTAAAAAGCGTTGTGGCTTTTACGAGAACGAAGCCGCATAGCGGCTTCGCCATTTTCGCCATTTTCGTTTGAATTCTGGCGAAGCCGCTTTGCGGCTCTATTTCTGTAAAAGCCGCTTCGCGGCTTTTTATCAAAGGTATTTCAGAACATGAGTCAGCATTTCATACCACTACCTAAAACTCGTCTTATATGAAATGTTATCATTCGGAAAGGCGACCTCTAGAAAGTGTTTAATTGGCCAATCATGTTCCTCGCAGGTGAGAATAAATCGTATCTACACACATTTCACATTGAATTAACACATCAAATTTATTAATCATAATTATCCACACCCAGCTTTGCCACAACTAAAAACTATAAATAAAGCCTTTCTCTCACCTTTCTAACAACCCACCATCTTTTCAACATGAATCTACCGAAGCAACAGAGGCCTTACGTAAAACAAAAATAAATGTGCCGACTGCGAGTCACAGAAAAAAAATGTCTTGTGGCTCCAAAAACCCGACCTTAAACACGTGTATAAAACATGGCGGCTCATTCTGGTGAACACTGATGTGGCCGATTTCCTGCAAATTACGTCTAGTTGCATTATTTATTACAAGAAAATATTGATCGGGGTTCCCTTAATGCATTTTAAAATAATTTTTAAATTATTTTGAAATAATAAAATTTTAAATTTATAATTATTTCTATTATAAATAATTTTTAATTATTAATCTTATTTTTAATTATTTATTAGAATAATTTTTTAATTAATTATACTGGCTGAATAAAATTTTGCCTTGCCAAAATTGGTACTGGCAGTACCAATTTGTACTGGGAGTCCCCGGTGGCCGTATTTTTTGACCTTCCAATTTCTTGACCTCCTAAGAGATTAAACTTGGAACGCCCCTCGTTTGCCAAGAATATACAAACTCATCAAAAATTGCCTTTGTTTTCAATTAAAAAAGCACAATCTCTTCAATAACTCATATTTGTTGGGTGGTTCCTGTATAAACAGCAAGCCGGCTATTGCTGAAAATACGGTAACATCCGTCATTAAGAAAAAAGTCATTGCGATGATTTTTTACTTTTTGACTACCTTCACCGGTATTTTCGGGGACCCGCCGGCTCCGCCATGTGAGAATTTGGACAAGTGCGCGTATTCGACGGGGGAAGATGTTGTCAAGCATAAGACCTATACTGGAACCATTTCAAGTAAGGACTGGATGTGCTAGGGTTAGGGTTAGGGTTACGATTCGAGGGTCTAGAATTCCAACGCTTACTTTTTATTAAGCGACTCGATCGGGAAGAACATGCCAAAAGTGGTCGGCTCAATATCCTCATCAACACAGCATGAATGAAATGTTCGTCGAAAGCTATGGAGAACAAGATCTCGACACCAACTATTGTCGCAATCCTGACAATATGGAGGACGGTGCTTGGTGCTACACGACCGACTCGAATAAGCGTTGGGAGTACTGTGATATACCGGCTTGCGACTGCGTTTCTTTCTACAGCGGAAATCAGGCAAATTATGAAGGAAAAATTTCCGGAACGGATTTTTGAAAAAAATTTTTCTCTGAAAAATTTTCGCGGATTTTCGCGGATTTTCTCTTTTAAAAAATCCTCCATGAGTAACAGAATCGGGCAAAAAATGCGACGTTTGGGTTGACATGCCAGATGGCTTCGATGGAACTAACTACTGCCGAAACACTGATGGTGAACCACGAGCTTGGTGCTTCTCAGAAGAATCTGACGGGACTTGGTAATTCTGTGTTCAGAAAGAATACGTCGGCACAAAATCAGGAAACGAATGCTCAGACAAAATTTATTTTCCTTGAAAAAAGGGACTTGTCTTAACACGAAAAAGTAACCCGCTCCGGAAAAGATTGCCAAAAATGGTCGAGCCAGTCTCCACACGATCACAACCGAGGAGACATGATTATTCAATTTTATGGAAAGTCTACTTACGACACTTATTTCTGCCGAAATCCTGACAATGAGCCTGGCGGTGCTTGGTGCTACACAACCGATCCTGATGTTCGATGGGAATACTGTGACCTCCCAGAATTCTGATTGATTTGAATTTTTGCGAAACTGATTCAATAAATTTTCAAAAAAAAAAACGTCTGGTACGTGATGAAGCCCAAGAACGGTGTACCAAATTTGAACCCTGAGCTCGAGAAAGGTCAAGCTGTTTTTGAGATTAAAATATTTGTTTATCTAGTAGATTCTCAATAAACAAAGCTGTAGCTTCCAAAAATGAAAATCCAGATTTCATTTCGGAAAAAATCAACATGTTGATTTTTCATTTTTTTATGATTTTTCCCGTCCTTTTTCAAGCGGAAACACCTCAAGGATGCGTAGATTTGGATAAGTGTGCGATTCCGACGGGAGACGATGTTGCCAAGCATATGAGTTACGCTGGGACCATATCAAGTAAGGATTTTTGGAATTTTACACTTATTTTCTGTGGTAGAAACAAATTTAATCGTTAATTTTTCTTAAGCAACTCGATCGGGAAGAAAATGCCAACAGTGGCGGTCAAATGAGCCACATGCTCATTATTACCATAAGTACATAGTCAGACTTTATGGAGAGGACGACCTATGGCGAAACTATTGCCGTAACCCGAATGGCCGTGATGGCGGGGCGTGGTGTTACACAACCGACCCGAATGTGCCTTGGGAGTACTGTGATATCCCGGATTGTCCTTGCGTTTCATCACACCACCCAACAACGACAGAACTTCCTATCTGCGAGTGTGCATCTGGGCGCGGAATTCAAACGGAATACGTTGGCGCAAAATCAGGAAAATTGTTTTGATATATTTTTATGCGCAATTTTTTATCCTTATAAATATCACTGTCCTAACAAGTAGCAGTAAGCGTTTCCGGTAATCGGTGCAGAAATTGGGTCGATGTTGACGCTGCTCATCATTGGAAGTTCGAAGACAACTTTATTGCCTTATATGGGGAGAAAACCTTTTACTGTAGGTATGGTCAATTCCAACCTCCAAAAAACGCTTATTTTTTTGATAAGCATCGAACCAATTCAATTGTCATAGTAAAGTTGGTAGTAGGGGTTATCATTCGAGCTTCCCTAACCCTAAACCTAACCCAGGGGCTAGGCCCCCGGGACCCCAGGAGGGGCTTTACAAGGGGCTTCGCCCCCGGACCCCCTTAAGAGTTCCCAATCCCTAACCCTAACCACTTGCTCAGATTCTAGAGATCTTGGATGGCTCGAATCATAGGCTCGAATGATAACCCCTCTCTTTGGTAATGTGTGGAAGTGACCATACCTACTGTAGACAAATTACTGTCGAAATCCTGACGGCAGAGACGAGGGTGCTTGGTGCTATACCGACCGTAAATATTTGGGAAGATTTGAAACTTGGGAGCCATGCGATGTCCCGACTTCCCCCTATATTTCCAAGAGACCAAATGTGACTCTCTCTGGTAGGACATGTCAACGATGGTCGAGCCGCAATGATAGAGTATTGCGCGCGGAAATTCTCAATCAATATGTTCGACCGATTTATTTTACCAATTATTGTCTCAATCTCAACCGGGACGAGCGCTCATGGTGCTACACGACTGATCCAAATGTTCGATGGGAATACTGCGAGTGAATCCTGACCGTAGAATCCCGGCATTCGTGGTTAAATTGAAACAATATATTTACGAGAAAACTTTCGTTTCGTAATTTGTTTGATAAAATAGTTTATATAGCATTTTAGTGGTTTCCAAAGTGCGGAAGGTGTTTCCGTTTTGCAGCATTCCGAGGGAAATAGCTTTGACTTTTTATCATTTTGATTGATTCACTCAAGTTTTTACGCTGAAATTGACGCTAGAATCTTTTTTTACGAAAATGATTTTTCTCATTTATAAAATATAATCTCCCGATTTAGGGATGGTTAAGTTGAAAACGGGATAAAATAAGGGTATCACTTTGTTAAATTTAACATAAAAAAGCATTTTATGAGTTGACCCCCTTTTACATAGATGGGTCAAAAGTCGCGAATGCAGCTTTTTTTCTGATTGGGCCAAGAAGTCTAAAATTGTTCAATGACCGAAATTGCAAATTCCAAACATCATTTCCTTCCACGCAAATTCCATGTGATCGGTTGGTTCTGTTGAATAAACGAGCGTGTATTCAACCTCCAACATGGAGAATCATGAGCAAGGCTAGAATTTTGTATTATGCAGGAGGCGGAAAATGGGGTTTTACATGTGTCAATTAGAAAAGAAGCGAAACGAAAAAATGAGCCGAAATTTTGTTCTGTTCGAAAATAGATGAACTCCCTAGATGTCACTCCCTTATTTCAACAAAAGTTATTTTGAGTCAAATTGAGCTGGAAAAATTGAATCTGTGAGATAAGGTTCGCACGTCGCCTATGAGATAAAGGTTTTCCGAAACATGACTTATTCATTTGGCGGGTGTTATCAGCGCTGAAATTTGTGTTCCGGAAACAGCCACGTGGTTGTGCGCCCGTCGAGATTGTGGCCAAGATGTGTTCCACTTACACGTTCAACGTTTTCCCGAAGATAAGCACACGTGGCTTCTTTTTGCTTTCCCATTGAATATTTGGCCAAGAAGGCATGGTATTTGCAATTAAAAAAAAAGAAGTTGAATGCAAACATTGCCTATCAAATGTTAAAACATTTGCGTAGCTTTCGATAGAAAAGTAATACGCAAGCACAGATTGGTTAATGATTGGTGAAAGAAAATCATTTTTCATGACATTGCCTAGATATTGATTTTAATAAATCGAAGAAATAAAGATGACCGATTCTTTTTTTTCTGAGAATTTTGTGGTACTGGTGGAGAAGGGTTCTTCACACCGCTCCATTGTTCGGAAGATTAAACTCGCCATAAACGATGATCATCTAAGTGAAGAAGCACGTATTATCGTAAATTCTATATCAGATAATTTGCAAAATATTAATGAGTCAACTATCCGAAATTCGATTCCGGGTCTCCTTCGTCGAGTGATCAATTTGCAGAATGCCCAGCGAATTTTTCATCATGGGCTTGTTCTTGCTATTAGACTACGATTTCCTGGAGATTTTGATTCTGTCCTTGCTGGTAACCTTACACAGTGGATTCTCAGCGAATATAATGAAAGTATTATTATCGAAGAAGAAGGCTCTACTGTTATCACCATTATTGTTGATGCGATAACATTTTCTCGCAGAAAGTTCTCAGAAAGGTTTTGAGTCTATCCATTATTCTATAAAAACAATTAAGATTGAGAAAATTTAGAAAAGATAGAGATAAATGGTGCAGTTATGGTGAGTTTATGGCAGATTATTTCACATCAGTATATCATGAGCAACAGGGTGGCGTCATGAAGCGACAAATATATATTATATATTGCGATTAGACAATTCATGTAAATTTTCAATCAGCGGCCCAATTAAAATAAGCGCAAAATTTGTCTCAGATTTAATGTCTCTTCATGGCTCTTACCCTAAACGACAAAAATAAAAGAAATGGAAGAAGAACTAAGAAGAGATGAGACAAAATTTCTAAATGAAGAGAAAAGAAAGTACCGTAATAATCATTCCTGACTGACTAAATATATAGAAGCGACAAAAGAACACGAAGAAAAAATGACCAAACTAAGAGAAGAACATGAAAAATTTTGGGAAGAACAGGAAAGAAAGTATAGCGAAGCAAACAGAGAATTTGCAGAAAAATGCCGAAAACTTGAAGAAGAAAATTTGAAACTACGCAAATACACAGATATGTATAGGTGTCATGGTAGAAACTTTTCACTCAACTAATCCTTGAAAAAAGAACTCGTATAACAATTTTGATTATCTTTCTGCGAAAATTGTTTTGATTACCAATGATTTCAGTAATACCAGTTTTACAAATAAAAGAAAAATAAAAGAAAGCGAACATGAGTCGAAATGCGAGAGCCTTCGCGGCGAGTTTATTGATGTTTAGAACTTATTGATACAAACTGTCAAAGTTGATGGCTTGACTCGGATCCCACAGGCTTTGAGTTGGGTTTTGGGTTCCGATTTTAATTCGACTTAGAAGCGATTTGGGCAAACGTTTTTGATCGCTGATTAGCCTCTCACGCTCTCGGTCCTGCGCAGAAAATGACTAGCTTCAATTGCAAAGAAAAAGAAATGAAAGAATTGGAAAAAGAAGAATTTTATTTTTGATTAAAAAATACGAAAGAAAATAACTCAAAATAAGAAGAATAACATTTTCCGCTCAAATTTTTTGAATCATATTAATAAAATAAAATTATTGTGAAAAAATTTAATTTGAATATGAATTTAAATATTCAAATTTTTTAATAAAATGAATAAATTAATATATTTTTCAATGAATTTGAATTATTCTTATCTTTTTGATAAAAAAATAAATTCTATAAAATAAAATATAAAACCAGAATTTATTTGAAATAAAAATATTTTCTTTCTAATTAACAAATTTTCAGTGGCATTTCTTAAAATCAATAATATTTTACTTAAAAATTTTCTTCAAACTTATTTTGAACTATTTGTTGTTCTGAAATTTTCTCGATTCTGTATATTAATCCTCAAAACCCGTTTTCCTGATGTCAAAAATATCATCTCCAGGAGATCTTTGTTGAAATTTGCTTCGTCGGAAATGTCGGTTTGGTGATTCTGTTCTCAAAATTCCACCTAGAAAAGAGTTTGTCTGCGTGAACGGGATAAATTTTATCGGGAAAAACGTTACATTTCTTATCGCCACGGCTGGCCAGGGCTAAGACCCTCCCCAGTGGGAATAAAGATTGAGACCTCTTCAGCTTGATGTGGTTGCGTAATCCGAGAAAGGGGCGCAGATTACTACCGTACGTGAGTGTTTTCGACAGATTTTACGCTAGAACGCGGTTTCGTGAAAATAATCACGTGGAGAAGTGCCGTTGAAATGTGATTAACATACATTTCAAGAGCTTCAAGAGTTCTCAAGAAGACCAAAACATGATTTAATTCTCTGAAAAAGAGGGTTCACGATAAACACAGGCAAAAGTCATTGGAGCTTTTTGAGTCAGAAAAAAATACCTATTTTGAAACTTATAAAAAAAGATAATTTTTAAAAACTTAAAATCAAAATTAGAAAAAAGCATAAGTTTTTGCCGATTTTCTTGATTTTTTTTCGACTTAAATTTTAGTTTTATTCAAAGTGCTCAAGAAGTATTAACGCCATAACATTTTGATGCTGTTAAAACTCAAATTCAGCTTTCCTTCGAAATAATGTTGCGCCAGCAAGTTTTCACTCGAAACCGTTCTGCCCTTTGTTCCCTACTTACCAGGGTTCGGTAATTTGAGCTCAAGCTAAAACTCATTTTGGCTAGACGCTCAAATTTCCTCAAATTGAGAACTCAAAGTGACTTGAGAAATCATTTTGAGAAGATTTGAGAGTTTTGAGTTTTTGGGAGATTTGAGAGTTTTGAGTTTTCAAAACTCAAATTAAGCGAGCGCTTCCTTGATTGGCTCATGGATTGCCAGAGTCGCGAGCTCTCATCTCTGAGTTCTCAAAACTCAAATTAAAAAACGTGAGTCTCAAGCTTTGTTTCCTTGAGTTTTAGCGTGAGCTCAAATTACCGAACCCTGCTACTTACCATCTTGTTCCATGTTTTTCATATACCCTGCTGCGTTATTACTATATTATCTCGAGTTTAACACGATTTTCAAAAACCTGTTTCATCCGCGAAGCACCGGAAAGCGAAAGCGCCTTCTATCCAATTAGGCCAATTATTTCAATTTTAATGTTTCAAATAAAAAAATAGCTCAAGTGGCAATTTAAAGTGTTCGTTGGCGCGACCACCGGTTTGGCATTTTTTGACACCGAAGATTATGCAATTTTGGTACGCGGCTGCTGGTTTTCTCAGCTAAGTAACGAGAGCATTTATCTTGATAGAAGTTGGCAGCAATTTGCTACTTGTTGGTTTGTTTTACGTTTTTCGACGCGAAATTAGAGTTCAGTCAAATTGACATTCGAAAAAAAAAACATTAACAAAATAAAATAAAATTATAAATTTAAAAAAGAATTTTTTAAAGAATATAATATAAATTCAATTAATAAGATTTTTAAAAGATTAAAAAAAAATATTTTAAATTTAACAATTCATCAATTAAAAAATTTTTTTATTAAATAATTTTATGATTTTAGAAATAATTATAAATAATTTTAATAATATTATATAATTTTTTATTATATTATTTAAATTAAAATTCAATTCTTTAGAGATTTCAAATTAAATTTCTAAAAAAAAATAAAATAATCTTCTTGAAAAAAATGACGCTTGTTTGAACTAATACTACGGTATGTTCCTACTCGAGTGTTTACCGCAGCAGGCGTTCCCTGTTTTCTTTCTTTACGAGCGCTTAGAAGAAAAGTGTTATGTAATGGCATCTGAGCCAGCTGTATCCGCGGACTGGCACTTGTGGTCACAACAAAGGTGCCAATTTGTTTATCGCGGTGAGAACCGGTTCACTTTAGAGACATAAGTAGTTTTCTTTGACACTTGGCTGAGCATCGAAAAAAATGTCTTATCTTTTTTCTTTCTTCATAAATATACCCCCTTCTTTTACCTTCTGAAAGAGCGAAAAAGAGTCCAGCAAAGAAGCAGAGTCTCATTTTAAAAAATATATTATTTTTCTTTTCGTCGATTTGAAGGCCACTTTGGACGATTTATATACAAGTAGTTAAATGAATAAATGAGTGGGAAGTTGGAGACAGACACATGTTTCTTTCTCAATTTTTAATCTTCCAAGTGTCGAAAGTTATTCTGGGGCCAGCAAAGATAAAATCTTATTTTACAATAAGACGAGAATTTGCTCCATTCTTAGTAAGATTCATCAAAAATGATCATGAAAATAAAAGAATAAAAAAACCAACGTAGAAAACCTGAGTCAGGATCTGAAATATTTTTTATAACTGCCGCGTAGCTGCTTATCATTTGACATCTCTCAGGCCCTGACTCAGGTTTTCTACACAGGTTGCCAAGTCCAGATTTTCGCACCATAAAAAGGCAAAGCAAATATATTAATTGAGTTCAATTCTGCTCTGAAAATTGTTGAACATTGTATTTTTATCCTTGTTTTGTTGTTATCAACTCTCTTTTTGACACCAAGACTATTTTGCAATCAATTAAGCCTCGCTTGCAAAATACACTTCTTTGAAGAACAAAGCAATATTATTGTTGAATACTCTTTTTATTATTCGATCAAAGAATAAACTGTTTTGGCGCAGTTCTAAAATCAAAGTACTCAAACTCGACGATCAGCTGGTCGTAGAGTTCGTACATGTACTCGCTTGCCCTTTCTTCATCTTCGATTTCGATTTGTGATTTTTTCTCGAGTGGGAAAGCAGCTAGAATATTCAAAAGAAACAAAAGCACGAAAAACATCTTTTATTAACGGGATCCTTCTATAATGGCATTTTGAAAATAACAAGTTTGACAAGGATTTGAGTTGATATTTTGAGAGCATGAGCATTGACTCGGTAGATCTCAATAACAGTGAAAGTTTACTTTTTATGATTCTTTTTTCAGAAATGAACATACATATATGATGATTATCACTAAAAATTTATATCCATTTATTCACAGGAATAAAAGTATATGATCAAAGGTCCAAAATTTTTAAAATTTGGCTTTGCCAATTCCTTTAAAGATTTATGGTGCTAGAAATTTTTTCAGCTGTTATTAAGTCATCAAAATTTAACATCAAATTTTATTTTATATTCATCTCTTTTTTATCTTACTGAATTAATGTCAAAGATTCTCGTTTAAAAACTAATTCTTTTTGAAAACTACAATGAATCATCATTTTAACATATCTTCCCGTAAACCTGCTGCCCTCAAAGTCCACCTCAACCCTCCCCACGTCGGATATCTCTCTCTAAACAAATCGTTTCCCAGCGCTTCTCCACGTTAAATCAATCCTCATCCCAATTTTTCTCAAACAGAGAAAAACATGATCAGATTAAAGCTGATTCTTGCTTTCGCGAAGCTGCTTCCGGCTCAGTTTTCGAATACGCGCTACATCGAGTCTAATGAATTCGCCGCCGCCGAAGAGTTTTTCAGAGAAGATAACTGGAACGATTATGCGGGACTATGGATCGAGCACAATGATTTCTTGGTAAGAGAAAATGCAGGCACAACAGGGGGGAAGACATGAACTTTGATAATGAATTTAGGGGTGGCGTCAGGAACCGACAAAAAATTTCGAAAAATTTTGCGTGGGCGGCTTATCAGCCGCTTATTAGCCTGTCTCCCGGATCCAGGCTTCTGATTGGTCGAAAATTTTTCGGAATTTTTTTGTCGGTCTCTGACACCTCCCCAATTTAAGAAAGTATCTTGAAAATATTGCCCCTGTTCAACCTGAAACCTTTTCAAGTGTAACCTTGTTCGTCTTTTATTTTTGTTTACCTTTAAACCTTCTTTATCCATCAATTATTATTCTGTTTCGAGTAAATCTGTCCGAAAAGAGGGGAGACGCTCGGTTAGATTACCAATTGGTATTCAAATACGAATTTTGGTATTCAAATACCAAAAATTTTTGGTAATCTAACCGAGCGCCCCCGGAAAAAAGCTTGTTAGAATTTCAAACGCAACATTTTGTCCCCCAAGTTCAACAACTCAGTTGCCAAACTGGCGGCTAATTTATTCGCATTGAAAAGCCACTAAGTGCAACTCGGCGCACGTTTCTCAAAACAACGCCTGGCTGTCCTTTTATTTGTCAGGCCACGCTCGCCAAACGCCAAATATTATATGCTCATGAATAGCTTCATCTCAATTCGAAAAAGCTTCTGCTCAACCAAAAGAAACCATCTTCTTATCTGGCTTTTATTTTATCTGACAAGGGACAACGTTTTTGAGGAGATGGAAATTTCTTTGTGGCGCTGAAAAAACCATTTGGTGGTTTTTATTGTGTTTTAGAAAGAAAAAACTTTCGACAATTTTTATCTAAAAAACTATTTTTTTTTTATTTTTTTCTATTGCGAAAAAAATATGAACGGAGAAGAATGTGAATAATTGGTTGAGCGGGGAAAAACGAGTTTGCCGAAATTTGATTATCCGGAGGATTTCCTAAAAGATCAGCGAAAATTTTCGCTTAACAACTTTCGCCCGAAAAAGGAAATTACTAAAGCAGCTGCGAACGAAAATTCTAGTTTGATTCTTTTTTTAGGCCTGATAAATGGGGAGGCCAAAAACTACAGAATTTGTCGAATTTTTAAACAATCAGATGTCCGCATTCGACCAGTTGACCAATCAGAAATCAGAAAAAAATCAATAAAACACACACAAAATTAAATCCTTAACCCTTACCCTAACCTCAACTCTATCATATCTCAACATCAAATTCAAGGGCTTTCCTGACCCTTATTTTTTAACGTGAATAATTTTAATTAGATTCAGTAATTGACCATATTTCTGGGAAAACGTGGTTTTTAAAAGTTCAAAATACCCGCAAGAGGATTAAAAATTCAATCCATATTTCTCTCAAAACAGAATTTTCAGACGGCCGATGAAGATTATTCCGAAAATCTGTCAACCATGAAAGATGAATATTTCAAGTCGCTAGGGTTCACGCCCGATCCGCGAATGCCGCCACAGCCAGGTTCGTTCTAGTTCTCTTTCGACTTTCTTGCTGGAGACACCCTTAATATTATGATTCTCGAGCTCGTTCGCGGGAATCGAAGGAGAAAACATACACTTGAATGTTTAGTTTCTAGCCACTCGACAGGGTAAACCAAACGCGGTTACGAATGCTTATCAAATAATGGTAGCGCTTTCTCTTTTTCTGTCTATTTTTCAAGCAACTTTAAATTGAACATACAGTTAGCAAAAAAAAGAAGCCTCGAAGGTAAATTTTTACAACAGTAAAAGTTCGGCCAAAAAAAACTTTTGGGTCCATTTTTCCGAATTTTGTTAAAAATTGAATCTGAAATCGGACACTAGTTTGATGCAAGAACATTCGGCAAATGAGCATTTGAATGGATTCCGGGCGACGCAAAGCACGTGCTGATTACAGAGCATTTGCATTTAATTAAGCTGACCTCAACTTGTTTTCGAATTGCTTTCTAGCGATTTTTAGGGTCCTAAAACGTGAGGATCCTTGTTGATTAAGGTTGATTTCTTGACTCAGGAACCTGTGTTGAAAACCTGAGTCAGGGTTCTGAAAAAGCTGCAGAGCGGCTTTTCAAAAAACGAAGCCGCGAAGCGGCTTTGCCACTAAAACTATCAAAAGCCGCCTTTTCGGACCCTGACTCAGGTTTTCTACACAGATTGCCGAGCTCAGATGAACGGTTCATATGAACTGTTTTTGCTGTCGCTTGTGTCATAGAAGCGATAATTTCTAAAAGCAAAAACATGATTCAATTTGTCCATCATTTCGAAATCATTAAATTTCTTTGGTCAGAATCAAAAAACCGCAATTCAAGCAATTTCAGCAAGCGGTCAAAACCGGCACCACAAAAACGCGCGATAAAGCGTCCAACAACAGGGAAAACGAAAGGCATCGAGTCAGATGCTAAACGTGGCTGGGAGCTGTTTTGGTAGCAACAGGGAAATTGAGTGATAGGGGGAAGTCTTCTTTAGGGAAATTACGTATCTTTTCCGAAATTCTGAGGGGCGGAAAGTGATGATAATGGAGTGATAGTGGGATTTTTAGGAGAAAAGGGCGTTAGAAAAACAAACCCTAGGGACCTGGCTCGGTAAGTTGTGTAGAAAACCTGACTCAGGGTTCTGAAAGAACCAAAACAATCAATCAAGAAACCTGAGTCAGGATATTGAAAGAGCTTTCAGTTGAAATTCTTCAAGATCCTGACTCAGGTTTCTATTCTGATTGCCTGAGTTTATTCTCGACCCTGAGTCAGGTTTTCTACACAGGTTGCCGAGCCAAGTTTGGTAACCGACTCAAAAAGAACCACAAATATTTTCTTGAATTATTCCTTGGGGATTTCTATTTCAAAGGAATCGAAGAAGCATCCGAAGAATTGGGAATATCAAAAAATATTTACTTCTTTAGCAATCGAGCTGCACCCCGACGCCGGTCGCCGCGTGTCTCACACAGTTCGCATCCCGCCGCTCCCACCTGGAATGGCTTACCGCGTGACACACTGCATCGCTCAGGTACTTTCGCAACCCGGATTAAATTGCAACGCTTAGACGGCCATTCTCCAAGCCAAAGACATTCTTTTCTTACATCATCACCTGCAACTTGCATTACTCGCCAATTTGCTATAGAAACACTTTTTTTCTGCAGAATTAAGATGTTTCAAATATTTCTGCTTTGAAATATAAGTGACCCAAATGTTGCTTCAGTTACCTGTGGAGAAAACCTGAGTCAGGGTTTGAAAGAGCTTAAACGAAAAGCCGCGTAGCGGCTTTTTCATAAACAAAGCCGCGAAGCGCCTTCGCGAGGATAAGAAAATTGAGTGGAGAGGTTATTCAGCAAAGCCGCTCCGCGGCTTCGTTTATGAGAAAGCCGCTGCGCGGCTTTTTGTTTTAACTCTTTGAATACCTGACTCAGATTTTCTGATTTAGTTCCTGTTTAAAAATAACGGCTAATTTTGATATCAAAGCTGGAAATAGCCTCAAATCGTCTAATTTCTACTTTTCTTTGACATAATGATTCGATAAAAAAAGATGATAAAAGTGCTTTGAAGATTACAGCTCGTTATATATTAGAGCAATTTCGATTGTTCATTTTTATATAACCCCTTGTAAACTCTTTCAGAGCCGCTATGGTCCGATTTACAAGATGATGTACAATACCTGCGCGGACAAGAAAATCGACGTCGCCCGCCACAGCCCGATGGTTACTCAAGGCGTTTCTAGAATTTCGTTTCGGCAGTTTAAGGGACCCCCGTTTGAAAAATAAAAAAAACACAGTCGTCATTGGTTTCGATTTCTGCTTATTTTCGTAAAAGCAGGAACTCGATTTTTCCGTTTTTATTATTTTAATTCTGTTTTTGTTTTTGATCGAGTGTAATCGCGGATCACACTTTTTAGTTGTAAAAGGTTTATTTTTGTTTTCTCTCGGTTTGAATTAACACTAATCTCAGGCACTTATTCACGAGAAAAAAAACATTTTTCCGTATTTTTTTCAACGGGTTGAACAGTTTTCCGGAGTGCCAGGAGGATTCGATCAGAGCAATATCCGATATGTCTGCAAGGTACGGTTTCTAGCGGCCTCTAGACCCTTATTTTTACTCTCAAGGTTGGACTGTGCCCTCTGATGATCCAAGGCTCGTGCCCATCCGTCAATTCCTGCCCCGAATCGCCGCCAGAAATGCCGCCAATCGGAAATTTCGAGGAAAAGCTTTATCATCTGAAAAAACACCGTTATGCATAATTCGCGACAGGTTTTTTAGTTATCTTGAAGGGGACCCTAATTTATGACGAAATTCAAGATGCGACAGGTGGAAAACAACACTTGATAAAGCTTTGTGAAAGAGGAAGAGATTTAGAAAACGTGGTTATTTGGGACTCAATCGACCTCACTCAGGAACGGAATGAAAAGAAAGAGGGTTGAAAAATCAGAGGGGGTTCAGAAGAACTCAGAAGGAAAGCCGCGCAGCGGCTTTTACTAAACGAAGCCGCAAAGCGGCTTCGCCAGAATTTTTCTTGAAAGGCTGAAGAGAAAATGTTGCGAAGCCGCCCGCGGCTTCGTTTTGAAAAGCCGCTACGCGGCTTTTCATTTAATCTTCTCAGAGCTTGGCTCAGGTTTATGAGGACCAGTCAAGGGGGTTTTCAACTGTCAATTGAGGAGAGAAACCGTTGTTTATTCCCATCAAAAGTCGCTGACCCCGAATACAAACCCTTCGGCGGTTTCGTCAAAAATGCAAAAACATCGTTTGCCCACGAGTCTGAGCAGGAACTTACGAAATCTGCCAAGTTCGACTTTTACCTCCACAAGGAGGAGCTGGTGTATAAGAATGTGGTCGTCAACGCGAGCACGAACGAGACTGACCTCGTGCGCGTTTATCCAGAAACATTCGATGACATTATGCTTGGCATCGCGCGCCATTTGTACAAAACAGGTACGCGAAGCTTTTTGATCAAATAAGGAGCCTTTTTGAACTCGACGCGTTTTTACTTGTAAAGAAAACGAACGTCCCGGAAGTCGGGAAAGAGCTGGACTTCCTGTAATTTGTGTCCATAATACGATTTGATCGGGGTTCTGAGAAAGATGGACTAGCTTGGTATTGAGGGCAGCAGTTTTAGACAGGATTTATGATCTGATTTCGGAACGAGATCTAAAAAGACTGAAAAATGATGATTCTGGAAGATTTATCTGATCCCAGATTTCATCATGGTCTTAGTCTAAGCTAAGTCTAAATCTTATTCTTAATCTTAGTCTTAGTCTAAGTCTTAGTCTTAGTTTCAGTCTTAGTCTTAGTCTTAGTCTTGGTCTTAGTCTTAGTCTTAGTCTTAGTCTTAGTCTTAGTCTGAGTCTTAGTCTTAGTCTCAGTCTTAGTCTTAGTCTTAGTCTTAGTCTGAGTCTTAGTCTTAGTCTTAGTCTTAGTCTTAGTCTTAGTCTTAGTCTTAGTCTTAGTCTTAGTCTTAGTCTTAGTCTTAGTCTTAGTCTTAGTTTTAGTCTCAGTCTTAGTCTTAGTCTTAGTCTTATTCTTAGTCTTAGTCTTAGTCTTAGTCTAATTTTCGTCTAGAGATTTCTTTTTAATATTTTTTCTGAGAATTTGTAAGCATTGGAAATAGTTTTGATGTTCACGAAACCGACCCCTAACCCAATTGTTTTTTCCTAGGAGTGCGAATTCCACAGCTGATCGAAATGAAGATTGTGGCATCTGGAGACGTGTTGACAACTCAGCCGGATTTTGAGGAGATGAGCGGTTTCCACGAGCACTCGCGCGAACGCTGGCAGCGGAAGTCGGAGACTCCAAAGGAATGTTTCGCCTAAGAGCCCTTCTTCTAGTATTTTGGACTACTTGAGTTAATTTATGAACCCTTGGGGGCTTGTAAATATTTAAATGGAGGGGGCATTTAGGGAAGACTGCGGAAGGATTATCGGAGAAGGATCAACAGGGTCATCAAGCTTGCTAAAAGAAGAGGTAAATAAATTTTCATCCACAGGTGGCGCTGGCTTATTTTTGGCCAATAGAAGGGCAGGAAAATTTTTTTGAGTTATCGTTTTTTCAGAACAAGGGTGGGTTAGGGTTAGGGTGCCCTGTGATTGGCTGACGCATCAAAAACTGGTATCTGATTGGCTGAAGCAACCCCTCATCCTCCCTTTTTTCTCGACGGTTTTGACGCAACCCTTATCTCAAATAACTTGTAATAGAAAATCTCTCTAAAAAATAGAGTGCTTCAGATAGCCATTTTGATGACCAAATGGCTGCTATCGGTTAAGGTGCCCCTTGTTATGGATATTTACCGATACATCATGCGGAAATTGGAATGTCTTGATGAAGGGTATCTCAAGTGGACACGATAAATCCACACTCGGTTGGGCGCCTTAATGATAATAAAGTGGACTTTGTATATTAACTACGAGCCAATTTCCCGTCCCCATATTTGTTTTGCCGCCAATTTTGGGGGCGATAAAACGACGTGTAATCTCATCTTTTCCCTCCTTGTTTCCGAAAGTTTTTTTTTTCACTTTCGCGGCTTTTTCCGAGATCATCCTCCTTATCTCAGCCGTATTTTAGAACTGGGAAGCTTGAAACCACACAAAGCTTATCGAAAATTCGCTGGACTACTCGGAGCTCCAACAAAGCCCACGCCGACGGAGAAGCCCATTCAATTACAATTACAAACAGGTTCGCTTAAAAATGACTAAAATTCAGAAATTCGAAAAGAGAGCAAAGATTCTTTCTCGCGCATTTTGTTGGTGATGTAATCATGAAATGGAAAAATGATATAACTTTCTTACTCGCGCTTGAGATAATTTTTATGTAACCTCGGCTGGAATTCAGTCGAATGGAAAGAGATTTCATATGAAGTGTGAATCAATATTCTTATTTGATTCTAACGTAACCTTATAATACCAGCTATAATCTTGCTTCTAGAACGAGAAATTGTCTACGAAGACGAGCGGGAGTATGATGAAGAAGAGGAAGAAGAGGAAGAGTATGAAGAAGAAAAATAAATGATCTCATCCCGTTCCGTCAGCTTTTCACTGCCTCCTGTAAATATAACTTTATTGCGCATTTTCAATCTGGACAAAAATGATTTTAACATAGACAAGTGGACATAAATTATCTCCCATAAAAACAGTCCTGTCAGTCTTGAGTTACAATTCAAATACTAAAATGAAGCCGTGTTTTGGAACTCAAGCCATTCAACATTAATTTTTACATAATTCATTTGTGCGTAAGCTTACTAACAATTTAAGCTTAAGGATCTCCCCAAGAATGATCAAAGCAGATACTGGTGTTTCAAAATTCGGCATTTGTGTGAAGAAATCAGCTCACAATAAAAATTTCCTCATGGAAAGTTTAAATTGTAAATTTTTCGTAGAGATTAATCCAATATCAAGGCAGATCAAGATGAGACCGAAAAATGTTGAGAAAGCCCCCGATTTCCCTTCTCTCGTGAATATTATTCCCCAAATCCACGGTAAAACGCGTCTCTTATATAAAACCTGGCAATGATCAATTTGATTTCATAAACTTTTATTCGTCTCCTCTTTCGATTGATGATATAAGAATTCATCGAGAAAAGCGAATCGTTACAACGCGTTTCGTAACATTCCATAACGCGTTCTATAAAATCGAGTCGATTTTAAACTCAAATCATCAGACCGAATCTCAAAGCACGATTCAAATCAAAAATGACCCAAATGTCCTCCTCCTCAACTTCTTCTTTCCACCTCTCCAGCATCAAAAACTCGACCCGGCCGCTGAAATGCCGACTTTGCTGGCGACGCTTCAAGTACTCGACCTGCTTGAATGATCACATGAACAAGGACCATAAAGACACAATCATGCTCCTTCTCTCTCTCAAACAAGCTCAAGAACGAGCAAGAAAGCAGCAAGAAATGCGAGCCCAGCTGCTCTCTTTGATCCGCGAAAAGCCACAAATCAACCGAAACCCCGTCAGAATTTCTGTTATTACGCAAAATGTCAATGCTTCAGTTTGAGCACTGTTTATTCCCCTGTACATGTCTAGTCTTTGTTCTTCCTTCTTTTTTGTTCAATAAACATCTTCCAAAAATTTGAAATTTATGACTACGTTTTTTTCGCGAACATGATTAGTTTTGCGGCGCACGTTCCATTTCCGAAGTGGCACGAATTGATCCGGAAACCTGTGAAACCGAAATATTCTTCCGCATTATGCTGAGCTCGCACGTGCTCAGATTTTACCCGCAACTCAACAGCTTGTTTTCCTGATTATAGCACAAAATGAGCTTGTTTATTGCCTTATTCTCAGACAGAAAATCTCCGAAAACTTCAGAAAAACCATTCTAGAGCTCTCCCTTTCCAAGTGAATAGGTCGCTTTCTAGGTCAAGCGCGAAATCTTCTACCTGCCTTATCTGAAAATCAAGACCGTGATAACCATCAGCCCATGAACCCTTCCATTTAAAAGTATCCTCTTCTCCACCATTTCATCAAATCACAAAAAAACATTCATCAGAAAACATTCAAAAGAAAAATGAAGTTGCTCAACTTTTTTCGAAATTCAGCGCTCTTCAAAGCAAACCTGTTCTCCGAAAAACTCGGGCTCGAGAAAACCGTCAAAGACCGAATCGAAGAAAAAATGTGGAAAAACGAGACGGAATTCATCGACCATCTCACGACAAACTCCGCAAACTTGAAGCTCAGCTCGCTTTGGAAAAAATTTCACACAGGTAAATAGTGCGATTTTCGTATCTTTCAACCAGTAATTTCAAATTAAGGTTATGTCGTCGCAAAAACTCCAGGCTCCTTCTTGTCCGACAAGGGAGACTGCCAAAAGATGGACTTTCGCTGGCTGAACAAACACGTCGCTGAAATCGCCCATTCTGAAGTTCGAGAAGAAGGAGTTTTCAAGAATTCAAGAAAGAGGAACAAAAATGCGAACCGATTCTACGGCCGAACTCTTCGCGATTGGGACAACGAAGTCAACCTCCTCGACTTCTTCTATGATGCGAAAGGATTTGACAAGATCAACGCGAGATTGAGCGAGAAGCTTTACGGTCACTCGGGAATGTATGCAATTGCCTGGACAGGAACAACAGATCTGGCTGGAGATGACAACATGGCGGTCATCATCGGTAAGGAGGGTTGAATTGATCTAGGATTTAGAATTTTTAGGAAACCACGAGGGTGAATTCTCAGCCGTGATCATTTGCGAAGATCCTCTTTGCGATTTCGAAGAGAACTTCGACGACATCAACACTGACATCGACATTGATTTCACGGACGTCGAGCTGATCTATCCAGACAATCGAGCGACCTTCTGCGTGCATGACAATGAAGATAAGCTCTGCGATCCCTGCTGGAAGAAAGACAACTGCTACACGCTCATTGATTGCAACGGTAAGAATCTTCTCTTTTAACACCATTTTTCTGACTGAAATCATAGAGGAAGTTCCCGTGCAAAACCAAAACTACGCGACGATTCCGTCGATGAAGAACAATTTCCGCCTTTCAATGGACATCAAAACTTCCGATTGGACAACAAGCGCAACCAACGCTGCGATTTTCACTGTAACTGATCTGCCAGCTGATGATGATATTGCTTCCACAACGAATACTGCCGATGGAAGCGCGCTGACAAAAGATGTGCTTCCAATTCGCAGCACAGGCGGAAGCACAATAACAGGTAAGCCCGAAAATAAGAGTCAGATTTTTTATGCGACAATTCAGGACGTCGCTACACCGACACTTCCTACAACACTGTCGGGGGGTCTCTAAGTCCAGACACAGATCTCGACTACATCACAACCACCATCGCCGTTTCTAGAGTCGCCGGCTTCTACATCAACGCAATCTTCATCGAAGCAGACAATCCTCACAGTGTTCTTATCGACCATGATACCAGCTTCGCGAATGAGATTGAGTACGGAGAAATGACCGTTCGCGGGGGCGACTCGACATCGGTAAATAATGTTTATGATGGAAATGTGAAAAATGCCTACGTCCAGCTTGGATCCTTCCAAGACATTCTTAACGAACGGTTTGTCCCTGACAATTAAAGATAACGATAAGCTCTTCCCTTTTCATGCGTCTTTTCTTTATCAAATAATTTATCATGCCACTGTTTTAATAATTTATCTTACTGAAAGATATCTTCCTTATTTATTTTTTCTTCCTATCTATTTCTCTATTTGCCTTTATTTCTTTGAATAAAATGTTATGTCAGAAAAAGTTTATTGCCTATTGTATCCTTCTCCATCTCCATTCCAAACGTATCCCCAAGAATGAACGATTCTCTTGATGATGTTTCGGTAAATATGCTGTTGAGTGAGAGTCGTTGACCGGATTGAATGATCTTCATCAGCATAGAACTAGAACAATGATTCGTTTGATGGAAATAAGGGATAAATTACGAAGTTGTCAAATTCAATGCCTCGCTTGGTTAGTTCTTTGGTCATTCTAGCGGCGGATAAAAAGTGGACATTGTCGTCATTTGTTCCATGAATAAGGTGATATTCTGTGTCTCGGAAATGCGCCATGTCGTTTTCGAGGATGGGTCTTTCAATCATTGAGCAGTTTTTCCAGTGCGGCTTAATGAGTCCAAAATTGTTCGAAAATAATGGACTTACAGATAGAAGTTCATTTGGTTCGCCAGTGAAATCCATGTATCGCTCAGCATGCATCGCGTCATAAAATCTTCTATCAGCAAGAGGAGCTACCGCAACACCACTTGTGAAGATCTTGCCGTGCTCTCCGCCTCCGTATCCGATAATGTGTGTCGTAGTGTATCCTCCGTAAGACCACCCGTAAAGAGAAACTCGTGTTTTGTCGAGGCGATCGGCCCATTCACTTATTTTTGAGTTTCTCAAACACCATAACTGCTGTTTGAAATATGGTTAAAGAAAATGATTTTATCAGATCCGTTTTGTTAAAATAATTCAAATACTTTTAGTGGATTTTGACAATATCCGTAATATAACAATTTATATAAAAATATTAATATTAATTTAAATATAAAAATATCCAGTTTAAACAAAAAATTAAAAATATGAATAAGAAACTCTTCCTGTCATTGAGTAGCCAATTCATAAAATCGCTCTGATCGACTCTTTCCGTATGAGCCAAAGCCTAAATTTCTCTGAATCCTGATTTCTCTTCCTCGAACTATTTACCCGATAATTGGAGAAAGTAAATTTATCGCCTTGAAAAGCGCTGCCTCGGCCATCAACAGAGACCGTAATTGCATCGTAAGCTCCGGGAAAATGAGCCTGTGTCCAGCCGGTTTTGAATGTTTGCTGGACTTTCTGATAACCTGGGCCGCCGTAGACTTCCAAAAGACGGGATACTTTCGTTCATTTCCATCGATAAAGAAACTCTTTGGGACGAACATTTCAAAGTTGTGTTTGAGTCCTCCCCATTTTGGATTTTCCCATGTTCCGTAAATTGTCGTTGGGTAGCCCTTCATTTCGTCGAGCGTATTTTGCAGCTTGGTGTTGTCTTGAATCAAATTGAAGGAGATCTTGCCGGTGATGGAGAAATCTTGATCGGCAGGGGTGATGAAGGTCTTAGGGCGAAGATTTCCTCGGCAGTTGGCGATAAAGCGCATTTTACAGGTTCCTGAAAATATTTTTCCAAACCATTATTGGTAAAATTAAAATAGGAATTTGTAATTTAACATTTTATACAATATGAATTATTAGTAATAATTTATTACTATTTTAAAGTTTTTCTATAACTTTTAATGAAAAAGCTTACCTCCGACAGTTTCTTGGCAATTTCTTCTAAAATTAACCCATCCACAATGAGAGGCTCCATTTTGATCTTGCTCGAGCTCACAAGTAACGCATTCAGGCTCCTTCACTGGAAAATTCACTCCGGCTGTGGAAACTCGGAAGACATGGCGCTGGCGATGTCTTACTTCGTTTCCTCGCGCTCCGGTAAAGTAGAGAATCTGATTGACGGAGTCATAGAAATTGAGTTGCGTAACCACCCATTGATCCTCCGTCGTGTCAGTGATCCAGGTTAATTCCGTGATGCCGTCTGGGAGACCTCGGAATGACTCACGTGCGATATTCCAGTAGCCATCCTTGATTTTCATCCCGTAGGCATGCGAGTCTGTTTGTTCCGACCCATCCACTTTCTTTGAATGAATCGTAAAATACTCATCCCCAGTTAGAATGGGCTCAAACGGGCCGAAATCCCCGACCCATCCGTGGTACATATTCTTCTGCCCACCTTTTTCGTCCAAATTTGTCCAAACATGACCTTCATCATCAAACTCACCAAAAACGCCACCAGTTTCGCCTCCTCGAATTGAGCAGTCAGTGTTTGCGATGTCAGTATTGCAAACGACAGTTTTTGATTGAGTTCCAGCGCGGCTAGACCAGACCATGGCAAATCTAGAACTATCGGCCGCGTAGGAAAGTCGGGTAAAATAGCGGTTTTCCGGATCGCCTCCAGTTCCACGCTCAAAATCGAGGATTCCACCGATTGGCACGAGTTCTTTTTTATCAGTGGCCTCGTTGAAAGTTGATTTTGAAGCATCGACAATGTAGAATTTTGTCTTGGCGATTTTTCCAGCTGCTTTTGCGTAGTGGATCGTATTGACTCTTGGGAACTGATCGATTGAGTCCTTGACGATTTCCTTGGGACTTGAAGCTGTTGCTTTTTCTGGGTAGACGCTGTATTTGAGAAGTTCGATTTCAGAGACGTCGAAGGCGGCGAAAGTGAAAGACTTGCCATCTGGGGCCCAGTAGATTGTGTTTGTGGTGGAGACCATTTCTTCTTCGTAATTCCATTCTGGCACGCCGTTGTAGATGCATTTTGTTGGGTCAGACGCGTATCCAATTCCTCAAAATAACGATTGTTTCATAAGACGAATTATAAACACGATGTTGCATGAAAATGATTTCGCACATCGCTGGGAGCTGCGCTTTATTTCGCACCTCTGAATCCATAAAAACGACAAACGAATCTACATTGTCACATTTGTGACTTGTTTTAACAAGAAAACTCCCGATAACTTTTCGAGATAATGCGAACTGTGAGAAACGTTTCTATTAACGATATTGATGCCATCATAGAAGACTTAAAGAATTTCAAAGAAGAAACGCGAAAGAAATTCAAGTCCGTTCGCACAGAAGAGAGTCACTCAAGAATCGAAATTGGAAATTGAGACATCGACGTTTTATAGTGATCGTTATTCGAATTTGAAAGGGTTTCTTGTTAATAATGACTATCAATTAAAGTCAAAAAATAATGTTTAAAATGAGCCTATTGTCAAAAAGTGGAGCAGCTTTGAATAAAATTGTTTTAGAAGAAAAACTTGAAGAAATCAAGGACGATGTCAAGCATGAGTTTCGAATGACGCAAAAGAAAATTGACGATCTTGAAATGGCGATGATAAATCAATTTTTATCGCAATCTGAACATTTAAGTCAGGTTAATGATAAACTCGACAAGCTTTTAGAGAATCAGCTCAGTGTATAATCCTGTTGGTAAAACTTCAGAAAGATACACCGATATTCAATTCTACTGTTCAATTCTTCACAAAAATTTTCTGCGTCATCAAACAAGCAATTTTTCAGTAAATAACCTTACCTAGAAGGTGATGTTCTCCGTTTTCCATGCACCAGCCTCCGTCATCAGTTACTCTCCTTGCTGTCGAAAACCGATCACTAACAGAAGCGAAGTAAATATCTTTGTTGTTGTCAACCCAGAGCAATTTCAGAATTCCATTGACGTTCGGTGACCAAGTCGCATATTGAACCTGCTTGAAAGTCGCAATATTGGCATTTGTTAGCTCTTGCTCATTTACAAGATCGAAAACGTAGTAGTCGGAGAAGTAAGAGTGTCGCCACTGCTTCATATAATTATTTCTCGCCAAAGCAAATTTCTCATCAGGCGAAAGATAATATTTCTGCATTCCCTTGCTTCTGTACCACTCGCTGAAGGCAGTTGATTTTGTCACCTTCTCTCCAACAGAGCAATCATCCGATTCTCCATCATAATCATCAATGTTCTTCCGGTAAATCATAAATTTTCCATCGCTCAAGTTTTCTGTGCAAAAATACTGGTTCGGGTTCACAGCGGAAAAAGTCGGATTGAAGGATTTCGAGCTGAGTTTTCCCTTCCACATATCTTCAAAAAGGAGGAAATCTTTGTCAGGGAAGACTTGGCCATTTTTGCCGATAGTTGGTTCATATGGCTCTTCTCCGATGAAGAGAAGGGGGAGGGCGATTGCCAGGGCGATGCCAGCACCCAGAAGAGCGGCTTAAAAAGTGTTGTCGTCCTTGATTTCAAATTTTTTTTGACTTTTTGTAAGAATGTTAAAACGCCAATTTTCCTAAATATCCCTATAAACGCCGCTAAAAACTCACCAAAAAGCCACTTGAAGAAATCTCTCATGTCTCCGAACTAAGCAGAACTTGCGACATAGCAACGATTAACCCTTATATTCCTCCAATATTTGCATGTTTACAGGCCCTCCCAAAGAACTCAAGCCGCTCATGATAAGTCTATCGTTCTCAAACAAACCCTAGGAAGCGATTTGAGTAGAAATTCATTTTTTATTCTTGAGTACAGGAATTTTCGATCTCGCCAAGTTTATTTTCATTTTCTGCTGCGGCACTTGGGGAAGAAGATCGAGAACTGACGATGATTTGCTAAAAGAAAGGGATTAATAAATACCTTTTTTGTGGAAAAACCTTAGATTTGATTCGTCAATGATGCCAATATCGGGGGTGGAAACAGTTCTCCGTCGTCTTGTTTTGGTTTTAGTCCCTTTCATGAATGGCCAAAAATTAGATCTTCGGGTTCCAGTAGTTTTCTTCGTTGATTTTGCTTTGAGAACGGGGAGTTTGACCATTGGTGGAGTCATTGTTGCTAGAAAATTCTCGGTTATTAGACGATCAATAGACGATTTTGCTTAATTTTTGACGAAAACATACCGACATTGGCGACCAAAACCGGCGGAGTAAAAAAGCTTTCGTTAACCTTTTTCAGCGATCGTAACTTCTTGATTTCCGCTCTGTATTTTTGACAATTTGGACAGCTCGGAAGCTCATTTGACAGTTTGCTCGTGCTAAAATGCGTTTGAATTTTAAGTTTTAAGGACCCCCCCATCAAGATGGATAATGTCCAAATTTTCATTATTTGTTGACTTTTTTGGGTTGTTTAGAGAACGAGGAAAAACTTTTTTTTTGAAAATTTTTTTGCTGCTATAGAAAATATTTGCAAAAATTGGGTTTAAAAATCGAAAATTTGCATTATATTTTTAATGAAAATCTTAGATTTGCTCTTTTTTAATTTAAATTAAGGGTATACCTATCTTAAAATGCATTTCCTTCATAAAAATTGTTTGAAAAACATTATTGAGGGCAATTTAGGCAGGAAAAACAGAAAATTAAAATCTGAAAATTTGCTAAATTTTCGCCTTATAAATTTTTAAAGGGGCTTCCCTCCTTAAATTTATTGACCAAAAACTCTCTTTAGGTAAACGGTCGTAGCTTAGGGCCTAAACTTGTAAAATTGAAATTAAGGGTCTACCTAAGATTGTTTCTGAGAAAAACTTTCACTAAACAGCCCGTATTTCACGATTCTTGATGGGGGGGTCCTTAAAAGCTCAAAAACCTTTCTTTCGGGGCAATTTGTAATTTTTCAAAGGCAAAATCCGGGCTTGAGCAAGGTTTGACGACGATTCGTGAGACTTTTCTTCTTGACATGGGTTCCTTTTGTGATTTTTAAAAACTGATCATTATGTTTGCTGTGATAACAAATAAAGAATCTAATTCTAGAGACAAGAATATTCTGAGAACTCGATTCTAGCCGCAAATGCGTGTTGGCTCAACGTGACTCGCCGGGTGAGGATGTCGGCCGAGGGACCAGGTCGAAAAAGGGCCTGTAATGCCGGTACTTTTACAAGCAGATGGATAGCAGATTGAAATGAGAGATAGAAAGGTTGGCCTATCCAGAATTTAGTTTTTTTAAAAAATCTCCCTCGATATGACTTTTTCATTGAAAAATGACAATTAAATTTATTCGTATGGTTTTGTTTATTTCAGTAAAGCTTTCGGATGCTGAGATCCATCTTCAGTACTAGAATAAAGTGTAAAGAATACGAAAAGAAGTAAAAATTTACCTTTGAGGGCTAGACTTTGAGAGAGAGTAGCGCACTGAAGTTCAAATGAAAGATTTCAAGGGAAATGAATTTGGTCTAGAGAATTTTTGAAAAAGTAAATGTTGAACTAGAGATTTTTTGAAAATGATCCGAAGCCCGATTATATTAATCATTTCAAAAAATCTCTAGTTCAACATTTACTTTTTCAAAAATTCTCTAGACCAAATTCATTTCCCTTGAAATCTTTCATTTGAACTTCAGTGGGCTACTCTCTCGCAAAGTCTAGCCCTCAAAGGTTAATTTTTACTTCTTTTCGTATTCTTTACACTTTATTCTAGTACTGAAGATGGATCTCAGCATCCGAAAGCTTTACTGAAATAAACAAAACCATACCAATTTCATCGATGTCAAACAACAAGAGATTAAATTTATTCATGAAGAAATATAATTTTTATCTTTAATAATTGATAAGTAAAAATCAGTATTTCGCTCCGAATTCTATGCCAAAGCACCGAGAAATCTGGCATCGGTCCAAAATCTACGCCGAAATGATTGCTCCAAGGAAAATGGCGTTACCGCACAAATTGTTGCTACAAGGCGTGGCTTTTCGATTTTCTTTTCGAATAACCATAATTTTATTTTGAGTTTTAACCTCCGCTATTTTATCAATTTGCTGTTTGGTGATACTCTTTGACTTTGTACCAACGACGGCGATATTGTACAAATAATGTAAAGAATATATTAATGCAAATAAATGTATAATTATGAATTACAGTAAAAAGTGCTCATAAAACAGAATAATTCTCAAAAATCTTTTTTACCAATCGCCGACAAGTTTCGTAATATCCGAGCGTCAAGAGCACAATTAACCCCTCCCACCTTCCAATAACCGCGGCAAAGCACCCTTTTCGCCATCAAATTCTAGGTTCAGATGAAGCCGACATTGCAAAGCCATCGTCTTCAAAATAGCCAGAAAAGCAGTCAAAGATTTCGAGTTTCTTTACTGTAAAAAAAAATGCTTAAAGTCCTCTTAAGTTGGAACTTTTTAGGATGACAAAATAAGCCAAATTGACGCAAAAGTCCTCTTAAGTTAGGGCCTCTTAAGATGGGTAACCACTGTATGTGCGCGTAAGGGCTTTTTCGCGCGAAGTCGAAATTTTGTGCTTGATCAAACGCCGGGAGCTCGGAAAAGAATCGATGGGCAGCTGTGAGGCGGGCTCAATTTTTGTCTACGACTCCCCGTCGCTCGATTAATATTCAACCCTTTTTCATACTCTGCCAAGTTGTATTGAAAGAGTCAGCGGGTGAGGCGAGGGTTGAAAGATCATGAAATTTATACTCTTCCTGTTTCTGTAGAAAACCTGACTCTGGTTCTGAAAGAGCTTGATTAAAAGCCGCGCAGCGGCTCTCACGAAAAAAGACCGCGAAGCCGCTTCATTACTTTGCGGAAAATAAAAAGTTTTCTGAGCCCAGCTTTCGAGAAAGAACACTTGATTGCGATTTTTATTTCAGAAAATTAACAGCAAATTTTACAGTTAAAGCTTAACAGGTCATTAAGATCAAGATTCTTATTAAATCCTATTGATGAAAATATCTCTTGATTTTTTCCAAAACAACAAAAATGAAGCAACAAATCCTCCCTTATCTCCATCTCCGTTCAACCCCGGTGACGGAGAAAGATCTTTGTTTCACAAAAAGATAATTCATCAGAAAAGAAAGGCAGATTGATACAATAGCAATAAATCGTATCGGAAGTAGCAGGCGCTTGGGATCAGTGAACCGGAAGAAGAACTTCTCACCGACTCAAGCGAAAAAGTGGTAATGATCAGGGTGTCAAATCGCGGGGGATTTTGAAGGGATCGCGCGCCACAGCGCCGTTTCGATCCCACGGTGTAAGGGATCGCCTCGCAGCGAGAGGCAACGAGAAGGGAGCGCTCACATAAACAAAGGGATCGCGCCGATCCCTTCGCGCGTGGGATATCCCTTCGCGCAAGGGATCTTAAAATTCCGAAAACGAGCGACCTTGTAAAAATTCAATAACAATCAATTTTTAATGCAAAAAAAGATCAACATATAATAATCCTTACTTTTTTAACGAAAATACTAAGAAAAATTATGCCATAATTAATCCGACTTTGGGTTATTCAATTAAAAAAATAATATTATTCATGTAAAAATTCACCATGATTCTGACTTCATCACAGCTGTTTGGTACCTCGAGTCTTTTCACGTCTTTTCTGTGATTTTATCTTCAGCTGCTTGGAAATAAACCCTTCATATCTGATTCTCGCAGCGGGGTATTACTCAGATACTTTACTAATGATCGGAAATCAGTCCATCTGCAGAAGGACGCCATCTTTCCAGATGTACTGTCAATATAAAGTCCGTCAAAAATGAAATTTTTTCGTAAATATGAGTCAAAAACGGCCATTTGATGAAGGTCCTTTGCTTTCTCCGCCATCTACTCCATTTGAGAAAAAGAAAAAAACCAAAGATGAGTTCAAGAAAATTGTAGAGATTCTAGAAGAAGATGAGAAGCTCGTTTGCACTTCAGAGATCCATCACAATTACACAGCAGATTTCAAACTAGAGAAAATCACGAAGTCAGACCAGACGCCGACGCCATATCTCATTTGCCGGAGCCCCTTCTGCACTAATGCTGAATACAAACATAAGGTAAGAAAAAATTGACCAGATTTGAGTTAAAATTAACCTTTTTCATGTAAAAATTGACCCTTTTCCATGTAAAAATTGACCTTTTTCATGTAAAATTTGACGCATTTCATGGAAAAATTGACCCTTTTTATGTAAAATTTGACCTTTTTCATGTAAAATTTGACCTTTTTCATGTAAAAATTGACCCTTTCATGTAAAAATTGATCGGTCGTGAGAAAAAATTAGCCGTTTTAATGTTAAAAAACGACCAGTCAAGTAAAATTAACTCTTTTATAGGTTTTCTTTGGCATTCGAGGCAATTTGGCGAAAGCGAGCCATGCGACTGACTACTACGTGAAACGGCACATCCAAGAACACCATCGTTCAATTACAACCGACGCCGAAGAGCTTGAGGAAATCGCCGCAGAAGTTGTTGCGAACGATGGTCTTTCAATTTGTGCTTTTGAAACCGAAACAATGAAGAAATTTTGCGCAAGGGCTCATCAGGCAATAGCGAATGGAATAAGCAGTCACAAAATTGTGAAGATTCTCAGGTAAAAATTAACCATTATATTTGGATATATAAATTTTCAAGGCGCAAAAGTACCGTTTCGAATGGTATCGTCAAGTCCAAGCTGCCTGGTCTCATCCAGGAAAACAGATGTTGCTTGGTCCTTGATGGATTCGACTGCCCTCGGCTAACGAAAGAAAGAAGTAGCAAATACCTTGGGGTCTTCATCGGCTTTTACGATTCGAACCTGCGAAAGACACGATTTTTCTTCTTCATTACGGGGTCATCTTCAAAGCAACTGATGCGAATGTACGTCGACAACTAGAAAACGTCCTCTCGGATTGGAATATCCTCGAGTTTTTTCACGCAAAACGACTTCCAGTTGTTGGAGATGCGCCAATGGCTCAGGCCTTCTCCGACTACTTCGCCGTTGTCTGTGCAAGCCACACGATTTCGAATCAGTTAAAAAGGTAAATACATCATTCTTATTTCATCAAATAACGTCTTCACTTTAGATATATTACCCTTGTCCAGAGCGATGCAATCGTCGGCGATAGCTGTGTCGAGATCGAGAAAGCGGTCTCAGCATGCAATCATCGAGCTGAACGAGACGACTGCTCCGAGAAATCCTTCAATGATCTGGTGAAAAGCTACACTCCAACTGAAGACGAGCTCAAGCACATCAGGCAATTCTACCCGAATTACGACAAATTCGTTACGATCGACAGGATCTATTACATCAGATTCAGGTTTGTTCTTCATCATTGCTTGTAACAATTGACCTTTTCCATGTAAAAATTGACCCATTCCATGTAAAAATTGACCCTTTTCGTGAAAAATTTGACCCTTTTCATGTAAATATTGACCGTTTTAATGTAAAAATTAACCCCTTTATGTAAAAATTAACCCTTTCAATGTAAAAATTGACCCTTTTCATGTAAAAATTTACCGTTTCACGATAAAATTAACCGAGGTCATGTTTAAACTAATCGAAAATATGTAATTATTAACTTTATCTTTCAGATCTTTCATCACGACCTACAAGCAGCTCATGGCAAACGAACCTCTTCTTCGTCGCCACCAGAAGTACCTGACTGACTCAAAGTCGATCTTACACGAAATCGACTGGAAGCTCGTTCATTACCTCCACTCAGTCTCCCAAGTCTTCGAGCCTGCTCTGGCGTCCACCGATTCGGATCACTTCTCGGTTGGTGACACTCTAACAAAACTGTTCGACTTGCTGAAATTCTTGCTTCAAATTGATCCGGCTGACTTCAAGGAAATCCACCAGGAGCTGATTCTGACCGTAGCAGACTACATTTTCGGTGCTAACATCACTGGACGGAAGCCATCGAGAGGATCCTACATCAAATCGAGAGCAAATCCAGCTGCTTTGATCGGGCTCTCCCTTGACTTCTTTAGCCGTCACTTCGAATTCACCTTGATCCGTAACCGACTTGACGACGCCTTTGAGAAGGATTCGTTCATCACCAAGTCTACATACGACACCCTCATCAATTGCTTCGATACTGCAGTTCCTGTCTGGAAGGAGACAATGCGCAAGACCTTCTTTGACCTAGCTGAGCAAACCAAACCAATTGAGGAAATCTTCATTCTTGTAAGTAAAGGTTAATTTTTACCCGGAGCTGGTTAATTTTTTCCCAAAAAAGGTTAATTTCTACCAAGTTTCGATTAATTTTTGCATTAAGCGGTAAATTTTTACCCGAAATCGGATGAATTTTTCATAGGAAAGGTCCATTTTTACTCAGACGCGATCAATTTTTACATAAAACAGCATTAATAATTAACTTTATTTTAGGTTCCTGTTGAAAACCAGCAACAGAAGACACCATCAGCAGCTCCTTCATCACAGCCAAAGACGTTGACTCCTCCAAACTCACAGGAGCGCGCTCCGCCGACACCTCCATCTTCTCAAGCAAAGTCGACTTTCGAGGAAGAAATGGAGCAATATTCGAGCGACGAGGATGAATGCGAAAAATCATCAACTGATGAGTTCTCTGCATGGTTCAAGAAGGAGAGCAAGATGGAGCGCAAAGAAAGCGTCAAAAGATACAAGCAATGGTTGAACCAGCTCGATCCCATGTTCAAGACCTCCGCCAGTACGGCCGAACGGAGCTTGATGTATTTCACGCATCACGCTGGAACTTACCCGACATTCGCCAGAATCGCACAACTCATACGCTCAACTCCTGGCTCAAGCGGCAGCATCGAACGTCTCTTCTCGAAAGCGAACGATATCATGTCTTCAAAACGAAACTGCTTGAACACCAGTACTGTTGAACTCATTCTACAAGTGTCTTCTTATCCAAATGTACAGAATCTATTTGAATAAATGTTTTTTGCTGAAAATTTCCCGTCGAAATCATGCATTTATAAACCTTTTGCATGCAAAAATTAACCAAATTCATGAAAAAATTAACCTTGATCATGCTAAAATATCCCTTTTTTAAGTATAAATTGACCGAGGTCATGTAAATATAAACCGAATTCATGAGAAAATTAACCTTGATCATGCAATAATTAACCCATTCTAAGCATTAATTGACCGAGGTCATGCAAATATTAACCATTTTCAAGAAAAAATTAACCTTAGTCGCGCAAAAATTGACCAAAATCGGATAAATCAGGCTTTAAGTCGATTAAAACGCCCTTAAATGGCCCTTAGCCAATCAAACCGATCTAAAATGGCTCTTAACCAATCAAAACGCTCGAAAATGTCTATCAGCCAATCAAAACGCTCGAAAATGCCCCTTAGCCAATCAAAACGCTCGAAAATGTCTATTAGCCAATCAAAACGCTCAAAAATGTCTATTAGCCAATCAAAACGCTCGAAAATGTCTATCAGCCAATCAAAACGCTCGAAAATGTCAATCAGCCAATCAAAACGCTTGAAAATGCCCCTTAGCCAATCGAAACGCTCGAAAATGTCTATTAGCCAATCAAAACTCTCGAAATGTCTATCAGCCAATCAAAACGCTCGAAACTGTCTATCAGCCAATCAAAAATCTACGTATCAAAAACGATTTTGAGGCTTCATTTTTTGAGAGTCTTTGAGCCGTTAAGCATTCAGAACCAAGAATATGTTATTTTTGAAAATTCTCTAGAATTATTATTCTTACGTTTGGAAAAAAACGAAAAAAATCAGTTTAGAAGTATGACAAGAAAGGCTTGGAAGTTCCCCATGGCGTGCACGATTTGTTTGAAATCTGTGAAGCCACAAACATTAGACTGGCACTTTTCTCATTACCATGCGGAAATACGACCATCTGATCGAGTCAATTATGTAACCAAGTGCGTTATTTCATCAGAAAAATAACTTTTCTCAGGAAAATGTTTGAACAGGGGTCTAAATTCGCAGTGCCAATTCGCTTTTTGCGAAACCCTAGCACTCTCGTTATTCCATGCACAGAAATTATCAAACAAATAAAAGATCTCTTGAAATTGATGAGAACGACCCGGGTAGATCGAAGATTCGAGCAACATTCGTGGATAATATGAATAGATCCAGGGTGTCAAATCGCGGGGGATTTTGAAGGGATCGCGCGCCACAGCGCCGTTTCGATCCCACGGTGTAAGGGATCGCCTCGCAGCGAGAGGCAACGAGAAGGGAGCGCTCACATAAACAAAGGGATCGCGCCGATCCCTTCGCGCGTGGGATATCCCTTCGCGCAAGGGATCTTAAAATTCCGAAAACGAGCGACCTTGTAAAAATTCAATAACAATCAATTTTTAATGCAAAAAAAGATCAACATATAATAATCCTTACTTTTTTAACGAAAATACTAAGAAAAATTATGCCATAATTAATCCGACTTTGGTTTATTCAATTAAAAAAATAATATTATTCATGTAAAAATTCACCATGATTCTGACTTCATCACAGCTGTTTGGTACCTCGAGTCTTTTCACGTCTTTTCTGTGATTTTATCTTCAGCTGCTTGGAAATAAACCCTTCATATCTGATTCTCGCAGCGGGGTATTACTCAGATACTTTACTAATGATCGGAAATCAGTCCATCTGCAGAAGGACGCCATCTTTCCAGATGTACTGTCAATATAAAGTCCGTCAAAAATGAAATTTTTTCGTAAATATGAGTCAAAAACGGCCATTTGATGAAGGTCCTTTGCTTTCTCCGCCATCTACTCCATTTGAGAAAAAGAAAAAAAAACCAAAGATGAGTTCAAGAAAATTGTAGAGATTCTAGAAGAAGATGAGAAGCTCGTTTGCACTTCAGAGATCCATCACAATTACACAGCAGATTTCAAACTAGAGAAAATCACGAAGTCAGACCAGACGCCGACGCCATATCTCATTTGCCGGAGCCCCTTCTGCACTAATGCTGAATACAAACATAAGGTAAGAAAAAATTGACCAGATTTGAGTTAAAATTAACCTTTTTCATGTAAAAATTGACCCTTTTCCATGTAAAAATTGACCTTTTTCATGTAAAATTTGACGCATTTCATGGAAAAATTGACCCTTTTTATGTAAAATTTGACCTTTTTCATGTAAAATTTGACCTTTTTCATGTAAAAATTGACCCTTTCATGTAAAAATTGATCGGTCGTGAGAAAAAATTAGCCGTTTTAATGTTAAAAAACGACCAGTCAAGTAAAATTAACTCTTTTATAGGTTTTCTTTGGCATTCGAGGCAATTTGGCGAAAGCGAGCCATGCGACTGACTACTACGTGAAACGGCACATCCAAGAACACCATCGTTCAATTACAACCGACGCCGAAGAGCTTGAGGAAATCGCCGCAGAAGTTGTTGCGAACGATGGTCTTTCAATTTGTGCTTTTGAAACCGAAACAATGAAGAAATTTTGCGCAAGGGCTCATCAGGCAATAGCGAATGGAATAAGCAGTCACAAAATTGTGAAGATTCTCAGGTAAAAATTAACCATTATATTTGGATATATAAATTTTCAAGGCGCAAAAGTACCGTTTCGAATGGTATCGTCAAGTCCAAGCTGCCTGGTCTCATCCAGGAAAACAGATGTTGCTTGGTCCTTGATGGATTCGACTGCCCTCGGCTAACGAAAGAAAGAAGTAGCAAATACCTTGGGGTCTTCATCGGCTTTTACGATTCGAACCTGCGAAAGACACGATTTTTCTTCTTCATTACGGGGTCATCTTCAAAGCAACTGATGCGAATGTACGTCGACAACTAGAAAACGTCCTCTCGGATTGGAATATCCTCGAGTTTTTTCACGCAAAACGACTTCCAGTTGTTGGAGATGCGCCAATGGCTCAGGCCTTCTCCGACTACTTCGCCGTTGTCTGTGCAAGCCACACGATTTCGAATCAGTTAAAAAGGTAAATACATCATTCTTATTTCATCAAATAACGTCTTCACTTTAGATATATTACCCTTGTCCAGAGCGATGCAATCGTCGGCGATAGCTGTGTCGAGATCGAGAAAGCGGTCTCAGCATGCAATCATCGAGCTGAACGAGACGACTGCTCCGAGAAATCCTTCAATGATCTGGTGAAAAGCTACACTCCAACTGAAGACGAGCTCAAGCACATCAGGCAATTCTACCCGAATTACGACAAATTCGTTACGATCGACAGGATCTATTACATCAGATTCAGGTTTGTTCTTCATCATTGCTTGTAACAATTGACCTTTTCCATGTAAAAATTGACCCATTCCATGTAAAAATTGACCCTTTTCGTGAAAAATTTGACCCTTTTCATGTAAATATTGACCGTTTTAATGTAAAAATTAACCCCTTTATGTAAAAATTAACCCTTTCAATGTAAAAATTGACCCTTTTCATGTAAAAATTTACCGTTTCACGATAAAATTAACCGAGGTCATGTTTAAACTAATCGAAAATATGTAATTATTAACTTTATCTTTCAGATCTTTCATCACGACCTACAAGCAGCTCATGGCAAACGAACCTCTTCTTCGTCGCCACCAGAAGTACCTGACTGACTCAAAGTCGATCTTACACGAAATCGACTGGAAGCTCGTTCATTACCTCCACTCAGTCTCCCAAGTCTTCGAGCCTGCTCTGGCGTCCACCGATTCGGATCACTTCTCGGTTGGTGACACTCTAACAAAACTGTTCGACTTGCTGAAATTCTTGCTTCAAATTGATCCGGCTGACTTCAAGGAAATCCACCAGGAGCTGATTCTGACCGTAGCAGACTACATTTTCGGTGCTAACATCACTGGACGGAAGCCATCGAGAGGATCCTACATCAAATCGAGAGCAAATCCAGCTGCTTTGATCGGGCTCTCCCTTGACTTCTTTAGCCGTCACTTCGAATTCACCTTGATCCGTAACCGACTTGACGACGCCTTTGAGAAGGATTCGTTCATCACCAAGTCTACATACGACACCCTCATCAATTGCTTCGATACTGCAGTTCCTGTCTGGAAGGAGACAATGCGCAAGACCTTCTTTGACCTAGCTGAGCAAACCAAACCAATTGAGGAAATCTTCATTCTTGTAAGTAAAGGTTAATTTTTACCCGGAGCTGGTTAATTTTTTCCCAAAAAAGGTTAATTTCTACCAAGTTTCGATTAATTTTTGCATTAAGCGGTAAATTTTTACCCGAAATCGGATGAATTTTTCATAGGAAAGGTCCATTTTTACTCAGACGCGATCAATTTTTACATAAAACAGCATTAATAATTAACTTTATTTTAGGTTCCTGTTGAAAACCAGCAACAGAAGACACCATCAGCAGCTCCTTCATCACAGCCAAAGACGTTGACTCCTCCAAACTCACAGGAGCGCGCTCCGCCGACACCTCCATCTTCTCAAGCAAAGTCGACTTTCGAGGAAGAAATGGAGCAATATTCGAGCGACGAGGATGAATGCGAAAAATCATCAACTGATGAGTTCTCTGCATGGTTCAAGAAGGAGAGCAAGATGGAGCGCAAAGAAAGCGTCAAAAGATACAAGCAATGGTTGAACCAGCTCGATCCCATGTTCAAGACCTCCGCCAGTACGGCCGAACGGAGCTTGATGTATTTCACGCATCACGCTGGAACTTACCCGACATTCGCCAGAATCGCACAACTCATACGCTCAACTCCTGGCTCAAGCGGCAGCATCGAACGTCTCTTCTCGAAAGCGAACGATATCATGTCTTCAAAACGAAACTGCTTGAACACCAGTACTGTTGAACTCATTCTACAAGTGTCTTCTTATCCAAATGTACAGAATCTATTTGAATAAATGTTTTTTGCTGAAAATTTCCCGTCGAAATCATGCATTTATAAACCTTTTGCATGCAAAAATTAACCAAATTCATGAAAAAATTAACCTTGATCATGCTAAAATATCCCTTTTTTAAGTATAAATTGACCGAGGTCATGTAAATATAAACCGAATTCATGAGAAAATTAACCTTGATCATGCAATAATTAACCCATTCTAAGCATTAATTGACCGAGGTCATGCAAATATTAACCATTTTCAAGAAAAATTAACCTTAGTCGCGCAAAAATTGACCAAAATCGGATAAATCAGGCTTTAAGTCGATTAAAACGCCCTTAAATGGCCCTTAGCCAATCAAACCGATCTAAAATGGCTCTTAACCAATCAAAACGCTCGAAAATGTCTATCAGCCAATCAAAACGCTCGAAAATGCCCCTTAGCCAATCAAAACGCTCGAAAATGTCTATTAGCCAATCAAAACGCTCAAAAATGTCTATTAGCCAATCAAAACGCTCGAAAATGTCTATCAGCCAATCAAAACGCTCGAAAATGTCAATCAGCCAATCAAAACGCTTGAAAATGCCCCTTAGCCAATCGAAACGCTCGAAAATGTCTATTAGCCAATCAAAACTCTCGAAATGTCTATCAGCCAATCAAAACGCTCGAAACTGTCTATCAGCCAATCAAAATCTACGTATCAAAAACGATTTTGAGGCTTCATTTTTGAGAGTCTTTGAGCCGTTAAGCATTCAGAACCAAGAATATGTTATTTTTGAAAATTCTCTAGAATTATTATTCTTACGTTTGGAAAACGAAAAAATCAGTTTAGAAGTATGACAAGAAAGGCTTGGAAGTTCCCCATGGCGTGCACGATTTGTTTGAAATCTGTGAAGCCACAAACATTAGACTGGCACTTTTCTCATTACCATGCGGAAATACGACCATCTGATCGAGTCAATTATGTAACCAAGTGCGTTATTTCATCAGAAAAAATAACTTTTCTCAGGAAAATGTTTGAACAGGGGTCTAAATTCGCAGTGCCAATTCGCTTTTTTGCGAAACCCTAGCACTCTCGTTATTCCATGCACAGAAATTATCAAACAAATAAAAGATCTCTTGAAATTGATGAGAACGACCCGGGTAGATCGAAGATTCGAGCAACATTCGTGGATAATATGAATAGATCTAAGTCTCGCTTGATTGAAGTTAATTCAATCTTAAAGTCTAAAGCAAGAGTTTCATAATAAAAAAAATATTCAAAGAGAAGTTACTTTTCACAATGAAACGCGTGAAAAGAGCCGTTGCTGTTTTTGATCAACCATTTGGTGAATAATCGCATATCAACGCTTCCTGCCAATGTTTCTTATATCGGTAGGTTTATCAAATTCAAAACTCTCTAAAAAGCAAAAAATGATAAAAAGATGCTTAAAAAACACGTCTTCACGACTCGAAAGCGTGCCGCGGCATCTCGAAATCATTTTCGACTTCGTTTATTGAATATATTTGTCTTACAAATATATGGAGATGATCCTCTCCAAATTGATCCTCCCGTTCTTCTTATTCCCGCTGATCCAATGGAGTGGTAAGCTAGGGTCGGACTTCCTTCCTTAATTTTTTGCTTTCTAAGGGTCCTTTCCTTAGTAAGGTAAGGATGCTTTACTTACCCTTTTTCGGGTTTCGGCGGAAAAAAATCCTTTCCATAGTTCCTTTCTGAGTTTTCAGAGATCATCAGATTCATCAATTTCAAAACCCTTACCCTTAGTAACTAAGGAAACCTAAGTAAGGGGTCCGACCCTAGGTGGTAAATTTAAGGGGAAGAGTATCAATATTCACATTTTAACATATTATTTAGTCCCATTGGTCGAGATGACTGTCAAAAAGTATTTGCTGCTGCTCAATGCGAAAAGTGTCCACCAATGTGCTTGGCGTGTCACAAAAGAAGCCTTCCTCCTCATTTCCGCTGTCCCTTTTGTCGACAGACAATGATGTAATTTCTTTCTTTTTTAAATAATATAATCAGACAAACTTATTAAACTTAATTTGAACATGAGTTTAATTTTAATCAGAAAAAGAGGAGAAAAACTACACTAGATCTGAAAAATTCATAAAATTTGAGACAATAACGAAGAGTTCTGAGTTTTTGAAAAGCGGCGCGAGCTTGATCGGAGAAAATTCCACGCATGAAGCCTGGCGCTAGCCCGCGCGTTTGCTCTGCTATTTTCACCGCGATCCCTTTCCGTTCAAAAAGCGCGCGAGCGATCCCTTCAGACTTGGGATCGAGCGTGGGCGGTGGCGCGCGATCCCTTCTCGATCCCCCGCGATTTGACACCCTGGTAATGATGATCTTGATAGCGGCGCGGCCTGTCATTTTTATGATTTCTGAAAACCTTTTTGAAGGTCTTTGAACTTCTTTTTCGCGCGTTTTTTGAACTCTGAAAATCAATATAAATAAATTTCGGTTATATATAATATTAAAATAATATTAGGTATATACCTAATATATTATATACCTATATATTATAATATTCGATTCGGTTACTAAACTTACTCGCAGAAAAATTTTTGCTGAAGAGGATCAGCAATTTTTCTATTTGAATAAATCCAGTTCTGTCCGCTTTTGAAATCCATTATGGTTTTTTAATCAAATTACAAAATAAAAAATATGATTTTTCAAACTTCGTTCCCAAAAAGAAAACAAAATCTTGAAGTTGGGTGATTTTTTCACTTAATCCTTCATTTTTGGCGAAATGACTGGCTTTTCTGTGAAGTTAAGTATAAAAATGTATTACCTTAAGCCATAGTATGAAGGAAAATGAACTATGGTTTTAGAGTAATACTAATCCGGATTTTCATTTAAAAAATCAGTTTCCATTACGATTAAGATCATTTATGGTGTTTCTTTGTTTTTCTCCCTAGAAAAATAAATCCCTTCAGAAATGCGCATACAGTACTTTTTGACTACTTTTGAAGCTCGGTACTTTTTGCCATCCGATTGGTCCAGCACTTGAATTAAACAATCGGCTTCCTGAGCCCCTTGTACGGCTCATCCCTGGCTCTCGATTCTAGAGCGCCACCGAGTCCGTCTGACACGGCAATTGAGCCTTTTTCGAACATTTGGTGCGCCCGCGGGCCCATTACTCGGAGCGCACAGCCTGGCGACGGACGATTATTAATTTTTCGAAAAAGCGCGTTCCACCAAGTGGCTTAGCATTTTCCTCCCTTTTTCGGCGCCCAAGGATGAAGATTTGAAGAGATGGAGGAAGTCCTAGAAACCCTTCTAGGGACGAATTTAACGAGAGTAGAGAATGTCACGATTGAAGATGATTTGATTTTATCGACGAATGCTTCGACGAGCCTGAATTCGAGCGTGGAGGAACTGCATGCTAGCGATTTGATTATTTTGAGACAAAGAGAGTAAGTCAAAATTTTTGAAGTAGGAACTGTATGAATGTTTTGACGTGCTTTTTTAAGGTTAAGGAAGTTATTTCACCCACTTCCTTGATTTTAGACCCAGAACACCATACATATTTGGAATCAGTGGAGAAAATCTAGAAACTTGACCGTTTAAGTTTTTCGAAATTCACTTCCGGTTGCGATTCTAGAGCCGGAAGAAGGCGAAATTTTGGAGTCAGGGCAAAGTGTGATGTATCAAATTGATGCGCAGAAGATTCGCAGTCATCTCATCATCAATTAATTAGAAGAAACAGTCCCAACCGCGGTTAAACTGACCGGTAAAACTATGAAAAAGCATGATTTCGTGAGAAATTTTCAATTTTTATCGGTTGTTTACCGGCGGTTTTTGACGACGGTTGGACTCGGTTTCGATCCAAAATGACTTGACTTGTTGTAAGCTGCAATTTGATAGGTCATATGCATGCTTTTCTTATAAATTTCGTGCATTTCCGGCTCTAGAATCGTAACCGGAAGTGAATTTCGAAAAACTAAAACGGTCAAGTTTCTTGATTTTCTACACTGATTCCAAATATGTATGGTGTTCTAAAACAAGGAAGTGGGTGAAATAACTTCCTTAACCTTAAAAAAGCACGTCTTTGGTATTATATCATTTTTGCGAAATCTGTATAAAATCATGAATTTTCGCTGAAAAAATTTTTATGGTTCTTGAATAATTGCTTGAATTTTAAGCATAACGATTTTTGAGTTTTTTTAAATAGAAATCGTATGAAAAATTTCTCAATGAAATAAAAACCTATAATTACCCCGAGATTTCCATATGGCGCGGATTGATCGATGATGATCCAGCTCGGATCGCCAAAACCTTTATCCGGTTAGAAGTAATCATTAATTTTCAGCTTGAAGATCGTCTTCTCAATTCTCGGCGCTTTGGTTGGATTCGTCTCTCTCACAGCTCTCATATTAAAGTAAGCTCTAGAATTGAAGGTGCTGATTTTAAATGAATTCTAGAGTCCGGGCACATGCCGGAGACTGTTTGACAAAGCCTGAGTCAGGATTTGAATGCCCTCCTTCGTATCCAAGTTCACCGCCACCCTATGCAATTGCACTTCAGGTATTCTACAGTAATCTCCTTCCAGAGCGCTCATTTTAACCTTCAGCTGTTCAACAGCATGCGACGATCTCGCCGGCGAGGTCAAGCACGCGACTCAAGATCCGCGGAAGAGACGGCTGCCGATCCGGGAACACCGCCGCCGAGTTACCGCGACGTAACGCAATCACCACCGCCATACTCGCCAAAAGAGCTTCCACTTTAGTCAATTTCCGACTTTCTACAAAACAAACTCATTTTCTTCAATGACGACAATATTCAAAACACACTTTTTTCTTTTCAATAAATCAAAATTGAAAACACAAAATTTGTATTTAGGGTCTTGAAAGCCTTGGCAAAGGGGCTTTTTTCTGTCTCAGTAAAGGTCCAACTTCGCAAGGATTTTACTTTCAATAATTATTGATGTTACTTCATTTACCATTTTATGCCATACATAAAAAATCGAGATCATTGTTATTTAAGCCCAAATGATCAATTTTTCATTGAATCTTTAAGTGATAAACGCCCGCTCCGCGGGTTTAGTGGTAGGAAATTCAAAGGGATAAACAACAAGAACAAAAGAGTCTCTAGAATTTTAGTGAAAATGTCACGAAAAAGAAACATGTTTTCGTGACATTCGTGACATTCGTTACATTCGTGACATTCGTGACATTCGTTACATTTTCAGTACTGTCGGTCATATATGACACCAGGAGTTTCAAACGCCCGTAACTCATTTGTAACTTGGTCTGAGAATTTCGCTGACCCCCTTTATGCCCCTACTTTTCGCTTAGCTTTCACTTGGTATCAACTTAATGGGCGCTGCTTCGCTACAAATGCATGAGAAAAGCGAATTTCGCTTCGCTACTTGTGTGTCGTATATGACACACGAATGCATTGAAATTGTGTCATATACGACACATTGTCGTCGTAGGGGAAATTCTCGTTTCTCGTCGTAAGGTTAAAAATAATCGTAAATACGGAGTCGCGAGATCGGCCTTTCTTGTTTATGAATCATGTTTATGATCATGCGAGATTGAAAAAACGCTTGAACATACTTTTAGGAAATTTATTTAAACAACACTACTGAAAAACTATGAAAAAATCTTTGACAATATTTTCCGGAAAAATCGTGTTTTGACGCATCCAATAGAGTTGACGAAAGAAGCAATTAAAAAATGGCTTGAGGATTTTAAAAAGAAAGTGAGGAGAACAACGAGCAGAGATGATTTGGATAGGTTGATTTTGTCCGTCGAGAGAACAGAATTTGAAGAAGACGATTCTTGTGGATGGCAGGAGATTATATTTGAAAACGGAAAAGGAAAAATTCTGAAAAATTCCATTCCAGAATTTTCCAGAAAAATTCCCAAGCGAAAGAACATGGACGATGACTTCCTTCCAAAAGATGATTCTCAACAAAAATCCGAATTTAAAGAAACGAAAAATTTGTCGTTCTGAATTAAAAGAAGAAAATGGTGAGTGAATTCTCGACGAGTCAATTCAAGAGAAAATGATTTCAACTGGAGGAGAAGCTATTGTTTTTGAAGAAAAATTTGGAGATTTGGAAGTTGCTGTTAGGGTTCAGGCATTTGACTCAGCACTGTTTGTAGAAGAAAAAGAATTAGAATTTTATATTCATCTTTCCAAAGGTAATGCTGATGTAACCCTGTGAGACGGCTCGAAATACATTGCGTAATCCTCTATGACAGGTTTTAAAGGGGGCCCGGAGAAATTGTCAAAAAAATACTTCCCTTGATCGTAAAGGGATGAATTACGGTTTGATTGAAAAATGGCGCAAAAGCGGCGCGCGAGAGGCGACATGCTGATGGAAAACCGGGTGATACAGCGCTCCTGCTGGTCCGATAGTTTCGTCGAATTTTTTGGAACAGTTCGATAGACGGGCTTTCCAATGAGTCCCTATTCATCCCTCTCGGATCACGGGTAATACCTTTTGTTCGAAAGTTCTCCGGGCCCCCTTAAAAATAAAATTGGTGGTGGCCTAAAACGTCGTCCAGTTGCTGCATGTGCGGCCTAAAACGTCTCTCCTGTTCCTGCATGTGTAGGCCTCAATCGTCTTTCCTGTTCCTGCATGTGTTGCTCAAAACGTCTTTCCTGTTGCTGCATGTGTTGCCTAAAACGTCTTTAGGGCGCCTAGGCTAAATGAATGAGTGAGTCGAGAGATGGTTGGTAAAGCCACGTCGCCTAACAGCCCAATAATAGCAGTAATAGCTAGCCTCGACGATGACTCGGCTTCTTACGTAACGATGAGACAGGAAAACAGATATTAGCCTAGGGGGCCCAAAAGACGTTTTAGGCAACACATGCAGCAACAGGAAAGACGTTTTGAGCAACACATGCAGGAACAGGAAAGACGATTGAGGCCTTCACATGCAGGAACAGGAGAGACGTTTTAGGCCGCACATGCAGCAACTGGACGACGTTTCAGGCCACCACCTATTTTACCTGTCTATTGAGAAGCGGCAGTGCATTCAGGCAGTCGATTTCTAGAGATTTTTGTCCCTTGGCCCCGGATGCACAATATTATTTAATAAATTTTAAGCTTTTTCTTTTAGACTTCAATAAAGCAGAAAAAACGGAAACATTTTCCGTACCTGTTATCCCAATTCATCCAAACGTCATCAAAAATTTCTGCAACATCGAAATTTATTGGAGCAAGAAGAGACAAGAATGCCTCGGTTGGATTACCATCATGGAGAAATGCGACTCAGATTTGAGAAGCAGACTGAAAAAAGAAGATTTGACTTTGGACGAGCGGAAGAAAATAGCGATCGGTGTTGAAAAGGGAAGACAGTATTTGGATCACATTGGAATCCAGCATTATGACAAGAAGCCGGAGAATATTTTGCTGAAAGATGGAGAAGCCAAGTGGATAGATTTTGGAAATATAAATGAAACGACAGGAAGCTGGAGCTATCGAAAAATGGGATATGCGAGGAGAGGAAACAGATATAGAGTTCGAAAATATTTATGTAAGTTTTGACTTGGATAAAACAAAATGTTGAACAACTAAAGCTCATTCAATGAGCCTCATTGTTTAAATCGGGCATCCTTAAGGGGGTCCCGAAATAAGCCATTTTCAAACGGCGCTCACGGTGTCACGGACTTAGATTTTTCAAAATTTTTTTCGTAAAACTAGATCATTCTTAGATCTAGTGAAGCGTGTCTCAAATTTTTTTAATCCAATCACATTCGGCGCTAGAGCGCCGAGAAGGTAACCATCTCGCGCAAAATCGCGTTTTTGGGTACATTTTGAACGAGATTTACTCCAAAAATTTAGGAAACAATTTATTTTTTCCTGTGGTTTTTGAAAGGTCTAACGCTAATCTAGTGAAGCGTATCTCAGTTTTTTCAAATTCCAAAAAATGATAATGTAACGAAGACGATCAAAATAATGTACGATTTTTGAAATTTCAACCATGCGAATTGCCTTCCGGGCATCACCCAAACCCATATTTTCGCGCATAAATAGAAAGCTGAGCTCATAGCCTTTCTAAAAATGTACCATATTCGTACTTTAGACAACTGTAAATAAGGGTTGATTTTAAAATCTCTATGCAAATACATCAAAATTGGCCACTTCAAGGTCAATTTTGGACACTTTTTTCTAAAACAATCGAAAAAAGCTAGAGACCTTTTTTGCAGCTTTTTGCATGAGGAATTCAAATCTGAAGAGAAAAATCTAGAATTCGAAAAATCTAAAAATCGTGGGGGACCCCTTAACGCCGGAACGCATATCGACCCATTTTTGGGTAAGGCGCTGAAATATGCCTTCAGAAATCATCATTTTGTAGTGTTTGAACAACAGATGAGAGATTTTTATGTATCTGTTCTTGCAGTTTATTGTCTGAAGATCTAATTTATGATAAAATTTGGGTTGATGTAAGCAAGAAAACGTGTCTACGGCCTCTCACCCAAAAATGGGTCGATATGCGCTCCGGGAAAAATCTATTTCATGCGTTCCGGCCTTAAATTGTAGATAGAAGGTTTAAAATCGATAAGTCATAATTCTCCTATCAAAGCCGGTTTTTCCTCATTTTTCTCACGAAAATCCCGATTCTCGTCGCCCCCTTTGGATTTCAGAATTAAATATTTCTTTTTCAATTTTCTATAGATGCCGGCACCGCTGCTTTTTCGGACAGCGAACAACTTTGTGGAAGAGGTGGAGGGTATCCATCAGAACTCCACATTTGAATTCTCTGCGATTGGAAAACAGCCTGGAGTCTCTTATTCAAGCCGATCGAAGAAGTCGAGAGAAAAGCTATTCAACATGAGTTAAAGGTTCATTCCTTCGTTTATCGTTGTCGTTAAATATTTTAAAGGTTTTTAATGCGGAGTGGCTTGGAAAGAAGAAAACTCCATCACTAAACCAAATCCAGAGCTTATCTAAAACAATTTCTTTAAAAACGCGACTTCTGATTTCTGTCTTAACGACCATAATTTAACGAAGTCTTCTCTAATGGCTCATCTTAAACAAAAATTGACAAGACAGATTCACTTAGAATTCAAAAACTTGACGAAGAATGTTTTAAACCAAAAAGAGAGCAATCTTTGCGTTCCCGTTTCAGTTTCCGTTCTTTTGAGATGGGCAATCAGAAATGATTTGAAAGTTGAAAAGTCAAAGATGGAAAGGAACTACACGCTTGAAACCATCTTTACTCATCTGACAATGATAGTTTACCCGCGAAGTTTCGCTGGCTTCAATCTTAATCCGAAAAAAACGGAACAAGAATTTCAAGCAAGCAATATTGATATGGTTTTAAGAAGAATGAAATTTAAAACATATCTAAATACGAGTGGTTGGGAAATTATAGAAAACATCGGCTGGGATGTAACAGGCGACCTCGATTTCGAAAGCGGTAAAACTATTTATTTCAAAAAAGTTTTCTCTAACTAAAAATGAACAAACAAATTTCAATAAAAAAACACATAATTTAAGTTCTCCTTCACCACAATTTCGCTTCCTCCCGTCCCTTAACAGTCACCGGCGCCTATCGAAATCCCGACTCTTCAATACTTTTCCACCAAATGGTGCTCGATCGAATCGAAAACACCGAATTCATCCTTCAAAACACGTTAATCGACCATTCTGGCCCTGCACTTAGAATTCCACTTGCAAGAGAGTTCTACGCTTCTTACGAAATGATGGAAGATTGTTACAACTCCTATGGGGATTTTGTTTATTACGGAGACAACAATGAGTCTGTTGCTTTAGTCAATGAAAATTTCAACATGGAAAAAGAAAAATGGTATCTCCTGCCTCAAGCTTATTCGATTACTCTAACCCCGAAGTAAAGAGTAAGTAAAGAATTTTTCGAATAAATTTTGTTTTGTTTCCAATTTTAGCCTTAGCTTGTCTCCTTCGCAAAAAATCATTTCTGTCACTGTCGACATCTTTATCTTTTTTAACACTCAAACTGTCAATTTTTTAATTTAATAAAGGGGATCATGATTAATCTTTTCTAGTTTTTTTTTAGTTTTGAAAGTATCAAAGTAGAATTTTATAAAAACAAAGAGTTATTCTGATCGATCTGTCGATTTCGACTTTTGCTTGTTTTCATTTGTCCGAGTTATTTATGCTTCAAAGTCAAATAATATAAAATATTAAATCATTGTCAATTAAGAGCGTGTTAATAATTCAGCTATCAAAAGATACTGCAAAGAAGGCGGTAGACTGACCCATTGTGTTCCCAACAAGAGAGATGGGAGTCCTCAATAGATACAAAAAGGCGAAGAAAGATAAAGGGCTCAAGAAATTGATTTGGTTTGACAGATGGCTGCTCATTTGCTTTGGGCTGCCGGAAATTCGAGATCTTCAGGAACAGATTTTTAAATTCCGAGCATTTTTAATTGAGAGAATATTAATGAAATTGATCAAGGAGGAAGCTAGGTGGCTAAGAAGTGCTTTTATGGATGAGTCGGACGGATCTGGCTCAGGATCAGATGACGAGGATGAAGACGAAGAGGAGGATTCTGAAGATGAAGAATTCGAAAATGAAGTGGCGGAAGCAGAAGAAGATATTCAAGAGGAAAAGTTCTTACTTTCGATATTTTTCATAATTCGATTTTGAGTCAAAATTGTTGACGATAGTAGAACTTCTCAAAAGGCAGAAGATGACGATGATGATGGCTGCGACATGGATTTGTGTGATGACGAGCAAAATGAAAACGCGAAGGATTTCGAAGAAATGGAACAGGGATATATTGACGAAGGTAATCATTCGAATTTCATCAAATGAACACTTGATTCTTTGAGAAGATGATGATCGAGAAAAAGAAGAAAGCGACGAGTACGACGTTGATGCATTTGACAATCCAGCTTCTAAGCACGCAGATCACATAGACGATCATGTGGAAGATGATGATCATGCTCAGATCGAGGAAATCCACGAAGACCCCATCTCAGGAAAAGGTCATTGCAGTCCTCTCGTAGAAAAACAAGGCGTTCGCCAAAACTGACCACGAAAAAAGCCTCAGATACAATATTGGATTTAGACGCGTCCGTTGAACCCGTAGAAATCAACCATGATTATGTGTACATTTAGCATATGTCCAGGAATACCGAACTGTTATGTAATTGAACATCAAAAAAAAAATAAGAATGATATTTATCGAAGTAATGGTTTGAACTCCTGTTTGAACTGGACAAGCGAGTTCACAGAAATGCAATTCGTTACTTGAGCAAATAATTTTCGCGCGTCTGGCGTCTCTTGGTTAGCAAAGTGAAATTGCAATAAGCAAATATAACGGGGAAAGTTTAAAATCTTCTCTTCAAGCATATTGAGCAGCAGAATTCAAATTATAAAGAAAAAAACAGAGAAAATGCTTGATGGGTTTTTGTCAGAAAAAGTCAGGATTTGCGCGACAATTTCGACTTCCCTAGGTTACGAAAAGTGCTGAAAATAATTTTGCTAAAAATCGAATTTTAGCCGGAATCGGCTGTTTTCTCGGTGGAATGGGAACACATCCTCTTCTCCGACTCGAGCCGAAGCAAAACAATTTCTTCCCGACAACTAAGGAAGTTTCTCTATGGAAAGTGACAGAGTACTCGCTCGAAGAGCCGGGAAACTCAACGACCAAAACATGGGCGATGTTCACAGGAAGTCCGTCTCCGATGCCAGTCGAGATCGGAGTTTCAATGACAATTTTGGCGAGTGTCACTGCTTTAAGCTGCTTTTTCAGGTTCTTTTTTGATAAAAGGCATTCGAAGATAAGCATTTTCTAGGCTCCGAAAGGAAACTCGACTCGTTTCTGCCCATGGAAATCTTCTTGCTGGGTTTCTTGCGCTGACTGCTTTACTATCTGTCAAAATCGGCTTTTCTGTTGAGCACGTAACAAGCGATTTCTACAGTGTCGGCCTTGCATCCTTTGGGATCGGGCTGTTGTTTCTCTGCGGCATCCTGGGTCATTTCAGTGCGGGGATGATGCCATCTACACCTCGATTCGGTTGGCACGAGTTCGGTTGTCTATGATTAACCGTTTTTCTAGCGATTCAGAATTTGATCTTCTACTTTGTCTGCACCCTCGGATGCGCTCTTTCTCTCAGTGGATGCTTTATGACAACGATTGGCGATTCAACCCCTTATTGCACTGTTCCTCTTGGCCTCTGCACGAGATTCGAGCCGCCAACCAGAATTGGGTTTTTCGAGAAATGTCTCATTCAAGGTCTTTCTTTCATGATTTATCGAAAAAAACTCGGACTTTTTAGAGAAAAATGGATCAGAAGAGCAAGATTGTCAGGCCTGGGATGCAAAGATGCAGTCGATGCTGAGTGGAATCTTCACCATCGTAATTTTTGTAAGTTTTTTTCTTTTTCATCGAACTGTTTTGATCTTTTCTCTTAGAAAATATTGACTCTTGGATCTGCTGGCGTCGTGAAATTTCTCAATGTCAACTGGAGAGGACTCTCAACAACGCTCGTTGTTCTGTCAATTGGTTTCGGCGTCATGGGGCTTTCATTAGCCGCAGTTTTCTTGGCGGCTTTTTATCACGAGAACAAGGAGGGTGATTTGCGATACATTGCTCCGTATTACGGGTAAAAGCTTGAAATTTTTAGTTTGATAATTTTCTAAATAGAGCTGCCTACTGGCTCTTCTGCTCTGGAGTCATTTCATCCCTTATCGCCGGAGCAACAATTTTGGGCGAAGAAGTTGAGCCAGAAGATGACGAAGAAGATTTCGAAAACTTGAAAAAACCTTCTCTTGTTCTCCAAGGAACTGATAATGACGCTTTTTCGCAAGAATCGTCTTCCATTTCTGGCGAAGAAAGTACAAATATGTGAATACAAACTTCTCAAAAATCGAGTTTATTGCGAATTGATCTCTTCAGGAACTCTTTTTGAGACAGGCAGAGAGAAAGAATTCTAGAGCGATCAATTCATCCTACAGCTGAATTCAGAGTTTACCAATCAATAGGGTTAGTTGGCGCAATATCTTTGACAAGTCGGTCAAAGCGGTAATGCAACTGGCATTTCAAAAAGTTCTTTTGATCTTCTCTCGTTTGACAAACAACATCAGTCTCATGCGTGGGATTCAGCGGGTATTTCCCGTAACCAGTTTCGGGGCAGTTCCAAGTGTAGAGTCGCTGAAAACGATCGAAAACCCGAGCGAGATCCTCGACCACGGAAACATCTCCGTCAGGCTTGTTCTTCAGAACATTGAATTCAGTGAAGATTGATTCGATTTCTAGAGAAGAAAAAAATAATTCTGATCTCGCAAATAATCCAGCTTACCATCAGGAGCATTTCCGTGAAGAATCAGAGATTTTTTCGAACAGCTCTTTTTTAGCTTTCCTTTTTCCTTTGCAGGGTCGAACATTCTTTTAGCTGTCTTCACGAGAAACCGGTCGATTCCTTGTTTTTTCTTCGGAGTGAAAGTATGGACGAGTTCTGTTGAATTGAAAAGACTGCCCATTCGCCTCTTTAATTCAGCGACAATCACTGTATTTGCTTCGAATGGAGTCCACGGGATACAGCCTTGCTTTGAGTCGAAAAATCCATCTTTGCACCGACAAAAGCCAGTTGTTTCATCGTAAATAGCATTCCAGTCCGTGCACTTGGCAGTCGAGTTTCCACAGTCTTCCTCGACCGAAATTCTTTCTTTCAAACTCGGAAGAATTTGGAACCAAAGCTTTTTCCCTTCCCTTTTGGTTGAGCACTGGTCAAAGTCGTCTCACTCGGAGTGATTGAAAAAACCGCTCGCGAGCGCTTGCCATTTTTGCAATTATCTTGCCACGCTTTTCCCCATGATAGGTAGTTTTCCTCCGGAAGTCGACAGTCGCCAAGGATTGATCGCTAAAATAAATTTTTATTTTTTTGCAGTTTATAATTTTTTCGAACGCTAATTATAAATGAAGCCATTTTTGATTTACCACAAAGCCAGGAGAGCATCCACATCTGGCTAAATCATCATTCCATGTCATATTTTTTGACGGGTCGCAAACGCACTGGCCATTCTCTAATACTGTATGCTCGTGAATACAGGACGAAACGCAGCTTTCTCCATCAGCACTCAAAGCCATCGAGCTGGGGCAATCGCAAATGGAGGCATCATCATCATGGATTTGGGCTGGACCAGCGCAGGTGCAAGTTCCTTCGAATTCCGTTGCATGAGGGCCTGAGCACTGAATGCACGGAACGAGAACATTTGTTGAAGGATCAGAATTTGGAAGCCACCCGGGAGAGCAGGAGCACGAAAAAGAGCCTTCAGAATTGGTGCAGTCTTGGCCCGCTGCGCAGTTGTTTAGAGCCTCATTGGAGCATTCATCAACGTCCTATGCTTTTGCCATTGAATAGTTAAGAGAATAGGCCTACCTTGCAAATAAGTGTCAATTTATTGTCGGGAGAGACGGATGTTTTGGAACCGTCTTTGTATCCTTGCTCACAAGCACACATACCTGAAAATCATGATGATGATTTTTTCTAGTTTTGATTTTAGAAAGAATAATACTGTGTTTTCTTTAATTTCTTCATTTTTTTGAGAAAGTTTATATTCGACTTTTATAAATTTTTTTTTCATCTATCGTTTTTCTTCGAACGTCTTTTGAATAGAAAATACCTGATGGAATACCATTGACTTCTTCTCTCACACAAACTTGCCTGAAGCCACATTCAACATCAAAGCATGGAACTTTTGCAACACATTTGCGACTAATTTCCGTATTCGGAAAATACTGGTCATCCCCCATCATTTTCTCCCATGTTCCATTAACTTCTTTAAAAGAGTCGAAATTGCTTTCACACAAGCACTCTGGCTCGTCTACTCTAGCAACGCATCCTGAATTCGTAACACTGGAGCAATCGTAATCTTCGCAAACGTCTACTCGCTCGCAGGTGACTCCGTCAATCCCAACTTCAGCGGAGGCAGAAGGGTCGGAGGGAACAAACTCTGGATGACACTCGCAAAACGCGTCCATCTGGCCACTTTCAGTTTGTCTTTGTTTACAATTAGAATGCAGGGGGCATTCGCCTTGCTCGATTTGTAGCTTTTCGCAAGCTAAGATCATCAAAATATAAAGTCGAAAAAGCGTTTTGAACTTACGAGAAAGCTGCTTGCAGACATGACTGTAGAGAGTTCCTCCTATGTCTTGAGGAGGATCAACTTCCACAAGCTCAAACGAAGCGATACTTGCACATTGGCAATTTCCAGTACCGTCCGAAATATTTTCACACGTCGCGAAAAATTGAGCGCATTCGGAAGTAGCAGAACATGTGACATTTTCAATTGAATTACCAAATCCTTGGCCAATCAAGAAAAGGCCCTAGAATGAATTTTTTAGAAATCTTGATTTTTGAATCTTACCGCGAGCCGCATTTTTCGAATCGAATTTCTACCTCTCTATTTTTCTTATTTTATTTTTGTTCGACTAAACAAATTTGCAATTTGCACAAGAAAATCGTCAGAGTTAATGAGCGGTTGTTTTATTTAATTTATAGCTAGCGTAAAAGTCAAAGATCAATTTGATCGTAACCAGATTTTTATTTCGAAATTTATGATGAAACTCAGCATTAAATTGTTTGTTGTTTCCGGAAATGTAAAAAGAATGACGAAAAAGGTACTGCTAAGCAAGTTTTGGGCCTCGTTGGGTAATCACTTTCGCACGGGCTGCGCTGTGGCCTTTCGCTTTTTCAAAATATTGCGTTTCGTCATAAATAATCTAATATCCTTCACAATCCCCGAAAGCATGTTACACCGAGAAGGTCAGCCTTTTATCCTCCAAGTATATAACCTGCGCCAAGTGTACCCAAGATCAAACTCCAAGCAAAGCAATAAGTTTTGCAAAGAGATCGAAAAGCTTTCTCCAACTCTAGAAAAAAATGAAGTTTTCTGCCACTTTTTTGGCCGCCGCCACTGCTCAATACTCTGCCTACCCCAATGATGGCGCCTATTCTGATGGATACAACCCAGGGAAGGCTCAATCGAGTAAAGCTGACTTTTAGATAGTTTGGGAGGGTTTACATAATAAGTTTTTTTCAGAAAGACGGCGAATTAAAATCATTTTTATAAAAACCATAACTCTACTAAAACTTCTCTGAATGAGATATATTTTATCCAAGCTTCGCTGAAAACGATATTTTGGACAAAATAGTTATGTCATCTATAAACGCGATACTCTTGCTATTAGCATTTAAAACGATAATAATAATTGATCCTCCAACAAGGAAACTGTGGTCCCGATGCTGCTCACGGAGGAGCCTACTGGCCATCTCAGTCCGCCTCCGACCCATGCGGAGTCACCTTCTGGTCCAATGAAGTCAAGCCCAATGCCCAGTGCCAGCTCCAGCTCACCGCCGGTGCTAGCTTCTTCCTCTCCCTCGGCGGCGTTTTCGTGACAACCCCCGCCAGTTCCTACAACGACAACACCTTCTACTTCCATACGTACGACAACTGGGCCGTCGGAGCTTACGGTGGTGCTTCCGTCGTCAACTTCTGGCAAAACGCTAACTTCCCCGACAACTCGACCTGCTACGACGCCGATGCCATCTGCATCACCTGCACCGAGAACGGCGACTTGAACGGCGACGGCTACGCTGATCCCGTCCAGGAGTCTACCTCGGCAACTTCATGCACGACTTCCGACACGCTGTACCTTCCCAGGTCAACGTTCCAATCGCCAACGCCGCTGGCCACACCGCCGGAACCGTCTACAACATCCAGCTCAACGACCAGTACGGCAACCCAGTTCCCATTACCAACATCGCCTCCCACTACGGTCACCAAATCAGCGCCCCTCAATACGACGACGGCACCTACTACGCCGACAATGGCTACTTCTCCCTCCACGTTGGATGCGAAGACTTCGAAGGCCAATTCCTCTACTTCTCGTTCACCCACCTTTCCGAAGCCGAAGCTAACGGATGGTACAGCATTGTGACTATGAGCACAGAGACTCCTCAGAACTGCCCAACCACCACTTCCCCACCTTACAATAACGGATATGCTGACGGAAGCTACCCCGCCGCAGGAGCTGCCCCATCTGGAAATCAATGGGCAAGTGGCACCAAAAACAAGAACAAGAAGAACAAGGTGATTTTCATTCTATAAAATTTTTCTTTATAAAATTATAGGGACGAAGTGACGAGTACGGCGACTCTGCTTACTCTGCATCTGACAGCCAGTACCAATCCGGCTACGACTACGATAGCTACGGATCCTATGACAATTACAGACGAAGAAAGTAAATTCTCTGTCTCTGTCTTTCTGTTCCTCGAAAATACCAGTTTCGAAGACCGTCCTATTCAATCTTTGTTCTGTCAAATAAATTGCTTCAAAGTAAAATTTGAACCCTCTTGACAGGCTTCCTTTCTGCTCCAATTTATTCAAGAAAGCGGTAAAAATAACAAACATCATTTGTGAACAACCAGTGAAAAAACAAAGCCACTCCCAAAAGTTTGTATATAAGTTGTCAAATCAATCAGTTTTCTTAAAACAGAATCTTAAGAAATGAAACTTTTTTGCCTTCTTTCTTTTTCCGCAGCAAGCTCCATTTTTTTCCAGGCGGGGAAACGTTCCTTCATCTACGGTCCGAACAATAATCTGGAAAAAGAAGAAATGATTGAAAAAACATTCGAAAAGCAGTCCCGTCCCTTTTTCATCATTTACGAATGACTTCGCAAAATAAATTGAAAACGTTGAAAGTGTTAGAAATCTTGTCACTTCATAAAAGCCGGCAGAGCCTTCCAATAATGTTAGTTCGTGATGATGCGCATGTTTTTTCTAGCCACCCCAACGTTTGCGCGTGATTCTGCGCGGCTGTCAGACAGCGCCTATAAAAGGCGGGGAAGAATTCGTCTGGTTGCATTAGAGAGGTAGTCACCATGAAGGAAAGGCTTTTTATTTCTAGAGATTTCTGATGATGTTCCCTAACTTCTTTTTATTGAGAAAGAAAGGGACCCCATACGAGGGGCAATATAAAGTGAAAAGCCTTGAAAGTTTCTCTTCTACCTCGGGCTCGCCCTGGTGGGTGCGAGCACGTCAGTAGACCACCATTACCCGCGATGTGCGAATCTCGGATGCGACGACGCTACGCAAATGTGCGCCTGCGAGTCAAAGAATGACCCCATAACAGACTCGGTCTATGCCTGGGGTTGCGCTGGTGGGATTTAGGCCAAAAATGGTTTGTTTTCAAAAAATTCTGAAACCACGTGACCATGTGTAAAAATTGGCGGAGATTTCATTAAAAATAGTTAAAATTAGAAATTTTTGAATTTTGGTGGTAAAATCGCGATTTTTTCGGAAAAATACCACGAATTTTGGACATTTTGTCGAATACGTCGAAACCACAACGACCCACAACCAAACGGAAACCACCACAAGAAAGCTCAGACGATGCTCTCTATAGATCCATTCTAATCTCGTCCGGTAACGCCCGGTAACGAAAATGCGGCCGATTTGAAAATTTCCGTTTTGGCCGAAAATCGCCTTTCTTTGGAAAAATATCATAAATAATGCTCAAAAATGTATAGAAAGGGCCGTCTCAGCCCCGTTCCTTGATTTTTAAATTTAAGGGGCTTGAGATCGGCGTTGGACTCTGAGGTGATCAATCTCAGTTATGTCCCCAACCCCACCCACACCCATTCGAGGTGGAAATACAAATTATTCAAGTTTTTCTTTTTATTATGGTTTTTATTTGAATGTTTTAAAATTTTAATTTCTTTATCTGCGGATACTTTATCTCGCTTCGACTTTTTTTGACTCGAAAAACTCATTTTTGAGCTATTAAAATGATAGTCTAGGTTTTCTCAGGCTTGATTTTGCAAAAATGAAAAAATCGATTTTTCGACCCCTATACCCTTAATTTTTCGAAATTTTTTATTGATTTTTTTCTTGATTAGGACCTCAGAAATATGTCCACAAAATTTCATCCCTCCAGGTCAAGTGCAAAAAAAGTCCATTTTCCCACTGGCGCAACCCCATCTATGCCGATTTCGCTGACTGCAAATGTGTTGCTAAATCCTCAAAAGAGTGTACTGCCTCTGACTGCGGACCAGAAGCCGACGGTTTGACTTTTTGTCACGTCACTTACGGCAGTTCCGGTGTCCTGAGCAAACAATGCTACTGTCCTCCCGGGTTCAAACAAAAGTCGATCTTCAACCCAGCTACTTTTGGATTCACTTTTGAATGTGAAGACTACGATGAATGCGCAGAAGGAGCTCGTAGTTCATGCGATTTCGACAATGGCGATACCTGCAATAATTTTGATGTAGCGACTGGAAATGCCTACGAATGCATTCCAACAACAACGACCACGACTACTACAACAACGACAACTACGACAACTACAACAACCACTTCAACAACAACAACTACTACTACTACCACTACCACAACTACAACAACTACAACGACGACGACTACGACTACAACTACCACTACTACTACAACAACTACCACTACTACTACAACAACAACAACGACAACGACCACAACAACCACGACCACAACAACCACGACGACAACAACTACAACCACTACAACTACGACAACTACCACCACGACAACAACCACTACTACCACAACTACTACCACGACTACAACGACGACAACCACCACAACTACAACAACTACAACTACCACTACGACAACTACAACCACAACTACTACCACAACTACAACTTCTCCCACTACAACCACTCCATTCTTTGACTGCCCGAACGAGTTTTGGGATCACCTATACGATTCAGACAACGATGTCTGGTTCTGCGCTCCAAAAGCTGGCCTTGCCACTGTCGTTTGCGGCTCAACATCAATGACCGTCACCCTCAGCACTGACCTTTTCAACGATAATAGCCAGTACGAGGCTAGTTTCATCGATGACAGCTCCATCGACTGTCGAACAGTCGGCTCACTTGATGAAGACTCCTTCACACTCGAGACTGCTCTTGACGGATGTGGAACTCTCAACTCGCTCAATGGGGCCAATCTCGATTTCAACCAAATCCTCCACGTCGAAACACACTCGACCATCATTTCCATCGACAAGCCAATCGATCTCGCCTTCACCTGCTCGTATCCTTCCTTGGTCACTGCTGTCTTCGGCGGCGATAATGAGACCGACTTTAACTTTGACGTCAGCAATCCTCAATTCAACGCTACCTACACTGGTGAGCAGACTGGATTTGGAGAGTTCAGCTTCGACATCAACTTTTTCACTGATCGATTTTACACCGATCTTGCTAGCGCTGTTTCCTTCGAAAGTGGAGACATCGTGTACTTTGGAATCAATGTAAGACCGCTCTTTATTTCTTGAAAGTAAATTGTTCAGCCAACTGGATCGGATACCAACTCCTCTCTCCCCGACACTGTCACCTATTCCGTCACCGATTGTCGAATCATCAACGAAGCGCTCAGCATTGAATTCCCAATCCTTGAAGATAGTTGCGGACAAGACCTCGTTGGATTCGACTTTGAAGACACTTCAGCTTGGCCAATTGATGCTTCCCTTCGACCAATTCACAACGCGGACTCTGTGTACTTCGAGTACATGAGCTTCCGATTCGTCTCGGCTGAGAAGAACGTTGACTACAATGAAAAACTCAGCTGCGATGTAAGTATCACGATCTCGATTCCCCTGCCTTCAACTATTTTTCCAAACTAAGCCCATTTTTAGATCACCGTTTGCGACCGAGCTGATGCCACCAGCGCTTGCGCAGCTGCACCAACTTGCGCCCGACGACGAAGATCATCTCTTGAAGATCTCATTACTTTTGATTAATTTCTAGATTCAATCGAATCACAAAACCTTTCCTTATTTTCTTCGCTGTAAAAAGTTGATTTATGACAATGCTATGTATATGACAAGATTTTTTTTGAAGGCTTCCAAATAAAAATGTTCACAGACTCAACTATATCCGATCAGAAAAAGTATCAGACTCAACGATAAGGACGATCACCAGCTAAATATAGGATATAATTAAATCGGAGTTAAACTTGACAATGCGACTCTGTCGAGTCAATACCTGGAATATCGATATCTTCAAAAACGTCTTGGAGGCAATTTGGGTCACCGTCACATTCTCTCAGTGCTTGCTGACAGGCCTCGACCGCGTAGAAACTAAAAAACTGGCAGTTTTACTTTTGATATGTTTGGGACATTACATGAAGAAGAACTGAAGAAAACGCATTTTTTTATCAAAAGTTTCGATAATTATAGATGATATCAAACCCGGATTCGAAGGTGAAAAGGCCAAGTCTTAGTCAAGGGTCATCATAAGACTGGATTATGTAAGAAAGAATGTTCTACAATTTAATTTACAATACAAAAATGATACGGTAACTCAAACCTGGATGACCAATAAGTAGGTATTTTCGGAACGACTCGTGGTCATCAATATGTTGCTTCCAACAAATAAGCGATCAGTCAAAAAGTATAAGCAAAAAATAAACCATGTCTTTACAAGAGTCAATACATAGGTCACTTTGGAACACAATAAAATGTCAATATTGTGAGAGTGTCAAACAATTTCGTGACGTTGAAATTGAAGTGTCAAAATCAGATATGAAGTGTATTCATGAATAAATGAAGAAGTTGTGTTTATATACTCAAGATAGAACAACTCGACTGAAACTCAAAAAAGACCTTTTTAGACTCTTGTTGCAGCAGTCATACTAAGAAACAATTCAAGGACCCCCCTTTTCAGAATTTTCGAAAAGAAAATTTCTCAATTTTACCTCGGAAATGGATTCTATTCATCAAAAATGAATTGAGGCTTCATATTTTTGCGGTAAAATGCATTTTTCATTGAAGTTTAAATAAAGTTTGTCGATCTTGAGAAGATGTTTTCAATTCTTAATTCACAAAAACAAGCTATATGATTTCTCAGACTAAATTCCTTTTGACCCTTTGCAGACTGTAGCCAATCTTTTTCCCAACGAAAATTATACATGTAAATTGGTTTATGTTCGTTGTGCCAGTCATCACTGAAAAAGGGGGCGCCTTGGAGATTGAAGAGCTCCCCTGTGCATCGGACAATCACAGATTGTGAGCTAATTTCGCAGAAGCTTATTTTGAAGATGAAAACTTATTATCCAAAGAGAACTTTTATACGATGAACGAAACAGAGATTGTAAAAGATAAAGGCTGTTATGAGATTTGCTTTCAAGAGTGGAGCTTTTTCCAGTGCTTCTTGTGTTCTTTTCCGATCGGCTCTCAGGTCAACGCTTTTCAATTTATTGTAAAAAATAGGGCTTCCCTATTATAGGAAAAAATTCTTTAAGGATGTCCACATTTCAACGAATTTTCGATTACCTGCTGAATTTTATTAAGATATTGAAGTGATACCCTTAATAAAAATATTTTAAAAAGTCAATAATTAGGGCTTCGTTTCAATAGCTTAAGGAGGTAGTCCGTTTGGAAATTCTGATTTTCTCCAACCAGAGGCTACCCCCTTAAGAAACTCAGCAGAAATTCGCGATTCTGGATGTCTAGCTGCTAAAATTAATGAGACAAGTCTGGTCGGAATCCACTAAAAGTTGGATCTCCTATCTGATCAGCCATTCTTTATGCAAACTAATAATCCAATAATGAGATCGCTCCAAAATCCATTTCCAAGCTTCATTTGAGCAATTATCGAGTGTCACGATCCCATTCCAATAAATAATAATCCCCTTTTTGCTGAGCGTACCGATAGTTTCTCCTTGCCGGGATCGGACTGGTGTCGTTTATTGGAAACTTGCGCATTATTTTGCTCTTCAGGGCTAATTGGAATTCACTTTCGCGGTCGGAACATGGAAGAGTCGCGAACTTGCACTTTTGGCAATTGCTTTAGGAACGGATTTCTTCAAAACAGATTTCTTTGAGACAGTAAACTTGACAAAGAACATGCTTTTAATTGAACCATGTCCCGGAGAACAGAGGAAATCCGAATGAAAGCCGATTTCGTTGCGACGATTTTCTTCATCCCTCCGCAACTTTACGTGAATCTGTCCGATCAGTGGCTCCTTGGCGGTTTTTACTGTAAAAGGTGAGCCTCATTACTTCAGCTGCCATGGGAAATTAAAAACACAATATGACAAAAATTAATGATAATTGTAGTATACATTATCTTGGGAGTATATGCGATACCTATTCTGTCTATGCGACCCTGTTACTAGGAACTGCCTTTGACAATAATATCATAAAATTATATTTAAAAAAAATTTAAAGTAATATGACTCATATCATCTGATAATATGACTCATATCATATGATAATATGATATGAGTCATATAATATGATATAATATGACTCATATTATATGGCTGATAAAGAAAAATTGACAGTTTGAAAAGGCCTTGAGAAGCAATCTCTCGATATCTTGCCACCAAAAAAATGGGAAAATTTCTTCCATACCACCTTCCTATCATCCTCCTCGTTGGCGTGATGGTCTTCAGCAGTGTCGTGGCTCTTCCCGCCTTGATTTTCCATAATGTTATCGACATGTCGGTCGTGTTTCCAGATTTTTTCCACGAACAGAAGCTGCTGTGCCTAAACACGATTGTTGGGAAGGCGAAGATGACGCAAATTATTGTCATGTTTATCGTTCAATTCGCGCTGCCGTTCCCAATCATTGTTATTTTCACGATTCTGATGATTCTTCAGGTATTTTTTTCTTCATCAAAATTTCATAATCGAAGGCCTCTTTTACATAAAAACGATTATCCAACGAAATACCCATTGTCTACCAGTTTATTTAGTCTCCTTTCTTCAGATCCGCCGGACACAGAGGGAATTATCCAGTTTTAACCACTCGCGCAAATCTGGAAAGCAGACGCTCGGCGTGGTCGAGCGACGAGTAGCGATGTGTATATTTTTCTTTGTGCTGACCTGGACGCCATATTCCATGACCAATTTCGTCGAAGCATTTGTTACTTGGGTCCTCAATTGACAATTGGCGAATATCATGAATTGAAAGCATATTGAGATCAATGAGGACCCACGAGCAGATCCAGACTACAAGGCGCAAGATCCGATTATCCTCAGTTTCTGGCAAATTGCGCTCTTTTTACGCTTCGCCCATTATATTATCAATCCGATATTGCTCTTGGCTGGCAACTCTTTCAAAGCCAAGAAGAAAAGCGACAGGAAATTTGCAGCAGTAAAGTGCAGGTAAAGTTAACAACTCAATTATTTTGCTCGAAAAAATTGAATCAGGACTCAGCTTTCTAAGCCGGGAGTAATACAGTAACATTCATTAGCGTTTGTAGTAGATTTGCGCTTTCTTTATTCCTTAGATCGGCTGCTCATCCTCTTGTCCGCCAAACTCAGCATATTATCGTCTTAAACAATACGAAAGTAGAGAGCTATGCTGGCCCATTACAGGTAGATCATCAGCATACAGTAATTTTATCTATACATTCTCTTCTCAGACAAAATGCCAAGCGAATCAACTGACCTGATAATGGCAAAGACATAAACGAAAAAAACGAAAAGAAAAAAGGGGATGATCTCCAGCCTTTCTGTCAGCCGTTGATGACCTCAGTTCAATGTATAAAAATGTTGATAAAGCTTTTGCTTTTGTATAAAAAGGCTGTTTATTAGAAATAAAAGGTGAAATAATTTGATTTTTGATTTCAACTCATTGTTGATTCCGGACTGGAAGTTTCGGCTTTGGATTGATCTGTCGTGAGTTTTCGCTGCTTTGCCCTAGAAAATGAAGGAAATATGAAGAAGACCAATAACAAACCTTGCATTTTGGAACCAAACTTGAAGAACTCGTTTTGTAAGACCAGTTTCGATAGCTTTAAAAAGGTTTATAAAAACCATAATTTTTCTATTTGCCGTATTATTTATTAATTTTATCGAAGTTATTGAAAATGATATTTCCAAGATTAAATTTTTAACAAATCGAGCTAATCGACGACCATTCTTAAGAAGAATACAATGAAAGTATATTATCCTTTCTCCTAAGTTTTTCAAATCCGCGGCATCAGGGTTTGGCTTCAGCTGAAATGCCCTCTTCATCGCGCTTATCTGATAGTTCTTGAAAGAGGTCCTGATTCTCTTCTGCTTGTAGCGCGGGTCAAAAGGGGTTCGAAGACTTTTGTAATCATAAGAGTCCGGAGAATCGTTTGGCCAAGAGTATTGGTTCGAGTGAGCCATGCAGGTTATAAATGAGTCTTTTTTCTTTGATCATGAAAATGGAAAAAGAGGGGTTTCAAAAGGAAATGAACAAGTCCTGAAGTGAGCATGAATTGATCTCCGGCTTTTATCGGCGTGTTGCAAACAACACAACAGAAACAGTTCCAATGAAACTAAAGAAGTTAAAAACATAGAAGAAATAGAAAGTTTTACTTTTGAAAATTTCGCAGTTTGATAGAGCTCCCCTTGTTTAATTAAAAACCCGCAGCGAGTGCACTGATTTCCGCGGCATTTATGGTAGCTCTGGGTACACTGGGTTCTGCAATAGTCTTCTCGGCAGTAGATCTTGTTGTTGACGGAGAAGCAGGTGGTTTCGTTGGCGAGATGGCGGCTGCACATGACGCAGTAGGAGCATTGTTCATGACTGATTTTTGATAAAAGCGGCCATGAAATTCTGGGATAACAATAAATCTATTTTTATCAAATCGAATCATCAAAAACAATAGTAAAATCGGCGATTTTTATCGGAGAACATTTTTATGGTCCTTCCAAAATATGATTTTATTAAAAAAAAAATAAATAAGCTTTTTTGTATCATTCCTGAAGCTATCCCCAATTCTCAAATAATGGGCTTCGAAAATTTCCATATTGCAGATAAAGCACAAAATCATTTTTGCTCTGAGCTTTCTCTCCAACTTCGAAAAAAAATTCAAAAAGCTCGAGAAAGTTCTGATAGAACGGTGCACTGAGCCGGGTACTTGGATCTTTGGGGAACAGCTGGCGGCGCGAAAAATGTCAAAGTTGGCGGATTGATTTTCTTTAACCTTTTGATCCCGTCGCAATTTGCATAATAAAATTGTATTTTTTCCCCAATTAGCGATCCTTCGCGGCAGGTTCAATCCGTTTAATATCGCGTAAAAAAGACACTGTTCTTTCAGATTTTTATTAAAAAAAGTTCTAACAAATAGTAACAGTAGAAAAGATCAAATTTGACCATGGGTGTATTTGTTGAGGAATGATCCAATGTTGCCAAGGCTCATCATTCTTTTTTCGACTGGAGGATCGCTCAGATATTTCGGGGAGAATATTCTGCTCGGAATTCGAAGATTGATATTTAGTTTTCAAAAAATAAGGGTTTCATCACGATATTCGTGAAAGCGGGTTTCAATTTAAAGGAAATAAATTTCTATGGATATCCTCTTTTCAAAAATTTTAAAATTTCAAAGTTATATCCCATTTTAACGGATTTCGCAGCCTTTAGGGCCTACCTCCTTGAAATTCGGTAAGGTTGACACGTAACCCTAACCCTAACCATTACCCATCAACTTGTACAACCCTAACCCTAGTGAAAAAAATGATCTCTGAAAAAAGTTTCTTTTCTGAATTCCATTCCTTAGTTGGGTTTCATCGCCAAAAACTGGGCTTCCTTGGATCGTTGCAAAATAAAACAAGCTCAAAAATCTCATGTGGAAAGTATCGTTCGAAGAAATACTGATTGACAAGATGATCCTTGGTTCCTTTTTATATCCGCGAATTGCGTGAATTTTTCATCGGCTAATTGCATTTGAAAATTTAACACAATGTCAATAGGTCAATCATTGCCGCTGAAAAAACGCGTGCCACGTGATTTTCTGTTATCGTAGCTCTCAGACGACGAGTTATTAGCGGTGAATCACTGAATAAATTTAGCTGTCTTTTCGTCAAATGCAAGTTTTTTATGTCTGATACCAGTACAGTGGGTATGGTCAATTCCACCTACGTCAATTCCACAGATTTTGAAAAAAATTAAGAAAATTTTGAAAATCGAGGAAAATTTAGTAAGAAATTTCCGGATCTTTGTTGTTTATGAGGACTCTTATTTTTTTGGTGAATAAGCAACATTAATACCGCTCTAAAAATCAGACCATTGGAGCCACGTCTCTTGTATTCAGTCAGGGGACTAAATTCGCAGTGCGAATTCGCTTTATTGCGAAGCGATGCGAAGCGAAGCGAATTCGCTTTCGCTTCGCTTCGCACTGGAGAGCAGAATTCGCTTCGCTTTCGCTTCGCAAAAATTCCCAAATTTTCGCATAAATTTTCGCACAGCAAGCGGCTTTGTTATTCGGAAGATTCTTGGCAAATCCAAGGATTGACCGTGTAGCAGACTGGTTAACACGTTGTAACCAGCCTTTTTTATTGTAAGTATGCTAGAATAATTTTTGAATGATCACAATGACGCGCTTTTTTAAGGCTGTGGAGGTTTTCTAGCCCACTTGCGCCTTATAAACCCTAGAACACCATACCTTTTTGGAATCAGTAGGAAATTTTAAGAACTTTCATCAATTTATGCCTTTTTTCATAATTTTGCCGGTTCGATTGACTACGTTTGGGACCGTTTCTCCTGACATATTGATTAAAGGATGACTCAAAATCTTCCGAGCATCCATTTGATAGGTCACACTTTACCCAAACTCCTAAATTTCGTCAAAATTGCTCGTTTTGCCCGACTGCCCCATGCCCGAATGGTCAGTCCTGCTATCGAGTTTATTACTACCTTGGAATTATCAACAGTTAGACCAATATTAGATTATATTGAATAGCTGAAAAAAGTCATTAACAGATTTTTGTAATTTTCTTCCCCAAAAATAGGACTTTGAAATCATCTTCGCTTTTGAGTGGCTGATTGCTGAAGATTCTTGCCAAAGAGTACGTTTCAATTCAAGCGAAAAAATTTTCGCTTTTTTTCGCAATTTTAATGATATTTCGCTTCGCTTTCGCTTCGCAAAAAAATTGAAAAAATCGTTCGCTTTCGCTTCGCTTTCGCACTAGGATTTCGGCTGATTTTTAGACCCCTGATTCAGTCAGATAAGGGGCTTACCGACCCGAAGGGGAGGCCAGCCCCGTCTCTTTTATTCAGTCAGATTAGACGATCTAGCTCCAGATTCAGGCTTCTCTTCGGGTCGGCTTGGCCCCTTATCTGACTGATTCAAGAGATGGGTATTCAGAATCAGGACTCGGCGACATAAGAAGAAACTCTTTAGTCAATACAACAAAACAAAAATAAAAAGGAAACTGTTCATGGGATTTTCGATCATCTCTGGTCGATCCATCAATTAAATTTTCAAGAAAAATCCTCTGTGAGCATCTTTATTTTAAATAAATAGTGGTTTGCTTCTAGTGGTTGCATGTCAGCACTTCCAGAAAGCATTCTACTCGTCTCGGACCGCGCGCCTACACGGATAAGAAAATAGCTCAACCTCTTTCTGTTCACTACACAACTCACTCTGACACATATAAAATATCGAGAAATATACACACTTTATTTTTCTTTACTACTGGCCTAGTCCAGGAGTCCAAGCATAAAATTTGCAAAAATTATGCATAAAATTTGCAGAACAAATGCAATCGCTTTAGAGATATCATAGAGAATGATGACTTTTCAAGGCTGGTAAACCAGAGTTTTTCAAAATTTTGCTCTTCCTGAATTACAAGGAAAATATGGTGAACTTTGAAAGGCACTTTATCATGGAGTAGACTTCTTTTAACTTTATTGATTTTATTTGCGTGCGCTGGCATTTATCATTTGCAAAGTAAATCACAGGAATGGGTCAAAGAAACAAGTATCACTCAGCTCAGCTCAGCTCAGCTCATGATTTCAACACAATTTTTCTATTAAAAAATAGCTCAGTTAAGCTCACCCAGCTCAGCTCAGCTCTAATTAGGGTCTGCTCAGCTCAACTTCCTAAAAAAGGTCTGCTCAGCTCAGCTCAGTGACCTCTGAAAAAGGGCAGCTCGACTCAGCTGAGCTTAGTGAGCTCCGAAAAAGGCCAGCTCAGCTAAGAGAATTTTTCAGGCAGATTAGCTCAGCTCAGCGAAAATAAAGCAAAATTTGCAACTCTGTTACTGACCGAAAAAAGCTTGATAAAATGAATTTTACACAAAAGAAGATAGAGAAAGAGGAAAAATTATCCGTTGAAGAAAGATTTAAATTGAGAAAATTACGAGCGGAAAAAGTATGCGAAGCGAATCAGTGGACAAGACTCGACCAATACTTGGTAGAGGAAGGAGTGCGAAGACGGCCAAATATTCTCTTCGTAGACAAGTACAAAATGCTCTATTGTGTGATCCCAAAAGTCGGCTGCACAAACTGGAAGAAAGTTCTTCTTTATTTAAACGGTGATTTAGACGAAGAAAAGATAAAAGCGGCGGAGAGTGGGGAGCGTTTAAAAATAAAATAAAAATATTAAACAAAATTAATTTCACAAATTAAACGCAATCAACAGAAAATGGTTCCTTATACCCGGTTCTTACGCTAACGATGTAGAAAACCTGAAAAGCATGAACTTCTGGAGTCTCAACAAAACAGAACGACTAAGAAGGCTAGACTCGTACACCAAATTTATGGTCACGAGAGATCCATTTGAAAGACTTTTATCTGCATTTAGGAAAGTGGCTTCATTTTATTACAAATATTCAGACCATAATTTTGACTTTGCTGGTATTTTCTGATTTTTTTTAATTTGACGAATCGATTTTTAAGGGTGTCAGGGGCCTTCCGGTTCCCTTAAAACCCGGCAAAGCATCCGCCTTATTTCTACTCTTACACCCTTAAAAATCGGATCGAAAAGTAGGTCAAGAAAAAAACTACAGAAAACTACAGTTGCCCACAATTTTTGGTCCATAAATTATGGCCATATTATTCGTTTACGTATTGATGCCATATAAGGAACAAAATCGAAACATTTCGCGAAAATGATTTCTTCGGAGACGTTTCAAATAAAATTCATCGGATATACAACCGTACATCAGAACAATCGAGTTCAACTCCTGCCACTTTCGAAGAATTTTTGCGGCATGTTATCGACAAGGACCCGACCTTTCCGCCGATTCCGAAAAACGAGCATTGGGAGAATTACTGGTCAATATGCTACCCTTGCGACATTGATTACGACTATATTTTGAAACTTGAGACGATTGAAGAAGATTCCGCATGGCTTTTCAAAAGTCTGGGCCTTGAAACTATCTCCTATCCGACTGGAAACTCAAAACCGTCAAATCACGATTTATTGGAACAATACCTCAAAAGGTTCATTTCAAATATTGTTTCATGCTCATTTTTATATTTTTAGCGTTGATAAGCACCTTCCAAAGTCCGTCTATAAACACCTGCAAATGGATTATGAAATATTCGGATATGATATTCCAAGATTCATACGAGATCTTTTCTGAAAACCGAAATAAAACGCAATAGATTATTAAAATTGCAGTGACGAAATTCTATTTAAGAAAAATTTTGAAGCTTAAAAGCCAAAGTATTTAAAAAATTATTATTGTGTTTTTCAGATAATTAGTGATAAAAATTACCATCTTGATACAGATAGAGACGATTTTAAATAAGGATTTCTGAGTGAAATCCTGACCCCTCTTTTTTATTAACTCATTGAAAAAAGCGTAAAAAGTAATCCCAGATTTACCCGGAAAATAGATCAAAAAGTCAATTTAAGTGCCTTTCGACACTAAAAAATCGATAAAAATTCAATGAGACATTCAAAAGTAGGGCATTAATAAGCAGGGAGAAGGAGTTGTTAGCATAATGTAAGTCACAAGCCAAGTTCCCGAAAAAACATTCTCATCTGCCCATCAAGTTGTTATCTTTTATTTACACTAAGTAGCTCTCAAGAAAAACTCGTTCTTGAACATAAGTTAGATAACTGAAGAAGAAGAAATGTCAAGTGAAAAATAATGTGAGCCCCGTTTGGCAATTAAAGTTGTATTTCACGGAACTTCACCGCCAAGCCGCCCCCTCATCATCATTAGACCTGACCCAAAAGGAAAGTCGTTATCGTTAAAAACGAGAAAATGCGGTAAGTTCAAAACAAGTTCAGGGCGTTTTTGTTCGTTTTTTTCGCCATTTTTCATAAACTTGAGTCAATCAAGGTTATCGCTGCTTATTTTTTGTTCGCGTAGACGTCCTGTAGTAATTCCGCTACGGTATCGATAAAAGACTTGCCCGTGTAACGATAAAAACGTAATCCACGGTGCACGTGCCAGTGTTCGGGAAGAAGGCTCAATCTGCTAATTACGAGAAACATCTTTTTGCTTCCGATTCGACTAATTTTTTCATAATTTTTTTTTCTTTGAAAGGAGTTTAATTTTTGACCCTCTTTTCCAGTTGACCGATGCCAAGTGTTGTATCCAGCAGAAAAACCACGAGAAATCAACGACCTTGCATAACTTGAGTCGAGTGCCACAAAGAGAAAAAAAACGTCAAGAACCGAGTGTCCCGAGTCATAACACATCTTGAACTTTGAGCACTTGAGGACTTTTGAGCTAGCTGGACGTATATCCACTTGTTTCTTTGATGAAATGAACTTAGCTTTGGCGAAACATTGACCGCGATCCGACTTGAGTTGATGCTTCAAAATTATGGTTAGATGATCAAGTTTTCTAGAAATTTTTGTCAAGTTCATAAAACCAAGAAACTGTTTCGACAATTTTCTTATCTTTTTTTCTTGAAATTAAATGAGTGATACCCTTATGTCTTTGATAAAGAGGTCCTTAGCGCGGGGAGGATTAAGGAACCGACAAAAATCCCGACAAACTTTGCGTGAAAATTTTCGACCAATCAAAAGCCTTGATTGGGCTAACCGGCCAATCAGCAGCCGAGAAGCCGCCCACGCAAAATTTATCGAGAATTTTTATCGATTCTTGACACCACCCCCTAAGAATCACTCCAACACTAAATAAGGGTGTTACCTCATTAGTTCTGACTTTTGTCGAATTTTATTGAACGATATCACTGTTATTCTAGAGCAACAACTGACTCAGGATGAAAAAAGCTCTCTAATGTTGGCCCTTTCCTCAATTAGCGTTTATCAGTTTACCCTATCTCCTCCTCGGTGCCGGTGAATTTGTTGTTGCGCGCTGACACGGGGCGTCTCTCGGGTAAAAAAGGAATCGCCATGCCAAGAAGCACGAGTGCCACTTCTAACGCACGCGGGTCAAACACGAATTCACTTCCGAAAAATCTACTTTTTTTCCATTTCCACTTTCTAAATATTCAAATCGTCAATAAATTATCTAATGCGCTCCAACTCACCAGTTCCCGAATTTCAAAAAATTTATAAGTTTATTGATTCATAAATTATCTTACAAAGAAAAACATAATCAGAAGTGGAAGAAGTGATAGTTCTGTATCAAAGCTTTTATTTCTTTCTTTATCGTGGTTCTTTAAAAATGCTAAAGAAAAACACACTTTAGCTTTAGAAGTTCCAAATTAGAACCCTCGCCTGTTGTTGTTTCTACTGTAGGAGTATTCGCGCTTCGGGGCGGGTCGGTACACTCATCTGAAGAAACACAAGTCTGAGTAGCGTTATTCCAAAGCTTGTCTTCTTCGCAAACACAGATCTCCGGACTTTAATCGGGTAAATCTTGCATAACAAGTTGAAAAATTGACCAAATGAAAATGGACCCGTTTCAGATTGTTCCATCGGGAAAGCGAGCGCACATGGCGGAATTTTTATTTGCACAGTCTGACGTCGTACAACAGTTTTGCTGGAGCACCTGACCGGGTGGACAGGAATCGAGACAGATTGACTCGGGGATGCAGAAGCCGTCGCGGGTGTTGAGTATGTAGCCATCGTCACACTATTGTCTCATAACACTTTTCGAAAAGTAAAAGGGACTTACAAAACACCCGGAAACACAGACAGCAGCACAGAGATCCACATTCTCTTGCTTGCAAATTCTTGGGCAGGCAGTTCCGCAGTCTCTATAGCTCGCGTTCGGTTGACAAGTTTGTTCAGCAAAAACATTTTCGAGCGATAAAAATAGAAAAAACTTCATCTCTTTCATTTTTTCTCTGAATTTTACTTTTACTTTCGTTACGTTACGAGCGCTTTTGTTCAGATTCAGGGGCGAAGAGAAGCTGATTTGTGCGGGCGATTCAAAGTAAGATAGGATGATTCACCAAACTAAACTTCCCAATTTGTTAAATAATTTGTGAAGAAGCTGAATTTCTATAACGAGATCGATTTTTGGACGCTTTGTCTCCTTATCCAAAGAAATTGAAAGTAATCTGATCTTGATAATGATATTGAGTCATATCATTAAGCTTTTTTGATACAATTTTAATTAATCATTTGAGAAAAACATACAGTAAATATGTTAACCAGAATGTTCATGGACGAATTGATCTCGTATCTGAAGCCTGGTATTTCAGTGATCTGAGAAAATCATGTTTATTGAATCATAAGTTATGTTGGCCATCATCAACATACATGGACTCGTAAATAACTCCATCCTATCAAAAAAAACCAAGCCCTAGTTACGATCAATCATTTCGGCCTTATCGATTTTATCAAAACTGATGTTTCCATAACATGAGGTACGAAATTCGACCTCCAAAATCGAGGTCAATTTGGAATTCGAATTCTTCATTTTTGTTTTATCGTTCTGATGTGACTTTTTATCGCTTGGTGAATATAAACAAAGCACTCAGACTGAGTAGCTACTGTAGCTATTGAACAAGAAGCTTTTATCTCGTCTGGAATCGCTTTGGACTGCAAGCAAATCGACAAGGGCGCTGTCATGAGCGCAAACAGCCGTTTTTTCAGTACTATCAAACTACTGTAAGTTCAGACGCGACAGGCTTCTGAAACTTTTTCAAGATCGAACTCACCTTGACAAATGCAAACAACACGCTCACATCTGAATAACAAGAGCCGATAAGGCAAAAAATAAATCGCTTTGAATAGATACCATCCTACCAGAAGAACGAACGGAAGTTGAAAATTCTTGTCCGCTAGTCCCATTTTTGGAAGAAGATGGAAGAAGAAGTAGAAATAAGACGTGCAAGAGAGAGATTCAAAAGAAGAAAAATGAACATTGCTTTTGCGGTCACAGTACCGATTCTGCTTGGCTCAGCGATTACGGCACCGATTCTTTATGGAAAATACGCGTCACAAAGGTTGATAGTCTAAAAATTATAGAACTTTAATTAAGGGTGAGGTTAAGGTTTGGCCTGTCTTTTAGGGTTAGGGTTTCATTTTGGATTAGGGTTGACCCTCTCTTATTTCTAGGTTAAAAGAGAGGTTGAGATGATAGCATGTCATTCAGGGGAAATGCAGGATTCACGAAGCCGCACCCTACAACTTTAATTTCAACCTCGTTGGGTTCACAGACAACCACTTCACTTTTAAAAGGTTTGCTTGTTTTCAATATATTATTCATGTTTCTTCATTTTCAAAGAAAAGTTTTTGAGTGCATTATGCAATGTTCTGGACAATCCTTTCAAAAATTGAATCATTGAACTTGTTTTAGAGTTCACTCCCCGGCCGACGGCTCCGTCGGGAATCTATCCAACTACGGAACTTGACGACAGTTCCACTCCATCGATAACGACAGAGGCGAGTTTTCATTATTCCACCGAGGGACCCAAAAACACATCACCTTCGGAAATGACCATGTCATCTTCCACGACGCTTATCCCAACGACATCGTCCTCAGAAGAACTGGATACAACTGGTAGGAATATCAGATTAGAAATTATGCGGGATCAATGCTGTCTGAAAACTCTTAATTTTGGCACAAATTGGCAATAGTTAACAAAAAAAGGAAAATTTTTTAGACAGCTTCTGTCACATTATTCTTGTCACAAGGAAATTTTTTCAACAAATTTATTTTTCTCAGAGTCGGCAACAACGCTTTTTCCAGCAACTGAGGCACCCTCTTCTGAGGAAACCACAACAAATCTCATATCCTTATCTTCTCGTGCAACTACAAGTCCAATCACGTTATCGACATCCCATGAGAAAACGAGTCCAATTGCTGAGACAGCAAGTACATCTTTTCTGACAGAATCATATTCAATATCAACAGAAAACATGACAGTAACAACAGCAAACACATCTTCTGCCCCTGTTACTAAGAGTCCTCAAGTCGCGACTTCAACAAACACTCTTATCTCATCAAAAACTGAAAGTACTCTCGAGCAAGTAAATACAACTGAAGAAACATCAATTAGCACGTTAACTGCACTTTTAACAATAACAGTACGTCCAACGTCAACGTCTTTTATACCAGTGACAACTGATCTGAAAACAACTCAATCGACTACCTATTTCACTCATCCATTAACCACAGAAGCAAGTCAGCTAACGACTTCGACTACTACTCCTACTTTAACCACAAAACCCACTACAACTGCGATCCCTCCTTCTTCCACAACTGCGATCCCGTCGACGACATCTACATTTGCAGCAACATCTTCATCTAAAACGACAATGTCCAAAATTGCGACTACGACTCCACCTGCAATTATTAATACTTCAGCTGCTTCGACCACAACAACATTAACTAAGACTACAACTACAACTACAACAAGGACAACAACAACAACTACAGCTTTAACAACAACTACAACCACGACAACAACGACAGAGCAACAGCCTTCTGAAACATGTAATTGTCCGCCTGGATCGTTTTGTTTTAATACTGGAGATGGATTCTATTGCTTTAAACAAGTCACACTCGTAAATGTTAGATACCAGGTTTGATTGTTTTCTTTGAAAATAAAAAATGAAAATTTGATAGACTTATATTAATTGTGGAAATATTCCTGGAGAAACCTCTCTTGTCCAGCATGGCCAAAAAGGTGGTAACGGCGTCGAACTCGAGTTGAGAAGAGAACCTCATTATCTACGGCTAACACCAAGATTCGATTCCAACGGGAATTTCGATGATGGTTATTTAATAAATACCCATGCGTATAACAACACTGGTGCCGCAGCTTATCATAATGGCAATAAAGATGCCGTCTTTCACAAAGACATGGATGAAAGTGCAAAAAATACAAACGAGAAATGGAGATTTGAAAAAAATTGCGATAACAGTGACAAAGAACTCTGTCTTACATGGAGAATATTGGCTCTTGACGATAAAGCAGATAAATACATGTATGCAAAGAGCGCAAGTGATCCACATCTTTATCTGGAGAAATTCGATAACAGGGATGAGAAAGCCTTTCTTTGGACGATTGAATTTTCATAAAAACAGTAGATATTCTGTGCAACATCAATATACGTTTTATGACAAAAAAATAGATAAGATCACTTATGGAAATTTTAATTTCTTCCTTCATAGGAAGCAATTCCAGCAAAAAGAGGAACACGTTGTTTTACCGAACTGGCTGATCCAGATTAAACGTAATCATGCAAAAATCTGGAACCAGCAAAGCACAATGTCTGCCGTTATCAGCGATAACGTTCCTCAAGATCGTAAATTTGTATTGGGTTGTGCTTATCTGGTCAATTTTTTCGTCATTCTCTTCGAATCTCCCTGCATGCCTGATAAACTGTCGTGCTCCTTCTCAAAATTGAACACTATCAAGTCTATCGTGTCTTTAGAACAAAGTTGATACTAGAACGAGAGGCTTACCTTGATCGTGGCTTGATTGATAGCAAAATTGCATCATGCAGGTCGGTGAATTGCAAATCCGGACAATGATAAATACCGTCGTCCAGGTCAAAGTACTTTGAAATTAGAGAGCGGGACAAATTTTTAATGAATTGAATTCTTACGTAACCGGCCTGAATTCGAATGTACTGAGATGTCTCTCGTAAATTTTTCATTCTCCAAATCCATTTAAACCCACGGCACTGTCAATTTCAAGTTCCCAGAGCACGTAATTATACAAAACGCAAAAATGAGTTAAGCCAATTCTAACGGTGGGTACTTAACTGAAAACTCATCATTATTTTATTTCTCACTAGAATTCTTCAACCGAAAAATCGGCTGCTCTCTTCCAAACCTAACCCTAACCCCCACAAGAACTCTTTTTCTAAGTTTTTGTTTGACCTTGATCAACATAAAAATTTTAACCCATTCAAGCGCATCCGTTCCATGCATACCATTCTCAAGTGCAGAGAAAAGGACGCGATGCATAAGGCGATAAGGCGCTATCCGGCGCGTAAGAAATTTCTCAAGCAGTGCAAAATTTAGTTTAGAAGTATTCGAGTGCCTTGTTTTTGCATGTTTAGTCAATAGCTCTTGTGTGGAGCGGCGGGAGATAACCGAAGTTACTTATGTAAAACGAGTTTTGAACTTTTTTGAGGGGGAGATTTTTGAGGGTCAAAAGGGGGTGTTTTTTCTCTTGTTGGCTTTTCATATAAATAATCGTAAAAAGGGGGTTCCGAAAAATGATAATGACAGTTGAATAACTGACGCAGAGGTTGTATAATTTATGTTATCTTACTCAGGTGAGCTCACTTAAAAAGTGGCCAAGAAAAAACGTCATTTTCATTTTACCCAATTCCTTATCAAAGCCATTCTTTCTTCGATTTCACGAACAAAATATGCCTATAATTAGCAACCGCGTTTTATCAGCGTTTTTTTACGCGTGCGAACATTCTGTTTATTTTACCGAATATTTTCGGGAATGAAAAAATCCGCAAAAATTTCACGATTTGACCACGTTTTGATTCGTCGTGGAAAACGAACTTTTAATGTGTTAAAAAATGGTTCTAAAAATCCAAGTTTTTTAATGCAATAAAAACGAAAAGGTTCGAGTTGAACCTCAAAATAATAAGCTATTTGGCGCAAAACAGAAATGATAAGATCCTTATTTCGGATAATTCTGTTCAAAAATGTAATATTCTAAATTCGTTTTTATGCTGTGGCGTAAATATTGCTATTCGTCTGAGATACATCACGTGATCTTTGATTCGCCGACTTTTGGATTTGATCTGAGCGGTATTTAGAGCGCAAGTTTATGAAAACATGTTTAATTTATGTTCTGGACGTAAACTTGATGTCATCAAAAAGAAGGCGGTAACAAGTGGACAAAAAAAACTTTCAATGGAGACCCTTCCGCGAATTCCGGGGGTGCTTAAAGGGGGTTTTAAACTGGGGGTTCGGTGATTTTCTAGTCTAAAATTTTAGACACAAAATCGTTTCGGCCAAATACTGTCATTTTTGATCCCCGAATAATGACCCGAGTCTTGGCTCGGAAACCTGTGTAGAATACCATAGCGTAGAACGTTCTCAAAATTCGGCCACCCTCATTTTAGGTTAGTGTTAGGGGGGTCCAAGGGGGCGAAGCCCCGTAGGTTAGGCCTTAGGGTTAGGAACTGCGTACTTTCACCCATTGGGGGTCCCGGGGGGCCAAGCCCCCGGGTTAGGAGTAGGGTTAGGAAAAATAAAAAAAAAAACAAATTATACTTGGCCGAATTTTGAGGTTATACTACCTACCATAGTAAGGGTCAGACAGCTTAGCGGCTTTTCTAAGATGTTGTGTTTTTTATCTTATATTTTTCAGACCTTTTCTCAGGTGTTTTACGCACATTGCCGAACCCAGACCTTAGTTCAAAATGCCTTCACTTGATCAAACCCTGACAAGAATTTTAATTTCCTTTTTGAAAAAAAAATATACATATTATTATTCAATTCAAAAGTCCTTAGTTCATGAATTCGTTCTTGAGTGAATCTTTTTCATCAAAAATCGGTCTCAATCGAGCAGCGTAACCTCTTGTACCTCGCTTGTCAAAGTATCGGTGCGCTGCGCCACCACCACCATTTCTTTCCTCGCGCCGCGCATAAATACGCGCCGCATTGCGTATTCCCGACCATACAGAATTTTCCAACGAGAATATCTCTTGGGAATTCAATCAACTAAATAAGAGAAAGAAAAAAGTTTTTGAAAGATGAGACTTTTACCATTTTTTCTCGCGCTTGTGTCAGCTGGAACTGTTGACGTAACAAAATTTGTGACAAAGACGAACACATGGACTTGCAGAGCTTGTTTCAATGTCAGACTGCAGTTTGGCTTTAGTCAGGCTGGAATCAAAAGTAAGTCAAAAAATTCTTAAAATTTTCCAAAAGAAAAATTTTCCTTATTTTTCAGAAAAAAATCTTATTTTTTTTAGATATTTTTCAATTTTTTTTATATTTTTGGATTTTTTTTTGATTCAATATTCTTAATTTCTCATTTCAGGCTGGAACTCAAAAACCGCTTGGATCGAAATCGGCCTCTCGAACGAAGTCGGTTTCATCAAAACTGAAGGAATTGTCAAAAAAGTCGATGGCAACATGAAAACCTACAAGTTCACCTTCATTCCCCACTTCAATCCTGGCGACAAGCGAATCGATTTCAACACTGAATTCCGAGAATTGATGGCCGCTTTTGGCCAGAATTTGGGAACAAAGGTTGAACATGTTTATGTTCATGGAGTTGCTACTAACAACAAGGTAAATGTAATGAAAATCCATCAAGATCAAATAATCTTGGTGCAACAACCTGCACAAAAAACCTGAGTCAGGGCCTGACTTTGCCGATATTTTTTCATTGATTAAAATCTATCAGGCCCTGACTCAGGTTTTCGAAACAGGTTTTCGAGCCAAACTACACAGGTTGCTGAGCCAAGTCACTTATTCTTACCTTAACAAAAACTTTCAGACACCACCACCAACTGGAGGCCCAACCACGACAACCACCACCACCACAACTCCCCCTCCCCTCTCTTTCTGCGGCATGGACATCACTGAAGCCCACCCAACCGAAGAAAAGGGCTCCTGGGCCTGCGATTCCGACAAGGATGAGAAGCGACAAGTCCGCTGCAAATTCCAGTGCTTCGATGGATTCAAGCCTTTTGCCATTTCAACTTGTCTTCGACGTGAACGGTGAGCATTCTTTTGCTTGATACCAGCTAGGATTAACAAGCTCGCTTTCCGTAACCCGTTTATCTCGAGCTCAAGGCTTCTTATTCACCAAAAAATTTACTGTTATCTCGAAATTCTCGAGTGGCAAGAAGCTTCTAACGATTTTTTAAGTCAAGAGCATGCCTTCAAAATTCACCAAGGGATAATTTTTAACGATTGCATTTTTAGTGGAAATGAGTGGTCCAAAGTCAGACGTGGCAAGCTCGACTGTACTACTTGTGCTCAAAACACGTTGGAGGAGATGTACACCATCAAAGGTTTGAATACAAAACTGACATCTGATGACATTTGATGCTATTCGATGACATTTGATGACATTTGATGTTATTTGAGGACATTTGATGACACTTGATGTTATTCGATGACATTTGATATTATTTGAGGACATTTGATGACATTTGATGTTATTTGATGACATTTGATGACATTTGATGACATTTGATGACATTTGATGAAATTTCAAAATCACAGTTTTGATTCAGGCGGATCCTTCAAGTGCAACTTGGAATACGACGCCGGAACTGCCATCCTCCGACGCGGCGGTGACGGTGGTCGAGTTCGAAGCTGCTCCCCAAAATGCAACAAACCCAACCCAGACATTGATGGAAAGATCGTCTTTCGGTAACTTCAATCTAACTACTTTTCAATTGCTTTCATCGTTTCTTCTAGATGCCGAAACAACAAAGGATGGCGCTTGTCCCAAGGCTCCGTCGACGGAAACGTCATTAACTGTAAATAAACAGTCTGTAAATAAATTTTTCTATTGCCAAAATATTCAAAAGGTCTTGTTTTGTCAATTTCGTTTTTACAATTAGGAGATACGTGATCGATATGAGAAACGAGCCGAAGAAGTTCTAAAGCAAGCATTTCAAAAATCTACTACTACTCGTGTACTTAGTGGTACTACACTTGTTGTACCAAGGCTGATGTAATGATAGTAAAGTGTCGGGTTGATCAGAGATATGAAATGATTGCGATGTTAATAAAGGGCTAATCTTGATGTTGCTTGTTCTTTATATTAATATTTACTGATTAGAGTGTACTTATATTTATGTTGGTTTAACCCCTTGGCGGGAAGTGTCTATTTTTTCGCCTAAACATCCAATAAATATAAATTAAAAGAAATATGGGCCATATTATATGGCGCTTTTGAACCCGTTAATTTAATGACCTTTGACCCCATATTACTTTCTCTTTATAAAACCCTAATTTTCTACTTTGTTATTTACTCAAAGCATTATTTTTTCATTATGTACTTGTGTAGTTGCCCCAGTCGCAAGTTTTCTACTCAAAAAACGAGCGAAAAGTGCTAAGACAAGGCCTGAAAAGGCGACAGACAGGCGTTGTCTAGTTTCGATTGCGCTGGCCGGCTGCGCGACGTGACCAATGGGGATACCGCACCGTCGAATGGAAAAACAACGTCTGTCTGGTAGCCACGGAGTAGCCAACGGGCCATAAGCACTGCCCCCTTCTCTCTCGAGAGAAAATTGCCCATCCGCCGTCGCGCGCCCGCCCCACAAAGCCTTTTTTACCCATCCTTTTCGAGAGCTCCTGTTTATCAATATCGATTTCGAATTCAATGATGGACAACTTACCCGCTTCTTCTACCACCATTTCCATAGAAAGAGAAATGCCCAGAGACAGTGAAAACAACGAAGAAGCCAACGTGTCGTCGATCGAAATTGAAGTTCTAGAAGAAGAAGAAGACGAAGTTCCAATGAGCGAGACGGTCCAAAAGCCAGAAATTCTGAAGGAAAGGGTCGCATTAGCTCGTAATTCTTCGATTATTATGGTGAACTTGACCCTGAAAAGGTTCACTCTTCGATGATTTTCCAACTGCGACCTGGAGAAAAGCCACAGCTACCTATAAATGCTCATGTTTCTAGCGAATCGAGGGTAGAAGAGGAAGAGATAATTACGAGAGAACAGATCACGTGCAAAATTGAACGAGTATCAGGTAATTACAGGGGACTTTTGTTAAAATGATGAGCTTTTGATCCAAATAAGAAGGCACCGAGACGGCTTTATAATGGGATTTGACTTCTAGACTTGGCTTCTGTCGAGCCGACAACAAACAAATTAGCGCCAATTACTAGAGAATTCTTATTTAAAATCTCTACTCGAAAATCAAGGAGAATCAAGAAAAAGAAAAACGATCAAATTGAAAACTTATTGTTATTTTTAGACGACGAAAATAACGACCCGATCGCAAGACTAAAAGCCCAAGCTGCCGAAAATGTCAAGAACAATAAAACTATCAGCCCTGTTGAAATCAAAAGCATCAGTGAGTTGACGAGATTGACGGACAAGCTCTTCAAATTCGCGCTGGATCAGAAGAACGAGGATGGCTACAATTCTATCAAGTGTCTAGGAAAGGTTTTTGATTACAGGTTTTATTTTGTTTGAATATTCCGTTTATAAGATATAGAGACCATAAGTATGGTAGATAAATAATCTTTTTTCAATTTCTTCTAGGATAGAGATTTGTCAAAAAATACAAAGTTGGTAAGTCGAATAGTACAACCGAATCACGACAAATATAATATTATTATAGTTTTCGCGATAACCTTTTATAAAATTTATCGCTGATCAATTAGGAAATCTGATTCGCCTTAAATTTGACCATTTTTTGATCATAACAGTCGGATTTTATATCTGTTCTTAAATATTAGTGTTAATCCCTATATCTGAAATTTCTAAAAAATAACCATAAATAAGATATTGTTGGTAAAGTTTATATATTTTTTTCTATTTTTAGAATTTGAGGTGACAAAATTACCAACTTTAAGACTCTCAGGCTTGTCGCAACTTATTATTTTTCAACATAAAAAACTCAAGGAAGTCCGCCGATTGAGACGATCCCGATGCGAAAATCCTCTAGAAAAGCTCATCGTTGCCCTACGGTAATATTTCCAGACATCAATCAGACTCAATCAATCCCTCTTTCTCTCTCTTTAGGACGCAATCTGCTGACTCTGAATGTATCACAATACCCAAGTCTCAAGACGGCCGGATCCAAGTCGCGAAGAAGAAGTGCTACCCGCATGTCCTTTATGTTCAGCTGTTCCGTTACTCGGACGTGACTCATTCTACCCCGCTGCTGAGCCTGTGCAAATACGGAAGAGGCTCGTCGGATAAAGTTTGTGTCAATCCATTTCATTATGAAAAAGCCCACACTTCAAATATTGACACCAGGTACAGAAATAAAAACTGATCCTTCACAACAGTTTTCTCAGCCGACTGACCCCAACCCAAGTCCGATGCTTCTCGCAAATTTCGATCATCAAAATGGAACCAAAAGACGAACCAATTATGAACCAGCCCCTTACCATATCTCCAATCACCCCTGCGCAAGAAAGAATTAACCGTCGAATCCGTCGAATTCCTCAAGAACAATTTGTCCAGCTGACAAAACCTTCGCTGGACGCGCACATTTGGCATCGTCCGACAATTTGGGCCGACATTCAGCTCTTCGAAGGAGAAACAAAGGTCGGGACGGAAGTCTCCGCTGTCATGTCAGAACCACGAGTGTCTGTGCTTCCGCCAAAGTCGCCCTATCGCCGAGGGCTCCATCGAAATCCACTGAAATCGTACGACTTTTTCCGGCTGAATCAGAGCATTCAGGACAATTTGAGCGAAGGGATCCAATTCCATTGGACGGAAAGCGGAAATTTATCTGTAAAAATCTGACGAATCTTCGGATTCGTATTGATTCCAGCTCGACGAAGATGCAACGACAAATGGACTTGTACGATCCGACGTTGCTGGATCCGAATAAAGAAAAGGAAATTTTCAATTTTGAAATGTTTCAGACTTTACTCATCAAGGTAGCTTTGAATAAATAAAGGTTCGCTGACTGTTTTTAGGCGAGACAATTTGGGAAGAACAAGCTGTTCAGTTTGAGGGAGCACTGCCATGCGCGCATATTTTTCGAGACAGATTCTACAAATAGGGTCATTAATATGCCACATTTGTCCGAATCTCTTTGGATTATGGGAACGGGCTCATCGAATGAAAAGGGTATTTCTTCAAAAAAGAGCATCTTCGTAATAATAGGGGAGTTCCCCTTAGATATGTTGTTCGGGCCCTATATAATGCTATAATTTGATGAACCCAGAAAGTGATCCTTCATTGGCCGCTGTCTCTCCTGGATGTCTATTTAGCTGTTCAACACTACTAAGCCTCGAAACGCTGCTAAAAAGCGTTTATTCGTCCTGAAAACCCTATTGGTGCAAAACATGTACAAAAAAAGTTCAATAATAAACACTTTACATTTATGATCTGAATAAGGAATACTGACTATTCTCGTGAATCGATATTAAAATATTGAGAACGATCAGCGAACAATTTTTTGCGGGATCTCTTCTCATCGTTTGCCCATCTGACTTTATATTTGCTTCATCCAAACAGAAAGTTTTTTCCAGATTTAAAAAACGCATTCTATCTTCATAAAATTATGAGAGAATGAAATTTGGAGAGGTAAAAGACGACCACGATCAAGAAGCAATCTGTTTCTTTTTTGAAAAAGATCACATCAATGCAGAGTTTTTCGATGCAATTGAACGTTTTTCGTGGTTTGAGCCTGAACGAATCATATCAATTCTTGGACCGGACTCCAAAGTCCGAAACGATTCGCGAACAAATTTCGAAAGTTTCACTAGTCATCTTCAAAATCACGCCGTACAACAAAAAAAATGGATACTTTCTTCCGTCGCAATCAAAGCTATTCAAGATAAGCAAACAAATCTTATCCAAATAATTGGAGGAAAATATCTTTCGAAAAAATTAAAAGACCAAAAGAACAAGCTTTATTATTTTTCCCCTTTTTCATCGAATCCTTTTCCAGACAAAAGATATTCGAAGATAATTATAGTTCTGGACAATCACTTCGTTAATAAGGAACAGGGTTTAATATAAATATATTTATATAAAGATTATCGCAAATATTCAAACATGATTCATGAATCATGAAGCATCATAAGGAATAGCAGAATCGAAAATATAACCAAGACGGCCTTGCCCTCACTAAAATTAGCAATGAATTTCGTAACATTATGTTTCTCTTGGCTCAAAGCCCTCTGTTTTTAATGTGAACCTTCATCAGGATGATGCTCAATTCGACTTTCATTCGATTTTACGACCTCGATTTTCGTTTGAATTCGCGATTTTTAATGGTGATAAAGAAACACTGCCGCTCATTCAAGAAATACTTATGCGAAAATTTGGAAGAATCGTTTTGGTTGGAAATTCTGGAGGAATAGTCGACAATTTTGTGACGTTATTGCTTGAAAGGAAAATCGTGTATCAGAAAGGCGTATGGAAATCTATTCAATTAAAATGGACGGACTGGTTGAAAAAACAATCAAAACTCAAAGCATCGGACCCTGACCAGCTGCAGCAAATTCTAAACTTAAGGAGGTGTTGGGCAGTTATGCGCTAGTTCGAATTTCAAAGTTGAATTTTCAGATAGCTAAGGTCACGAGCATAAAAAAACTATCCTCCTGGCCGGTCTGCGTTCAAAGATAATTTCTCTTTGAAATTTTTGAGGAAGATCAACCGCACTGAAAGAACATGCTCAAAGATAGGAAATAATAAATTCCAACTTTCGACATAATTTATCCACAAGAGCTTGTTTCTCAATCTAAAGTAACCGTATAATTTAAATAGCCTAAGCGCTTTTCAACAATGAAAGATTCTCAAAGAACCGCCCCACATCTTCTTTAGGAAATCCGAGGATACAGAGGAAACAATTGTCCTTTACCTTCACAACAATTTTTGTCGAACCACTTTTCATGAATTTCATGAGGAATTCTTTAGAAGTCGTGGTAATGCTTCGCGCAAGAAATCGGATGAGAACGAAAACCTTTTCAATGAATATTTACCACCATTCTATTATGTCACTCAAACAGAAGCTTTAGAAATGTTGGATGAGGTCGTTTTCAAAAAGGATATTTATTATCATCACCTTTCCGGGATAGTGATTCCAATTTTGTTGAACAATACTTATACCAAAAAGAAAATTTATGATGCCATGGAACATGCGCTTACTTTCTGTGCTGGCGCGACTTTTGAGAAAGTTTATGATAGATTATGGTTCTTTGATATCAAGCTACAGGAGTTTATTACGCCGAATAGATTGGCTACGATGTACGAAAATATGTTCTTGAAATTTGGCCCAAAAATGAACGAAATCACGGAAAGAATGACAGACGATCAAATAAAATGGCAGTTTTTGGTCGATTTAAGGCCAAAGAATAAAGAGAGATGGCCCGAAAAGATAGACAATATGGAATGTTTACTGATTTCTCCAAAGTGGAACCCATTCGGTGACACATCGAAGGAGGAATTCATACAAAATTGGGAGGAAAACGTTGTTTCGATACTGGAAAAGCGGTTCAAAAAGCAAAATCGTGAAGAACGATTCTTTTGCTTACTTCTTCTTTCCGGACGTTTAGATGCTGCCAATTTTGTTTGGCAAAAAAGCGAACACAAAATCAGCCTGGCCCTTATTGGAGCGACCATATTAAGAGGAGTCGCTTTGTTAAAACTAAAAGACTCAGCAGTAACTCAACGATATACAAAAATCGCAGCGTACTATGAAGATGCTGCCTCTGAAGCTTTAGAAAAATATGCGAAGAATTATTTGATAAACAGAGATGACATGATAATGTTAATCGAAACCATCGAAAGAAGTGACAAAAATGAGACGAGAATGGGTAACATGACAATGCTGAATCTCGCGTATTCGGGAAAATGCTATAATTTTATGTCGCAAGCATTAGTTCAGAATTTCCTCGACAGACAGGGATGGAAAGATTCTTGAAAAAGGATATTTATTCTGCTGTCGCAGAATAACTTAGATCTTGTAGTTTGAAAAATTTAAAAAATTTTTAAAGAAAATTTTTCCAGCTCAGCAAAAGTGTCTGGTCTGGTGAAAAATTTGAGTTCTTGAATAACAATGAAGCAACCATAAACGATTATGAACCGTCAAGTCAAAATTCGACAAAAATAGGAATCGAGTCGAAAGTTTCCCGTCGAATTGATGAACAAACTTCGGAACACTTGTTAAAAACTGTAGATGAAGAAGCAAATGGGCAGTCTGATGGGCTATTAACAAACTTGAAAAATGACTGTTTCTATCAGTCATCAAATTTGGCAGACTCTCCTAACGAAGCGCCGAACTCTGTTGATCTCTTTGAAAAATTGTCATTATTTGATAAACTCAATATCGAGCTCCGCAAAGCTTATAAGAAAAGACAAGCGCCTTATATGGTCTTTCGGGTAAAAGGTCTTAACAATACAGAATTCATATTTTATTAAGTGCAATTTGTTCTGGCATCTTGTTTATATTATATTGTTTGGAATCTTTCTGACAAGAATGTTTTGTGTCTACCCGACAAGGCTCGAATGGATTCTTTATTTTTGGACGTTTACTTTGATCGTTGAGGAAATAAGACAGATCCGGGACATTCAGGATGGTTCTCAATATCGGAAATCAATATCAAGAAATTTTTGACAGGGTTGAAACTCATCGAATATCTATTATATGATATAATTTATATCTAACTATCTTTTAAGACAGTCGTTTCTTACATTTTTAGTAAAAAATAATCACAAGGAACCCTTTTAAACCTGCTTAAAGGGATATGATCAAAACATGGTGGAGCTCGTATTATAACAAAGTCGATGGACTTTCCCTTTTATTCTTTATTGTTGGAGCATTTTTTAAATTTGTTTATGCGTTTCGAAAGGATCTACGCTTTATAAATCATTAAATATCACTGAAAATTTTTCAATTTAAAAGCGTCAAAAAAGTCTTCAGAAATTAAAGAATGCCCCACAGAGATCTCAGTTAAGGGTCGAAACTGACCAGGGAAAATGCCGAACTTCTTTGTACGCGACAAACTTTCATGAAAATTTTATGAGAATAGAAAACCAATCAGGCGTCTGTATTCGGCCAATCGTCCAATTAATGCCAAGTATTTTTGAAAGTTTATTGCGAACAAAAAATGCTGACCTTAAATTGTTGCCAATGATTTCCCGTCAGTGCCGACCTTAAATCACAGGAGGATTCCGCGCTGCTCAGGTTTTCTTTAGCATATCCTTCATGTTGACTTCATACCGACAACTTGACGTTTTCGCACTTTCCTCAACATATGGCCCAAAAGTCAAGATGATTTCGAGGATGTTTATCCAAATGTTTCAGTTTTTGAGCATAATGGGACTTTTTATTGTTTCTTACGGAGTTGTTCAGCAGAGTTTGCAATATCCTAACGAGCAGCGGGGAATATTTATTTTGAAGGTTTCATCAAAGCTTCTTCAATTTAAACTCACGTTTTTAAGAATATTTTATTTGGGCCTTACTTTGGAATTTACGGAGAACTCTTTCTTGGAGAAAGAACAAATTATCCTTTTGAAGATCAGCCCGAAGATTGTCATAAGCCTCAAGATATTTTTCTAGCGAACTCAACACTTCCCCGATGCCCTACGAAATCGGAAGTATCAACTTTTTTTCATGGACTTTACATGTTGATCGTACAGATTTTACTTATCAATTTATTGATTGCCTTGTTTTCGTCGACATATGAGGAAATAAATCAAAAATCTACTCAAATATGGAAATTTGAGAGATATCGACTTGTCAAGGAGTATTATTTTAAACCAAAGCTGCCACCTCCATTCATCATTTATAGGAACTGAGCTTATTTAACGTAGTATGGAAGTTCTTTTCGGCAAATGCAGCCAAAAAGGAAATCATTTCGAAGGCTAATATCTGATTTACTTTTCGGCACACTGCCGAAAAGTATTACCTTATTTCATTTATTTTTAGAAAAGCCATAGATGAAATAAAAAAAATTCAGTTAAGGCAAATTTTTGTAAAAAATTTATTCTTGCTCAGAAGAAAGAACAGAAAATTCAGAGTCGAATTGGCTTGATTTGACCTAAAAATTTTGACTTAAGGAGGTGTTGGGCGGTTTTCGGGAAATTGACCATTTTCAAACAGCCCTCAGGCTCAGATGGGTAAGAAAATTATTAAAAACTCTTCTTCTACTTATAGATTGGACCTTAAACTAGAGTTGGAAATTTTTTCAGAAAAAATTATTAAGGGATTCTGCCTATAGAGAGCTCAGCTTCAAGTCATGTCCGTGAAAATCACCATTTTGCGTCATTTTTGAACGCGATTTTTTTAATGAAAAAAAAATTTATTTTTTAAAACTTAGATGATCAAAAGAAACTTCCATCGCTGTTCTAGGGTTGATTTGAAAGAATTTACTTTTTCGCAAAAATTGCTTATTTAAAAACTTCAATCAAAAATTGGGTTTCAAATTGTCAAAAAGATGAGATTTAAAATTGCACTTACTCGTAATACAGTTAGATAAGTGAGTCACTGTAATGAATAAAAATACTCAGCGAGTCGTAAGCTTTCTAAAAATATTAAAATAATTGTATTTGTGAGACTTTAAAAAATCTAATTTCACGAATTTTCATAGAAATGTCAATTTTCAATCCCGTTTTTCACCAACTTTTGTTGACATTGAAAAATAAAGCTAGGGACCTTTTTTGATGCTCTTGATGTGGGCTTTCTAAAAATGGAAAGAAAATTTTAAAATTCGAATTTTCGCCAAACCGCCCCATACCTCCTTAAAGAGGTCACAAATTACGAAATAAAGTCCGAATTTGAGCATTTTGGGTAAATTTTGGGGCCACTTTTAAGGGGGTTTCTGTTAGATTTATTGGACGTTCTATAGCTCAAAAGAATCGCCGTCGAAAACTGATGGGGGTTTATAAGGGTTTTGAAAAACTCAAGAAAAAAAAATTTTGACCACTTTTCGACCGGTCGGTTTGAAGGTGTTTCTCTTAGAATTTCTCAAAATCCGTGAAAACCTACCCTAGATTTTTGATGACGATACTTATGAGCACATGAACGCCGAAAAATTCAATCGGAAACAGTGTTTCCGAAACACCTTCGAAATCGGCCCCAAAGTTTTTTGAGGAAAATGAGTCATTATGACGTCATTCCAAAAAATTAAAGAGCCGGAAAAAGACAAACCGTTCAAAATTTTTCATTCTTTCATATTAGGCCATAAAATTTTTTTTGAAAAATATTGCCTCAAATGAAGCTTTTTAATTTCATCTTAAAGAATTGACCTATTTTTAATCTCGAAACAGTCACATTCTCATTTTGTTTCGAGGCAGTTCTAGAACAAAGAACAATTTCCGCGGGGATTATCGTGATTTCAAGTTACATGGAAAGAATAAAAGAGTATATGGAGGATTGGACGGATATCTGTCTGAATTATTTCTGCGAGATAAGAAGACTTTCAAGGAATTATTTGAATCATAAAAAAACTGTGCTTTATTATATTTTTATGTCGCATGAATCAACTGCGTTAAAAAGAACCGTTTAACTGCATTTCTTACAATTCAATATCAGTTTATTTATTTTTACACCAATGCTTACGATGCATTTCAATTCGAAGTAAAAGACCTTGAAAATTAAGCTGTATTGCTTCAATAAGATTCTGATGAAATAAAATGGCGTACAGATATATCAAACTGACATAATTTCAAATAAAATAGCTGGCAGAAAAAATACAATCAAAATGAAAAATTAATAATTGAAAATCTAAAAAAATTGTTGAAATTCTAAAATTGTCCAGGAGTGATTTTGATGGAGCCAAATTGCTGCTCGATGATTTTTCCAAACGGAGTTCCGAGGACCTTTTTTGGCATGTCCAAGATCTCAGCTGGAATGCTCTTTTGGACCAAGAATTGAGCCGCATCCTCGCTAATAAGGGTGTCAGTTTGTTACTAGAAGATTTACTGAACCTGAAATTGTTGCAATTGTGCGTGAGAAGAGCATAAGTATCCCCTCTGTATTCGCTAGATCCCATCGCTCGAATCCACTCGTTGAAAGTACAGGGATCTACTTCTGTCTGAAAGACACGATTATGAGGAGAAAGAAAATGTGGAACAACTTTTCCGAGCTTGACTTTTCTCATGGGCGGGCCCAAGTGAGTCCCGCCAGGCCTTGATTGATCGATTCCACCACCGCCGAAGTAGAACTCGACGCCGTTGTAAACGATTGCTGTGTGATAAATCGCTTCAAGGTGAAAGCCAAGAAGAGGCATGCTCATCATTTGAGCCATTCCTTGACTAAAAAAATCATTTCTTCTCTCCTAATCTACTTTTCCCATTTTTCAATTTTCCGACTTTACCTGAGATCATAAATATACAGCTCAACTTCCATCTCCGTCCCGCTCATTTTGTCCTCTGTAAATTTTCCTTGATTTTATTGTGAATTTCCCCGAATTATTTTTCTCTTTCACTCAATTCTTCCAGAAATCGATTCAGCGCGCGTCGTACTCGCGTCGGTTTTGAGTGTGACTCACCTATTTGACAATTACTCACGTGCAGCTCACGGAACAGTGACAAATGTCGAAAATTCTAGCGCCTTCGAGAACTTCAGTTCAAGCGTTATCGTAAAGATACGTGGATAAGAAGTATTGCATCTAGAAAATTTCTGATCTGAGAAGTCAAAGAAAAAGTTTATTCAGTTATCGAGAGCGCAACAGTAAAGAGCTCCTTTTCCATAAGATCCGCAGCTTTCGGAAGCCCAGCGACCGACAGTGCAAACTCCTCGGACGTATTTGTTCGCATCGCATTTTCGGTACTCGCCATAGTTCGATGGGTATTGCCACGAGCAAGAAGATTGATTGACCGTCATTGTTTTCAGTGCGCAGCAGCGAACTCCAGAAGCATTTTTGTTACAGTCATCATTTGATCCGGAGGAACAGGCTCCGACAGCGAGCTCGTCTGGACCGAGGCATTTGTTCAGCTCCTCGAAGTCACTAGAATTTTTTTGGAAATGAATGATAGGGAAGCGTACCCGAATGCCCAGTAGCACCGGTCAGCAAAGTCAAGAGAGACTCTAGAATCTTCCTTGCACTCGATTAGGTGGGAGTAGCTGTTGTTGTTCCATTTACAGTCTTTCTTGTTGCCGGAGCTACAGTAGCCGCTCATAACTTACGATGGATTTAATTATCTTCCTTGTTTCGAGGATAGAAAGCTATTAAAATAAAGAATCCGTAACATAACCATAAGGACACTCAAGAAACTGCCCGTAGTCTCCTGTTAGGGTGATAACACTCTGAGCAAAAGAAGAAGCGAAAAGGGATAAATTTACGAGTAACATTTTCTGGAGATACTCAAAGCTATCTTACCACAAATTTTAGCAAGATTGGATTGACAGATGGTTGTGTTCACAGGAAGTAGAGCTGAAAATGGACAACTAAGCGGCCAAAGTGACGCTTAGATAATTTTCTAGTATTTTTGGTGCGCTTATTCGGCAAGTTTATTTTTTCGAATTGTATAAAAAAGCGGTGCATTGAGAAGGTTTATAAAAAAAAGCGTGATTATAGAAGAGTTTATTGCAGAATGATGTAAATTATCAACTCAAAAAAACGTGGCATAACACCTGGATATTACGCGTGCACCGTTTTACACTTGATATTCAACTTTGTTAGAAAAGGCTTAGCTCTATTTTGACAAGTTCAGAGGGTGTCAAGCTCACGTTTTTTTGAGTGACGCTTCGAACTCTGGTCACCCTCATTCGCCAAATCTTCAGGGAGATCCCCACAAAGATCATCAGAAGATGTGACCGTTATTAATTGACCCCATGAGCCTTGGAACCCTAGGATATGTTTCTAGAGTGTTTCCTAGGTCTTTATTCCCAGGTTAAGTTCCTGAAAGATTGAACTGATCAAACCATAAACCACAAATGGCGGACAGAATAATCAAAGATAAGAAGTTTCCTCAAGTTAATATATACTCTCCTTTGATTTCCTGATCTTCAGTTATAAATTTTCATCAAAAGTGGCCATCGGTAGGTTTTTTATGATGTCACAATTTACCATGAACGCACGAATTTTTTTTCCTGCTGAACGCATATTACGCAGATTTCTGCGCAGCATCTTTAGAGCGCTCTAACGACGACTGTGGTCGAGATTTGAAAAAATCAATGCTACCAGAATGAAGCTCAGACGCTTGCGAACAAGTTTATTATAGTTTAAGATCCTAACCCTAAACCGAACCTTGCAAAAAATAATGATTTCTAAAGTAACTCGAAAATTAACCAGTTTTTTTTTCAATTTTCTTCAATTTCATTGATCGCAAATACAAATGTGCAAAATATATACTTATGATAAAATTTGTGTTTAATTCGATGCAAGAATGCGATTAAACGTGGAAAAAATAATTTTCATCGACGGAAAAATTAATTCAGAGCTGTTGAAGAGCTAAAAAAGCATAATTCGAAATAATCGGAAATTTTTGTTCTGAAGCCAAATTTTTATCCTGAAGTCAAAATTTTTTTTCGATGCCAGATTCGGATTCCTCATCGAAAAAGAGCTTCTAAAGTGGGGGTCCAATAAAAATTTTGGTCAAGTAAAGTAGGGGATATCGAGCTTTAAGGGGGTAGAACTAGATTTTTCGAAAAACCGTGATTTTCGGGAGGCACTTTAAATAAGGAAAACCTGTTTTTATTTATGATTACGCAATTTCCTCAAAAATGTTGCTAGATAAAGGGTTAAACTATCTTAAAATGAGATTTAAAAAATTTGGCTAGTCACGTGACTCGAGAAATTTGACTCGAGAAATTTGAAAATCTAAGCTCTCCTGGCTTTGAGCGCCGGTCTAGAATAGGCTATTTTCGAAAAACCTAGTTCTACCCCCTTAAAGGGGCTCTGCGCAGAAATCTGCGCAATATGCGTTCAAGCGTTAAAATAAAAAAGTGTCCTTTGATTCGGACCTTAGTTAGATATCCGACTCGATTTGGAAGACGATCATTGAGTTAATTTTTTAACCGTTGCACCTAGTGATAAGGGCAAATTTTCTCAGCCCGAGTATGCAGGTGCACACGATTCGCGATGTGATGGCGTTGTTCATTGTGCTCACTCACGCCATCCAAAGCGTAAATTTATATACTAAAAAAGTCATTTTGAAATCATTACATCACTCAATATAAAGAGAATGAGGCTTTTAGTAGGGCTACTAGCACTTGCGTATGCCGGATTGATGCAAAAACAGGAAGATGCTGTAGTTACAGATGGCTCATCAACACCGACTATTCAGGTACAAACATTCACATTTATTATAACGATAAGATAAAGAAGAAGAAAGGTTATTGAGTGTAAAAATAACCCTCGAAACTCCCGCTCCTCATAAATAATTGAGTCGAAACTACCCAAATTTACTATTTACTTTAACTGTTTTCTCTTAGAGCTGGGTGAAGCGTTTCATTATCCTGCGGTTTATTCGTAGAAAGCTTCAACAGTATTTTGAACGTCGCCAATGTAATGGGCAAACTGTCTCACCAACAGTTCAACAACCAACTCCGCCTCCAACAGAAACATCCACTGTGCAATCAACTGAACCACCCGTTGACCCCCAAACAGAGCACCCAACTGAGCCACCCACGTCGCCGCCAACTGTCACCCAAACAGAACAGTGGTGGACTGAGCGTCCTGTTGAATTCGAGCCTCTCACCAACGCCATCCCAAGTTCCCTCAAAACTTGTACTTCTGGCTCCCGAACCGCCTTATACAAGATCGTAAACGGAATCGACGCTGAGCAGGCGCACTGGCCATGGATTGCTCAGCTTGAACTGATGGGCAATCAATCAGATTGGTACGAGTGCGGTGGATCAATAATATACGATAACTGGATCATCACTGCCGCTCATTGCTGCGAGGGAATCGAGTTAGTTTTTGCCTTTTTTAATAGTGCTTCCAACGATACTGAATTTTCTTTGAATTCAACAACTCTCTTCATTCATCCTGAGTACGACGACGACTCCGATGGTGACGACAGCAACATGGACATTTGCTTGATAAGATTCGATGAGAGTCTTGTGACTGATCGAACTGGAACGGCACCAGTTTGTCTGTCCACAGCATATCCAGATCGTGAGTCCATAGTTCTGACCTAACGTAAAAACGCTTTTTTGAGATGGAAAAGCTTGCTGGGTCGCTGGATGGGGAGATACAAAGGAGGATGGATACGGATCGGATCTTCTCCAGAGCGTTGGTGTCAACATTTTAGGTCAGGAGTACTGTTTGAAAAACACAAAATACAACTCTCTTCTTCCGGATGATATTTGCGCCGGATTGCCCGATTTAGACGGTAACGGACTGACAGATGCTGGAACCGACTCCTGCCAGGGGGATTCCGGAGGACCACTTGTTTGCGATGTTGATGGCGCTGCTACTCTTGTCGGTGTTGTTTCTCGAGGTGAAGGTTGTGCAAGAGAAGGATATCCTGGCATTTACACTGCTATACATACTGACAACTGGATTGCACAAACAATCGCAGAAGCTGATTTTAATAGCACAATTGGCTACCCGGTTAATGAATTATAAATCATCATACTCAAAATAACACATTTTCATGATTGTTTTGCAGGAAGCTCAAGCGTCAAGAACTCAGAGAAATAAAAAAAACCTTGCCAAATTTTATTAAATTGAAATATCATTTTTCGTCATCCAATCTGATTTTCGAAGATCAGCAAGCATTCCTTCTATCTTGATAATGTTCTTAAGATAATTCGTAATTTTTTTTTTGCAATTTCTGCTTACCAGAAAAATATAAATCATCTGAAGCAGAAAAATCAGTGCCAGAATAGCCAAGAACAAAGCGCGTTTTTTATTCAAAATCGCCATCCTTGTCCCCTTTTCTCTCAATTTTGCCGAGCAAAGATCAACATTTTCCGGTCAAAGGATTAATTTTACGACATAATGGACGCGAATCTTGCAGGCAACAATAGGATTTTTTCGACCTTTTATTGTAAAAAAGAGAATCGTTCATTTCTTGAAGAAGACCTTTTCTTGTAAATTTTAAGATTTGCAATAAATGGACATTTACAAAAAATGGTCGAATTTTGTTTTTACAAGAAAAGTCACTTTTCCAAGAAAAGTCCGTGTCCCACCGTGGACAGGGGTTATTCGTGAGATCTGATTATGAGCAATAAAATCTTAATTTTCATTTAGTAGGAATTCGAGTTTCAGAGGTCAGAATGGGGTCAAACAAAGTCAGGAGCTTTAGCAACTATCGAGCCAGGTTTTGATCGGCGTAATGAACGTTGAGATTTGACACGAGATTTGGTCGACTCTAGAATTTTTGATCAATTCCGATCTTTCTTTAAAAATGTACTAGGAGAGGTCAGCGTGGCGGGCTGATAATGAACTGGTTTGTCGAAGTCATCTCTGTCGAATTTTCTTTCGCTGAAAGTTGGTGCCGCATATTCTAGCGCTGGAACGGTATAAGTCGGCAAATCGTTCTTTTCCTCGTAAATTCTTGATTCTACTTCATCTTCGTTCTCGATTGACCCGGGGTATTTGATGAAGAGGAAAGCGCAAATGAAATCAATTAGCGTCAAGGCAAATCCCATGTACAAACAGGCTCTAGAATTGCGTTAGATGAATGTCAGAAGGCAACGCTTACCCATATTCATATCTGACGATATCAGTATGTACAGTCATTATATTATCGGGCATATTTGGAAAGCGGAATTCCCGCTCGATCGTGATCCCGTACCACATGACTGTTCCGAATGTCAAAATTCCGACAAGGATCATCAGGGCACCGCAAAGCTAGAATTTAGAAAAACGAATAAAAAATATTTCTTACTCTCATAATATTGATCTTCTTTTCGATATCATGCTCATAAGCTCGTGACCATTCCATACCAAGAAATGCCAAAACCGCCACTGAAAAAAATCTCGTGTAAAAATCCCCATAATCATAATTCTTACCAGCAGTCAGCATAACAAAAGCCATGCAAATCATAGCTTGTAGCACCAGCAGTGTTGTCGGAATATTAAACATACTATCCGCGATGTAGTAGCAGACAAAGTTCATATCACTGACAGTACCGCATTCCCAGAACAGCCCTTTCATCGCGTTGAATTCTCCAAAAATACCAGATCCCATCTATCAATAAAATAAACGAAAAGAAAACTGCTAAAACTCATACATCAGGGTTGAACCAAGCAAATCGAGGAAGAAGAATCATCGTTATCGTAAAAATCCAGCTGATAATGAGAAGAATGTAATTTGCATAATGAACTCCTTCCGCTTCTTTAGAATAAACTTTGTCATATTCTCTGTAATACGCCATTTTATCTCGCAGGTCTGAGTTTTAAAAAATGATCTCAATGCTGAAAATCGAAAGAGTCTTCTTTAGATGTTAATTTAACCGTTACTTTATTGTTTGGGTATTATTGCTAGACTGCGCGAATTTTGAAATCGCGTGCTTTTTATCATTCTCTGCCAAAAAGAATCAGAGCTATTATGATCGATCACCATTTTTAATATCTCGCCGGGTCTGTTCTAGTCAGATTAATAAATCGTTATTTACGATATTCAACTCGTTTATTGTGTTCATCGCAAGTTGACCTCTCTCTAGGAAATCAGAATGAAAAGTTTAGACAAGGAGTTTAAAGGGTAATGTGCTTTTGTTGGATTCATACAGTCGGCATTAATCATGTCACATCATCTGCACTCGATAAGGATTTCTGTCGTAAAAAGAAGCTTTTCGATGATTTGATTGATTAGTCCTTGTTGTCTTCAGACTTAACTTTTTATCTGGATTGACCAATTTTAATGCTTTTTTTTCTTCTCAAAATCTGAGTAATTTTATTTAAATAAAATATAAAAATGTAAAAATAAGTTCGCTGATTTTGAGAGGCGCTAAAAGGAACCAGTTCCAAAATTAATCTGGTTCGATCTGTACCTTTTTTCGCGCCGAAAAATGGGCCCCCGCCGGGATATTCTCGCTCACAACGAACCACCCAAGCAGAAAATTTTCGAAAAAAATTTCCTCATTTTTAATTTTTGCAAGAGAAAATGCAATCAATGTCCCGTGATATTCAACCTTGGGAAAGGGCCTCAAAGTTTAATTGCTTTCTCACTATTTGAATTAATTCTAGAGGCCATAAAAAGGGCTACAGAAATCCGACGAATCGACTGACAGAGCGTGAAAGTGGCTTTTTGGTAAGTCCCGTTTTTACTAGAAAAAAAGCTATTTTGATTAGTTCCAGACGCCCCGCGGCACAATTTCGACTTTCAGACAAAATTCCATTGTCTCAAAAAAGAACAATATTTTTACTCCTTTGAAAGGGGAAATGATAAAATAGTAAAAGAAAGCAAAAATGATTCGATACGATGCAATCGTTGAGTACAGAGTAAAATTGACCTTGAAGAAGAATCCTTTCAAAACGATTATTTTAAGGCCGGAGTCTGTCTTTTTGGCCTGAGCTGTGTTCTCTTTGCTCTCGAATGTACAGGAATGGCTTACAGTATTTAAGGAGGCTTAGCTTTTGGTTAAGAGTTTTAAGAACCCCCCTCCCGTCAATAATTTTCCCCAAAAAATCGACTTTTATCGGAAAAAAAGTCCAATTTTCAAACCTCAAAGGCGATTTTGAGGGTGTTAGAGTCGAGATAGACCCCCGAAAAATGAAGCCTGAGAATGGTTTTTTGATCCGTAGAATCTATTTTCGGGGTCAAAATTTTAAAACTCCGAAAAAAGATCTTACGAAAATTGTTGACGGGGGTCCTTAAATAAGGGAGTCACTTAACAAAAATTATAAAATCTTCGAGTAATAACGAGTCCATCATTTTACTAAAGCCATGCTCAAGTATTGAACTTGTACAAAAACCAGCCGATGCCACGATACTACATGCCGCTTGGATTCGTCACTGCCTTTCTAGCGATGGCCGGAGCAATCGTCAAAATCTCCAACTCAAATAAATCGCCGCTGATTTCCAAGAAAAACGAAATCATTCTCGCCTTGATAACAGTTCTCAATTCCACCTCGCTCGTTTGGTAAGAAAACTCTCAAATTGACTGAATCAGATCCTTTTCAGCATGAATTCTTACATTCTCTTATCTGAAGAGGAGCAAAACGAAGCAGCAGTTTACCTGACGATGGAAATGATCATTGCCGGCTCCCTGGTCATGCTGATTCTCCCGTTTTTCTGCACCGAGCATCAACCTGAATACAGCCGAGCTCAAGCCGCAGCAGAAAATCAAATAGAAAACTCAACTGATCGACGATCAGAAAATATTGTCATTGACGACTGTCCGCCAAAATATGATGATTTGTTCCCCCAGCGCCCTTGAAAATTTGTTAAAATGCCGAATTAAAACATAAACTACATGACAATTTGACCTTTTTTATTTTGAAGCTTCCTTGACAAGCTCTTTTACGAGCAAATTAAGGGAATTGAGCAGTAATTCGATTTATCCAGTCAACATGATCCGCAACTTCGCAGTAAACTCTTGGAGATTCTCCACAGCCTCCCCATGAATTTACCCCAGCGAGAACATACTTAACGGATTCAATCGCACATTTCAAAAGAACAAACCTGATTTGCTCCGGTAGAATGCCTGAGAGCACAAACAAGTGGATTACCACTATCTGTTTGGCAGATGCCTGATCCTCCACCGCAAATCATGTTGTCTTAAGCGAAATCAAAGATCAGAGTGCGAAAATTAATTACCAGTAAGGGTCGAGCCAAGTTTTTCGCTACAGAAAATTCTCTCATAGAGTGGAATAAGGTCCCAGAGAAGTCGGTCAGACGAATGTCCACCTGAGGCAGTATGATCCCAGCCAGAAATGAAACAGTATCCTCCTACTGGCTTAAAATTCTTGGGAGGCAAGCATGCTGGTTTTACGTAGTCGTTGAACTGGAATGCAGTATCAGTGACCATGATGGCAATGTCATTGTTCAGTTGACGAGGAATGTTGAATTTCCCAGTCGTCTCTATTTTTAAGATTCTTTTTCGCTGGGCTCCATCAGAAACGATCCAAGAATTCGACTAGAGGAGAAATTTGTTTAAGTTAAAAATTACATTACTTTTTCAATATGCCCCGCTTGAACAGACCATCTTCTAGGATTAATTGCATTATCGACACATTGGTTTGCTGTGATCACGATTCTCGGGGCTGTGATCGTACCACCACAAAGAAAAGGTCCAACCAACTGCACTTGCCAAGGAAGTTGGCCCTTTTCTGCTCTCCGAACACTACCGAGATCGCAGACTGGACCGTACATGTCGCCCATGAATGAAACGCCTGGCGTTTGATCAGGCTTGGTTAAATATTCATTTGACTCCTAACACTTCATATAACTTACCACTTCCCATGTTGTTGGCTTAGACAAAACACCATTATGGTCTCTGAATCGAAAAAGATTCTCATTTAAAGGGGCACATTTGGGTTGCTCGAATGATAGAGGTTTTGTCGAACTTGGTCTAGGTGACGGAAGTCTACAATTCTTCGGACAATAGCCATAGTTTTGTGATCTAAAAATAATTTTTTTTGGTTAAAAAGTATCATCTACCCATTAAAAGCCTCAATAAAACACCAGTCTCCTTTTGAATCATTGTCAGGATTCGCACAGTTATTGTGATCCTGATTTCGCATCCATCTCTGAGTCGAGCGGTTTCGTGACATGTTTACTGAATTCTTCCAATTTCTAGAGAAGGAAAAATTGAAAGTTATAATTAAACAGCCTTACCTGCATTGAGTGCCTTCATTAGTATGAGAGCACTTTCCACTCGATGGTGGAGAGATCGTTGGCTGTTGATTACCGCAAAGATCGTGACTTGCACAAGCAGAATCACAGTACTCCCAGTAATCTCCTGTATTTGCGTAACTTGTGTAACACCATGGACCGTTTGAATCATTATCCGGGTTCGAACAACCTCCAGAAGCATATCTACCGTTGCACTCTTGCGGATATCTTCGGCTTGAGTCCCAAGCTAAGCATCTTTTCCCTGTATTTGACCTATCGCAAATTGGGTTATCTCTTTGTGCATAAGCGTAGTAGGAATTCACTGATAATGAAAAAATTGATAATGAAGCAAACAACTTCATTTTTTTATCTCAATCAAGGAGAAAATGAATCGTATTAAGTATCAACTCCAAATCCAGCAAATAAATAATGAAACGCCATCTGCGTCAATAGTTACATTGAGATATTCGCAGGATTCGGCTTTTAAAGAAATTTGAGATTATAAAAAAAGTACGATTTTTTCGCCGATTTCAAGATTTTTGCTATGAATGCTCATGATTTATGAGGGTTTTTATAATGAACTTAACAACTTTTGTAACTTATTTTGTCAAGGACTTTTTTATTGAAAAATGATATCACAAAGAAGAAATTTTAAGGAAACTGAGCAGTAATTCGATTTATCCAGTCAACATGATCTGCAACTTCGCAGTAGACTCCTGGAGTCTCTCCACAGCCATATCCCCACGAAGTAACCCCAACAAGAATATACTAAAAGGCAGTCGATAATCTGGTATTTCAAATAAGTAAACCTGATTTGCCCCGCTTGAATGTCTCAGGGCGCAAACGAGAGGTCCACCACTATCGCCCTGGCAAGTATCTGGACCAGCTCCTCCGCCGCAGATCATATTATCTGAATTGCAATCAAAAAGGAGAATATTGGTAAACAAAACCGGTAAGCCGGGAGCCTAGTTTTCTGCTGCAAACACTTCGGTCAAAAAGTGGAATAAGCGTCCAAAGAAGTCGATCAGACGCCTTTCCGCCTGAAGACGTATGACCCCAGCCGGAGATGATGCAGTCCCCTCCTACTGGCTTGAAATTCTTAGGAGGCAAGCAAGCAGGTTTGACGTAGTCGTTGAATTGGAAAGCTGTATCGGTGACCATGATAGAGATGTCATTGTTGAGTTGACGGGGACTATTGAATTTTCCAGTCGTCTCGATTTTAATGACTCGCTTTCGTTGGGCTTCATCGGGTAGTGACCAAGAATTTGACTAAGGAAACTCAATTTAAAGTAAAATCTCATTTGTACTTTTTCAATATGCCCGGCTTGAACCGACCATCTTCCAGGATTCATGGCATTATCGACACAGTGGTTTGCTGTGATGACAATTCTAGGGGCTGTTATTGTTCCTCCGCAAAGAAATGGTCCAACCAGCTGCACTTGCCAAGGAGTCTGCCCCTTCATTGCAGTTTTTCCATCAAGAATTTTCTGTGGAATTTCATTTGGACCAAGTGAATTGCTTGGAATTTGGTCGGGCTAGTTTAAATCATGAGTGACCTAGTAAGGTATAAACTACACTAGGGACCGAACGCAAATCGGGGGTCAAAATTTTAAATTGCTTGAAATGAAAATTTACAATAGTAAATCGACTACGGCGAACATTTTCTTCCATTACAGTCACCCCGAAAAATGTCCGGAAGACCGAGAATTCACAGCTGTTTTCACAATTTGGTCGTTTTGAGGGTGCTAGAGTTGATGCGCAATTTTAGTCCCCAAAAAAATCGAAAGATAAAATAAAAAACATTTCTAAAATTGAAAAATTTGTATAGGTTTGTAGGGGTCCCTGGGTGCGCTGGCCTTTTAAAGATTTCAAGAGTGAATATGACTCATCATCATGGCTCGAGAAAAAAAAACGACATGGCAGGATTTGATCCCGGAGCGCCCGCTTGCCAATCCATAACGCTACCGATGCGCCACGGACATCTACGTAAAACCTGAGAAACCTTATTTATAAACTAATATGGGGGCTTTTGGTTACTCGATAAAACGCTGGCACTTCCGAGTTAGTAACTCTGTAGTGGTTTTCCTACTGTTTTCGCTTCGAAATATGGGATTCTAGCGCGCGTGGTCAACGTAATTATGCTCAGTGAGCCGTAACGCGCCCAGCGCCAAGGCTACCATTCCATCATGCCTTGACAGCTCCCCTCTCTCTATTCCAGCGTTGGCGATATGGCCAACGCCGAGTTCGTACGACCAAGTCTAAGTCCGTGCCACCGATGGGTGGTGTCCTACACTATAAAAACGACTGTACCCCTATAATTTTATCATTCTTTTCCCTGACTTCACAGGTATAACATAAAATATAATATATATATTTTATTATTTTCTGCTCACACCTATCAGGGTTAATAAACATATTCGAGATTGATTCCCGTGTTCCAATTATATTCAGTATAAAACCACCATATATTTTGGTGACTGAATTAATCGGTACGCCCAACAAGAGAGATATAAAAAAGATACAAGAGATAAAACATCCGTAAATTTATCAATGACGATCCGTGAATACATACTTATTTATCATTTTTTATTCGATAAAACGGGCATTGTTTTGAATCCTTAGGCAATTTAACCCGATTTTCTCGATTAGTATGATCATAAGTTTTACTTCCGGAATAAAGTTGATATTTTTTTAATTCGAAAAACGGAATCTCATTGCTCTCAAATCCGAAAATCGAAAAAAAAAATCACCTCAACCGGAAATCAAACTGATGATCAAATCCCTGAAAACGACAACTTAAAATCAATGTGTTCTTCATGATAATTACCAATCAAATGATCGCTTATCTCAGAAGAAATCATCAAGGTCGTCATGTTCCAAATCCTGAAAGAAGAAATTCAAAGTTCCTTGATTTTAATTATCATTCCGGGAAGACTTTAGATTTGAATTCACATAGAAACTCATTCCAAAGAGGTGCCGAAATTCGTGTACGGTTCTGCTATGCAAATGAACCTCGGCCCATGGAACTGGTCAAACGGGAAATAATATTGCTCAATCTTCGAAATATTTCTCAGCGTGCTACAGAATGATCTATTCTCATTAACAGAATATAATAGGCGCTAATGATCAATCAAGAGTTTAAAGCTCAAAACATTCACAGCTCTGCTCGAAGCTCGAAAAATCGTCTTTATTGCATCTAATGATATAAAAAGAAGATATCAAAAATTATGAGACGAAGAATTAACCAAGAAATGATGAAGAAAAATGACGGACATTTCATCACAAGCGCAATACAAATTTGGTTTAAAACAATCTTGCTTAATGGACTCCGATATGCTGCTCATCAATTTTGGTTGCAGTAGAACAAGCATCCGCTCAGATGTTCCCGCTCTTCTACTTGCACCTCTTATCAAGAACCGTCAAATGTGCCACAAAAGTGTGCAAATTTCGACTCACTCATTGAGGCCACACTTCAATCTTCATCACCAAAGTAAAGCTGAACCTGCTCGTCGTTCAGAACCTCACATGTCCAATAATGTTAACGATCCCTGCTCATCAGATGTAATCAGAATGGAAAAATTGAGACTCTGGTAGAAATTATTATCTTACGTATTAACGGAAAGATGATCTATGCTCCAAAAAAGTGCCTTTCCAAATCTAAGATCTTTAGCTCTTTAAATAGGCAAATTAATAAGAGTTGATTTATAAGTGGATCTGAAAGAAGGCTATCTCAGCTCTAAGAAGCTCTTAGATAGAAACTGGACATACAAATTATGGCTACTGCTCGCAATGCCTGTCTACTCACGAGAAGTTTTTAACTCAAATATCACAAGCTATCTTTTCTCGTGATCAACTTGTTCTCCAATAATTGCACGTTGACGATTGAAAACGATACTTGCACATTGCTCACGCTAGAAATCATTAGCCAGTGCAACTGCTCAGAAGGTTTTTCGTCAATCATGGAAAGAGTCAGAACAATCACCTGCTCGTGTGATATACGCGTCTGATTACACCGCTCAAAGAACTTCGTCGCTCGCTCATAAGGACAGAATATTCGCTCAATTACCCTTAGAAAAAGTCTTCATATATCAAGTCGATTATGCACAAACTGATTGCAATTAAATATCCATTCACGAAGAAAAATATCGGCGTCATATCAGTCTGATTCGACCGCCCAAACGAAAGACTGCCTTAAGAACAGAATTTATCAAGGAAGATGACGTGGCCGAATCACAAGGGAAAGTCCTAAAAGACGAAGTTAAGAACAAGTCTAAAGTTAACTCTCATAAAGATCAACCGCTCCTTGTTGATAGAGATGAGATCATTCCTGCTCAGAAGAATGAAAATTCAAAAATTAGCTCTCATAAAGATCAATCGCTCCTTGTTGATAGAGATGAGATCATTCCTGCTCAGAAGAATGAAAATTCAAAAATTAGCTCTCATAAAGATCAATCGCTCCTTGTTGATAGAGATGAGATCATTCCTGCTCAGAAGAATAAAAAGATGTTAACGAGTCATAAAGATCATAAAGAGCCAAGTGATAGAGATGACTCAGCTCACGACAACGTTTGGAAAGATCGTCTCCGCTCACGACGATAGTGTTGTCAAGTGATTAGCTGCTCGACTAATCCGTTCAATGGTCTTAGATGTTCGCTCATAACTCGACCATATTCACAGATAGCTGCTCGACTATCTCGCTCACAAATCGTCAAGATTCACGACGTGGTGGTGCTCAGATATGCGTTCCCATTATCTAGCCACCGTTAACTCATAACTGGATTGCTCGCTCTCTCTGTAGTCTAAAGACCTGCTCACACGACATGCATGTCAATTGGTTAATTGGTTCCTCACAACTTCGGCGATTCAATGCACAACTGGAAATTGGCTCACAAGAATACTAACTCCAGCTTACTGGTAATGCTCAACCAGATCGTTATTACGAAGTTTACATGCAGGCCTCTGTGGATTTTTGTTCTCATGACCCAGCTAATGTACTTATTAATTGGCCACACGATAAGTACCTCTTTCCTGAACCTTGGTCCAGGCTTCTGCAGATGTTTGGCAATGGGTGCAGTTGCCAAAATCACACACAGAAAGTCCTTTTATGAAAAATTAGGCATTCACGATCACAAGTTCCGCTCAAAGCTTCGCTCAAATGCTTTAAATATTCTTAACAATAGGGTTACAATGCTTTAATATTCTGTTCACAAGCTTATAACAATTATCGCCCTGCTCGTTGGCTTAATTTATCCCTATTTAAATTTTCACGAACTTAATCTCACTAAAATTCTTTATGCTCACATGCCTAAAAATATTATTGGAAGCAATATCGCTCACTTGCTTCAAAGTTTATCACAAGAGAGTATTTGTAATTCACATTTGCTTTAATATTCTAATCACAAGCAAATTATTCACAATCTTACAGCTCTGTTCACAGCTCTATATCACTCATAATGTAACACTCTCCTCTTGTTGGAACTCGCTCTTAGTTCTATATGTAGTCTGCTCAGTTCTACTAGATTACTGGTACCATCACAGGTACAAATTAACGACCACCTGCTCGTGATGATCAAAAGCTCAATAATTGGCGCTCATTAACGATCTCCTGCTCGTGAAGATCATCCGCTCAAAAATAAAAAGGGGAAAGAAGTGAACAGAAAAATACCCATCACAATAGGCCCAACTCACGACTTTGACTACTTATCACTGGTCACAAATGTTCACAAGAAAAGACATCGGAATGACCTCACAACGTCCGGAAGAAACACTCGATGGCGCATTCTAGCCTTAAAAAAAATGGTTCTGAACGGAGTACTAGTTGGTCCAATACTTATTTTTAAAAGAGAAAAAATCGAAAATGACCTCTCTTCAAAATGATTTCTTCCTGCTCAACGACGCTCCTCCAAAGCGACTCATTCAACGCTTTATCATTCCTGCTCTCTTTGATGTCACTATTCCAATTCACTTCTTACCGAATTCAATTTCAAAAGAAAACTTGCAATCGCTGCTCGACTTTTTGCAAGAATTGAAAACGAAGCTAAGTCCCTTAAAGATCACTTTCACTTTGATATCAACCACCTCCAGGAATTGCTTTTTGAAAATCATGACAGTTTGCTCAACTGGATAAGTGAGACAGCAATTCTCTATCAGCTTTTGGTCGATAAAAACACTTGCATCGAATTGATGAAACAATTTCAAACAATCTATGAAAAACGATATTACACCTCAAGGATCGCTTTCAAATTTCTAGAAGCCGATTCAAAATCGTTTTCCGACCAGCTCGAATACGCGAGGACTCACATCAAAATTTTCACAAATGATCTTGCTCACAATTACTCGACTTACCGAATCAGTCATGCAGAAATTTCACATTCGGAATCTCTACAAGTCGTAAACTCCATCCAGCACAATTCTCTACCAGAAAATGTTTGGGACTTCATCGAAGAACAATAAATATTTCTACGCTCAACGGACGCTTCGCTTCAAAAATAAAAAGGGAAAATATGTAGTGGTTTTCCTACTGTTTTCGCTTCGAAATATGGGATTCTAGCGCGCGTGGTCAACGTAATTATGCTCAGTGAGCCGTAACGCGCCCAGCGCCAAGGCTACCATTCCATCATGCCTTGACAGCTCCTCTCTCTATTCCAGCGTTGGCGATATGGCCAACGCCGAGTTCGTACGACCAAGTCTAAGTCCGTGCCACCGATGGGTGGTGTCCTACACTATAAAAACGACTGTACCCCTATAATTTTATCATTCTTTTCCCTGACTTCACAGGTATAACATAAAATATAATATATATATTTTATTATTTTCTGCTCACACCTATCAGGGTTAATAAACATATTCGAGATTGATTCCCGTGTTCCAATTATATTCAGTATAAAACCACCATAACTCGATGATACAATGGCGCAGCAAAAAAAATTTTAATCGGTAAAATGATGGCACCCTTGTAAACCTTAGCCGGCAAGGGTACATCATCTGTGGATCAGGTCAAAGAATAAGCTCATAAAAAGGCAAGAAATTGTAGGGCTATTTATCGAATCATGCGATTGAATTTTGTAAACATATTTATGATAACCTTATCAAGAAAAATATGAAAAAAATTTTGGAAAAATTAAGGAAAGGGGTCCAAAAATCGATTTTTTTTTTGCAATCAAACCTAATCAAACCTAGACGACCATTTTAAAAGCTCAAAAATGATTTTTTCGATTCGAAAAAAGTTTAAGCAAGATAAGGAATCCAAATGAAGAAAAATAAATTATAAAACCTAAATAAATTATAAATTATATAATAAATTATATAAACCATAATAAAGCGTAAAATTTGAATTTTTTGTAATTTCAGCCCGAATGGGTGTGGGTGGGGTTGGGGACATAACTGAGATTGATCACCTCAGAGTCCGACGCCGATCTCAAGCCCCTTAAATTAAATAATCAAGGAACGGGGCTGAGACGGCCCGAAGGGCCGTCAAGCCCTTAAATTAAATAATCAAGGAACGGGGCTGAGACGGCCCGAAGGGCCGTCAAGCCCTTAAATTAAATAATCAAGGAATGGGGCTGAGACGGCCCGAAGGGCCGTCAAGCCCTTAAATTAAATAATCAAGGAACGGGGCTGAGACGGCCCGAAGGGCCGTCAAGCCCTTAAATTAAATAATCAAGGAACGGGGCTGAGACGGCCCGAAGGGCCGTCAAGCCCTTAAATTAAATAATCAAGGAACGGGGCTGAGACGGCCCGAAGGGCCGTCAAGCCCCTTAAATTAAATAATCAAGGAACGGGGCTGAGACGGCCCGAAGGGCCGTCAAGCCCCTTAAATTAAATAATCAAGGAACGGGGCTGAGACGGCCCGAAGGGCCGTCAAGCCCCTTAAATTAAATAATCAAGGAACGGGGCTGAGACGGCCCGAAGGGCCGTCAAGCCCCTTAAATTAAATAATCAAGGAACGGGGCTGAGACGGCCCGAAGGGCCGTCAAGCCCCTTAAATTAAATAATCAAGGAACGGGGCTGAGACGGCCCGAAGGGCCGTCAAGCCCCTTAAATTAAATAATCAAGGAACGGGTCTGAGACGGCCCGAAGGGCCGTCAAGCCCCTTAAATTAAATAATCAAGGAACGGGGCTGAGACGGCCGGAAGACGCCGGAAAGAAGAAAAAATTTTGAGCAGAAAAAATTGTCGACCTCCCCTTTAAGTCCAATTCCGAGATTTATATTTTCAGTTGTTATAGCCTTAATTGCCTTAATTTTTTTTTCTTCTTTATACGATAGAAATTGTTTTTTTTGGGGTGTTCGCCCTTAATTATCATTAAAAAATACTGAACTAAAGATCTTTATGAAATGCACAATGCAAAATTTGAATTTTCGGAGCCAATTTTTGTCAAATTTTCTATGGGAAGAAAATAATTTTCTGAATAAAAGTTCCTCCCCGTGATCTAATCTACCAAAAAAGCTGAAAAATTATGAAAATTTTGCCTCTTTTCATCTTGATGAAAATCAATCAATCATTTGACGTTTCAGAAGTCGAGATTGACGTCGAAGAACCCGAAATTGACATGGCAGAAGTCATGGTTGAAATCGGTGAAGCCAGGATTAAACTAAATTCATACCCATGCAAAATGGGACTTACGACCAAGATCTAATGGTTTAGTTAGTATCTGATGGGGTCGGTTAATGTTGGTAGAGTTGGTTCGAATCCTGCCTGAACACTTTTTTTTTAATTTTCTATTGGTGGAAGCGCGGGCTCGCTCGCAGTGAAAACTCGAAACGCGTCGCGGCAAAAGCTTCTCGCCCCGGAGCGCCACCATCAGAGTAAGACTGCGCGCTTGAAAGTGGTTCGTTCCTGAAATTTTAATTCTTTCCAAAGGTCAATATCTCGGAAACGGAAGGGATTTGGAAAAATTGAGAACGCAGTTCAATTTCTCTGGTTTCAATACCCCTTTTTTCATTCATAACTCTCAGAACTAAATTTTGGTCCGATTTGCGTTCGGTCCCTAAACTACACTTACGACTTGCCAAACTGTTGGTTTTCTCGCAACACCGTTGCCATCTCTGAATTTAAACGCACCTTCGTTCAGTGGCGAACATTTCAGCGGGCGGCCTGTTACCGGAGGTCTTGGTGGTGGTGTTGTTGATCCACAATTTTTCGGACAATAGTCATAGTTTGGCGATCTGAAGTGTACTTATTTTGGTTTTGCTTTAATTTTACCCTCTCGGAGCATCAATAAAGCACCAATCTCCCTTTGGATCGTTGTCCGGATTAGCACAGTTATTATTATCCTGATTTCGCATCCATCTTTGAGTCGATCTTTTTCGTGACATATTCACTGATTTTTTCCAATTTCTAGAAAATAAGTGAATATTGATTCTTCGTCCTTGTTTAACCTGCATTGAGCCCCAGAATTTGTTTGAGAGCATTTGTCATCAAAAGTTGGAGGAAGTGGTGGAGGTTTATTGCCACAAAGATCATGGTTCGCACATGTAGGATCACAGTACTCCCAGTAATCTCCGGTATTTGCATAACTTGTATAGCACCAAGGACCATTCGAATCATGATCTGGATTTGCGCAGCCTCCAGCAGCATATCTTCCATTACACTGTTGCGGATATCTTCGGCTTGAATCCCAAGCAAGACATCTTTTTCCACTCTTCGACCTATCACAGACCGCATCATTTCTCTGTCCGTAACCGTAGTAACAAGTTACTGTTGGTGAAAAAACTAGTAATGATGCTAACAACTTCATCTTTAATTTTGATCTGAGGAGGGAAGAATCTAGTAAGTACCAATACCGTATCGAGTAAACAAACAACATTGCGGAGTCGCCTTGGTCAACAATCACATTGAGATATTCTCATTAGAGATCTGCTATTAATTATACTATATTGTCAGGTGAAATTATGATCAGGAGAGAAATTAAGGGTATTGAGAACTAATTTCATTTATCCAATTAAGATAATCCGCCACTTCGGCGTAGATTCCGGGAGTTTTTCCACAGCCGATTCCCCAGGATGTCACTCCAGCGAGAACGTACTGAATTTTTAATGACAGTCAATTCTTTCAGATCTCGTACCTGATTTTCCCCGTTGTTATCTCTCAAAGCACAAACAAGAGGTCCTCCCTTATCTCCCTTACACGTATCTGGGCCAGAACCGCCGCCGCAGATCATATGATCTTAATTGAACTCAAAGAAGATTTTTTTTTGAAAAAATCTTACCAGTGATGGAATACCCACGTAACTTTCTTCTGCAAACGCTTCGGTCAAAAAGCGGTATGAGCGTCCAAAGAAGTCGACTTGACGACCTTCCAACATCGGTTGTTTTGCCCCAGCCAGAGATGATACAGTCTCCTCCGACTGGCTTGAAGTTTTTCGGGGGCAAGCACGCTGGTTTAACGAAGTCATTGAACTGGAAAGGCTCATCGGTCACCATGATGGGCCATCATTGATGGCGATGTCATTGTCATGAGTGCGAGCATTGTATTTACCAGTCGTGATGATTTTAGCGACACGTCTTATCTGGCCTTCATTTTGCGAACGAAATGCCGACTTAAATGATACTAATGAGAAGCTACTAGTAAAATTCTTACTTTATGAATATGCCCGGCTTTAACGCGCCACCTTTCAGGATTCGGTGACTTTAGACAATGTTCTGCCGTGATGACGATTCTCGAAGAAATAATCGTCCCACCACAGCCGGCAGGTCCAATCAACTGAACTTGCCAAGGAATCAGCCCCATCATTGCGCTTCTCCCATCAAGAACATCCTGTTGCGGCACGGAAGTATTTAACGAGTTGCTTGGGACTTGATCAGGCTAAAGAATTGATTTAAATTTTTGACTTTCATTGAAGAAATCTTACGACATCCCATTTTGTTGGTCGTCTTATAGCACCAAGACCATCTCTGAATTGAAAAAGACTTTCGGTCCTTGGCCGACAAACTGGCTTTTCAGAAGGTTGTCTTGCGGGTCGTGCGACTTGTACAACTGTTGTCATGGGTGGTTGTTCCGTTGATCCACACTTCTCTGCGCAAAAGCCCGGCGGAGCATCAACATAGCACCAATCTCCTCCAGAATCCTTGTCAGGATTTCCACAGTAGTTGTTATCATGTGCCTGCATCCATCGCCTTGTGAGCTCATTTTTCTCCATGTTGACTGAATTTTTCCAATTTCTGAAAATCTTTTTAATTGCAATTCTTATGATTTTTGTCAACCTGCATCGTTCCATCCTTAGTATGGGTACATTTTTGAGGAACATTTTTGGCACAAGGATCATGATTTTCACACGCCCGATCACAATGCTCCCAGTATTTACCAGAAGAAGCGTTACTTGTGTAGCACCATGAACCTCTTGGATCATTATCTGGATTTCCGCATCCCCCAGCAGGGTATGTTCCATCAGGGCACTTTATTGGCGAACGACGGCTCGAATCCCAAGCTAAGCATCGTTTTCCTGAGCTTGACTTGTCGCAAACTGCATCATTTCTCTGACTTGTATCGCCATAACCATAATAGGCACAGCTCACTGGTGAAAAGACAACTGCGAGTGAAGAAAGCAACTTCATTTTGATGATTATCTAGAGAAAAGCGGAAGCTTTAATACGGTCTTAATCCCCCTAGCAAGCAAATAAATGGGTTGGTTAAAAATAACTTCGACAGATTCTCAAGAAGAATCTTGGGTTCCATTTCCGGCCGTCTTAGGCTCATTTATTATTCTGAAAAATACAAATAAAATCAAATTTATTACTTATGGCTTTGTTCAATAAGAATCTTTCGGTCAAACATCAGGTCGTAAAGGTTTATTTATTACCGAAAGGTATTCGAAAAATGAAAATCTTCTTGTAGATCGGTGTTTTTTAAAGAAAATCGAATGATTATTAAAAAGGACTTCGAAATATTCACAAAAGAAAATTTGACAAAACATCATCTTATTATTTCTTATTTATTTTGTATTCATCTCATGCATTCAAGGGTATTCTGAAATGATTTGATGAATCCAATCGATATAATCTGCGACTTCGGTATAGACCCCAGGAGTATTTCCACAACCGTTGCCGAAGGATGTTATTCCAACGAGAGTATACTTGGAAAATATAAAAAGAAAAATAATTTTGTCAAACCTGTTTCTCCCCACTAGAATGTCGAAGAGCGCATACAAGGGGCCCTCCACTATCACCTTGGCATGTGTCAGGGCCAGATCCTCCGCCACAGATCATATTACCTGAAATTAAAGAATACATCTTTGTGCTAGTCTTACCTGTAAGTCGTTCCCGAAGCTGTCGACCGCAGACATTTCTAGGAATAAGCGGTACAAGCGTCCAAAGAAGCTCGTTTGAAGACCGCCCCCTGTAAGACGTATGCCCCCAGCCGGAAATTATGCATTCTCCGCCAATCGGTTTGAAATTCTTTGGCGGGAGACATGCGGGTTTCACAAGATGATTGAATTGAAATGGTTCGTCGGTAACCATGATGGCGATATCGTTGTTGTGTTTTCGAGGGGAGTTGTAATTTCCAGTGTTGAGGATTTTAATAACTGCTCTTTTTTGGGCACCCGATCCCCTCGAATTCTAGAGAGTAAAATAAATCTATTTTATCTGAGTTTTTTCTTACTTTTTGGACATGACCCGCTTGAACCATCCACCGTCTTGGATCCATCGCGTTTTCGAGACAATGCTGGGCAGTTACGACGATTCTCGGTGCAACGATCGTTCCACCGCACGCTGATCTGCCAATGAGCTGGACTTGCCAAGGAATTTGCCCAACAGTTGCTTCGTTGCCCTCTGTTTTTGTTTATTTGAGAATTATCAAAAGAATCATACCTAAGATTCTCAAGGCTTTACGTGGTTCAGAACGGAAACGATCATCTCGACTTTGACCAGGAATTTCATCGGGCTAAAATAACAAAAATATCAATTCCGAACTGAAAATTAACTTGTTCCCAAACATCGGGTCGTCTTTCTTTTCCATCATTGTCGCGAAAGTAAAAAGGATCATCATTCATTGGTGCGCAAATTGGCTTATTATTCGTTGAAGAAACTCGTACTGGGGCTAATCTTTCTGGTGATCGTCTTGTTGTTGTTGCTGTCGTTTGTCTTCTTGTCGTCCATCTGAATGGTGTTTGTCGCGTTGGAGTTTTTCTGCTTGTGGTCGAAGTTGTTGTCGCCACAAATCTTGATCCGCAATCACTAGGGCAGTACAGGGCTGGCAAATTAGGGTCCTAACAGCCGCACTACCAAAAAATTGTTAGGGTTCTAACTAAAAATTAGTGCGAATTAGTGTGGCATCCCCGTCCTACCCGTCCTATTTTTTCCTTGACATTTTTTCGTCTATTAGGACTGAATCGCCGCCCTAACCGTACTAATTATGAGGCTCTTTTTCATCATCCAATCGGCGCGCGCCTCCCACCAGGCGCGGAGGACAAATTGGTGGAAGATTGAAAAAAGAATGGAGCTGATTGGATGAGAAAACGAATGACCCGCCATGATTGGCGGACCAATAAGCGCGCGCCTCTTTAAGGACGATTTTAGTGCGGCTTTTTCCAACTCGTACTACTCGCACTAAAAAGTTATAAAATGAGAGTTAGGGTTCTAACTCAAATTAGTGCGGCTGGCGGGACCCTAATTTGTCAGCCCTGGGGCAGTATCCGAAATTGTTAGAGCCAAATGAAGATTCAGCAAAACACCAAGCGCCCTTTGGATCATCATCCGGATTCGCGCAAAAATTATTGTTCTGACCCCTCATCCAACTTCGAGTTGATTCTTGAGTAGACATATAAATTGACTTCTGCCAATTTCTACATCTTCTTCCGTCAATTGTCTCGGAGCATCTTCGTTCAGCAAAAGCTGGTCTACTTGTAGTAGTAATAGTTGTTGATGGTGTTGGTGTTGTCGTCCAGACTGTAGGTCTTGTCCATCTTCGTGTGGTTTGCCTTGTTGGCTGGATATTGTCTGATTGACAGGTTTGTGCGCAGTAGCCATAGTTGTCCGTGCTCGAAAAGGCAGATCTTCGAGGTGCATCCGTGAAGCACCAATTTCCTTTGGTATCATTATCGGGATTCGCGCAAAAATTATTGTCCTGAGTACGCATCCACCTTTGAGTTGCTGGTCGATCAGACATATTCACGGATTCACTCCAATTTCTTGAGAACAAACTAGGGATTTATAACGAAAAATGTTAGATTACCTGCATGGAATTCCATCGATAGTCACAGTGCATTTTCCGTCATTTTCTGAGGGAATTTGAGTAGGTTGAAGATTATTTTGGGGTCTTTGCGCGCAAACATCATGTCTTACGCAAATTTGGTGGCAGTATTCCCAATTATCTTTCGTCGCAAAACTCGTGTAGCACCAAGGGCCTCTCGGATCATTATCCGGATTTGCGCACCCCGCAGAAGCAACTCTTCCGAATCCGCATTTCACTGTTGGATCAAGACGTTGAGACTCCCAAGAAAGGCAATTTTTTCCTGACACTGTTTTTTCGCAGTTGTCTGCATTTCTCTGCTCAAAAGATCCATATCCGAAGGACTGACAAAATTTTGAAATTAAAGCTAAAGAAGTTATCAATCTCATTTTCTATGAATGACGATGCTTGAAATGGACTCGTATTGTAAATACTGCCTAGAAGTAAATAAACAAAAATTATTCTCCTTATTCAACTTTGAAATTTTCGATGAAAAGATAACCTTCTCATACAAAATGACTCCTGAAAAACCTTGAGTGTTGGAATATTGAGTCAAATAAAAATCATGAGCTACATTAAAAAAACTGAGTGTGACAGCTTATTGCCGTTGGAAACAATAACAAAACAAGGGATTCGTTGAACCTGGCTAAATTGGCGAATAATGAAGAAAATTTAAACAAGACATCCGGGGGTGGCGCTATTCGGCGCGTCTTCCGTCGCTCATGAAACCTCATTGCAACCGCGGCGACGTAAAGCAAACACGAGAAATGATTATAAACATCCTCACGCTGCTGCTTCACGTAAGTATAAGAGAACACGTATAGATGGCCTCCAAAGTCGAAAAAGGATGATCAGTAAAATTTTTTTATTTCAAAAACTTCCAGCAAGAATACCGAAATCACCGCGGCTAGAAAGAGACTCCAGTAGCATTCTCTTGAGGTATCGCATTTTGACTTGCTTCAGATGATCTTCAAATTCTTTCATTCTGAAATTATGATCTTAAACAGATTTTCAAATACTTATTTACTTGTCAGTTTCCTCGGAAGAATACGCGGTGAAAATAAGCAAAAAATACTTCAGCCTCATTTTTGAATCATTTTCGTCTATTTGGTACATTTATAAAGCAGCACCATGTCAATTTTTAATCTTTTTGCTTTATAAGAAGAAGCACCTTATTTTAATAAATCCACGTTTCGCATCAGCCTTCGTTAATTTTCCATGAATAGGCAAATCATCATTTTTGATGGATCAATTTATTATTCCTTTCATTAATAATTTTGATTATGTCTGAAATTCCGACACTTATTTAATCATTATTCAGGCGGTGCATGGTTATCATGAAGTTTTTCCAATGCGATTGCTCCCCGAAACAGAATTTATCGACCAGGAGCATTCAAGTCTCAAGAAATCGTCCTCTTCGGAAAAATCCTCTCCAATCGACTCAATCTGGCTTTTTGAAAAGACGATCAATGGTAAAACATACTATGATGGGACGAAAAAGGATCCAGGGCCAAGTTCTGGGGCCTTCAGATTTGATTTCATGGAGAAGAAAACAGAAAAATTCTTTGATAAAATTTGGATTTGCAAATCTAAAACAGCGATTACCCGTTGGGCGGTTATGACTCGCAAGTGTGCAGATACGAAAGAATGGAACATCGTCACCACGGGTTTTGTATCGAGAAGTTCTGTTGAAAAGAGATCCAAAAAGGTCTTCATCGCGACAAATAATGGAGAAGATATGCCGTATGGAACCAGGATTTCAGAAAGAAAACCTTGTTGCTCTCAAAATGATGTAAATTTTACCTACGAGCCTTGCTGCCATTACAGGCATTATCCAAGACCACTTTATTTGCCAGTTATTGAACCGCTTGAATCGAAGAAAATTGCATCAGATTGGTCTCCCTGGAGCCGTTGCTCGACCTCTTGCGGTGGTGGTTCCCAGACCCGCTCTAGAAAATGCATTGACGGTGCGAAATGTACCACAACTGAGAAGCAATATTGCGAAGAAAAAGTATGTCCTCTTCAATGGTCAGAATGGTCAAATTGGTCCTCGTGCCCTACGGTTTTATGTTCGAAGGAGGGAAAGACACCGATGATAACAAAGATGAGCTACAGGGAGAGACAGTGCTCTGGTGGTGATTGTACAAGTGACAAGATGAAACAAGCTAAGCCGTGTGTTTGTGTGGAAAGTCAATGGTCTGATTGGTCGAGATGCTCAGAAAAGATTTCCAAAATAATTACCATAATGATGTTTTTAGTTTTATCTTTCGGTACTCTTTCATTATGAGAGCAACCGATTAAGATATTAAAAATTTTATTGTCAAGTAACCTTCTGGCCCGTATAAACTTTGATCAATCATCAAAATAATCGAAATCTTAAAAAGTTAGTTGCGGTACCGGCCTCCGCGAGCGTCGTCAAACCCCTTGTCCCTATTCTCATGGCTGCGTTATGAAACAAACTTGTCAAAGCGACCCTTGTCCAACATTCGCAAGAAACGCACAGGTCCACGTAAGTGATGATTACTTTGATAAAATGGAGGTAGGATGGGCTTGGGGTCCGTGGGGACCTTGGAATCCTTGCTCGAAGACCTGCGATGTCGGATTGACTTGGAGGACGAAAGTTTGCAAAGTTGGCGCTTGTGCTAAGGGCGTTGGGGCTAGAGAAGTCAAGACTTGCCAAGACAGATATTGTGATGAATGGACAGCGTGGGGCGAGTGGACAAGCTGCAGCGCGACTTGCGGAGGAGGAATTCGCTCTCGACAGCGATTTTGCGACGGGGGTATTGCTGGACACAAGGGTTGCCAAGGCTCGAAATTTGACAAGGAAGAATGTCGGAAGCAGAAATGCCCGGTGAATGGAGAGAAAAGTGACGGTAAGCTTGTTCCTTCTTTCAGAACGCCTTTTAGTCTTCGTCCATTTGAGCAGAGTTGCGTGGATTATCATAATTTCTTCCGAGCTCTCCATAATCAGGTTTGGGAGATGTTGCTTGGGCCATTTATAAATTGATTCAAGGCGCCTCTTTTATGGGATCCAAGTCTTCAAGAATCCGCTCAAAAGTGGGCCAACTATCTTACCAAAGCCGCGCCAACTCATCCTCTCGAGCTCGCAGACGGATTCAAAGCAACTGATCACTGGCCTCACTCAGATCAAGATGGAGAGTTTCGAGGAAAGGGAATCGGCGAAAACATTGCCTGGGATTTCAGCGCTCAGGGAAGCCCGTGCGATGAAAGCGTCTACAGATGGTACGCCGAGTACTTTTATTTTAACGAAAACAACCCGATGGTCTCCAGAAGAAAAAATCAACCAGTTGGACATTTGACACAAATGATGTGGACATCTACGGAAGCTGTTGGTTGCGCTAAGGCGGATGTTTTTGTTCCAAACAAAGCGGGGTATTCTGGTGATGGAATGATTTCGACTTATACTGTTTGTCATTACACGCCGCAGGGGAATATTATTGGACTGGAATTGGAGAATTGGAAGACGAAGGATGAGAAATTGTGTAGCACTTTCGATGGAATAACTGGAAAATCAGGTGAGTTTCGAGATCTTTCTGTTACAAGCGTACCATAATGGCTTGATTTTAATAAACAAAAACAATTTTTTTAACCATAGATTAAACGATCCAAAATAAATAGCCTCTAAGACTTGTATTTCGATAAGCTCACCTTGACCTCTAACTATTAATGTGATAATTATATTACAAATCAGTAATAATTTAATAAATAAGATTGCGGAGAATCTGGCGCTTGCATGGGTCTCACCGCCGAATCAGAATGCGGATGCTCCTATCTGATGGGCACAAAACTACCTCGCTGCACCGGCCACTGTATTGTCCAATGCTGGAACGTCTGGGGCACCAGAAACTTCTGGCCGCAAGAATGCATGGGAACAAACTCGTGCACTTGTGATAAAAACGGCGCTGTTTGTACATGAACGCTTCCTATCATTGCTCTTGACGTTTTTGTTGTTTCAAATAAACACTGTATAAATATTTATCTCTTTTGGATTTTTTATTGAGCAGAAATGGATTCGGAAAGATTGATTTTGCGGATCTGCTCGAGATTCTGACTTCGTGTCTTTTTGTAATCAACGATTGGCGCAGGGTAGTCAATCCCAACTTGAACCTACAGTAATGAAGAAAAAGGAGAGCGTAAAAATCATACCCGAGCGTGTCGTTGAGTATTTTCTGGAGCTTCCCAGGGACAGAAAAGATATTTCAAAGGCATGTTTTTCAATTCAGGGCCTCAAAAATCGTTATGGTTTTTCAATATTTTTTTACTTACAGTATTTTCTCGTGAAATGGCCTTCGGGGTCCCATCGTCTGGCAAATTTCACCGGATCAAGTGTACTCTCACTGATTTTCTCCTTGAATGCGCTCCCAGTGCACTAATGAGAGTGAATACGGCACCTGCTTTGTTGCTACTTACCCACATCCAGCAGCCAGCATTCATAGCATAATCTCCATCAATTTGATGCTCTTCAAACACTACATACAAAGAGTCTCATAAACCGATTTCATGCCTCAGTGAAGCTTGCAATTACTTGTATAACTTTTCCAATTATCTTTTCTTTACTTACTTTGTTGCCCATGCTCCCAGTTTAGCCATAATTGTCCGTTTGTGAGAAACGAAGCTACGGCCCAGCGGTTTATGTGGTGGATAAATCCCTCCGTCACCTAAGAATAGAGCGATTTTTATATCTTTTTATATTGTTCGATTCTTACCAATTGTCTCATAACTAGGCTTACCGGACTAAATTTCGGCCCATTTTTCAAGCTTAATTTGGGGGTCATATGATACAGTGTTGTAATATGCTTCCTCATTTATGACTTCTATGTACTAAGCTAAGTTCCTGCTAAGTAAGCATACTACTTTTGGATTGACGATAATTCGGTGTTTATTTGTGATTCTGGGGCCAGGCCAGAATGAGGAAAATGGGCATGGTCAGGCACTTTTATAGGAGCGCTCGCTCACAAGTCTCACTTCGAGTTCGACTATATTTCTGAGGTGCAGTTCCGAGTTGAGTGATGAGCTCGCGCTTCGCAGTTGGTGCTCGCGCTCGCCCCTCAGCTTCGGATTCTGTGAGCTTGGCTCGAGACTCGACTTTCGTTTTTGTAATCATAAGTTATGGACCATAACACTTTTCCCCCCTTGCTGGCAAAATAAAATTGAGTTCAGGTTACAGCTACAGCAAAGTTTAACGATGAGCCTCAGTAAAGATTTACGTTAAGCTACAGTAAGGTTTAACGTTTAGCTACAGAGAAGATTTACGTTGAGCTACAGTAAGGTTTAACGTTGAGCTACAGTAAAATTAGACGTTGAGCTACAGTGAAGTTTTTCGTTGAGCTACAGTAAAGTTTAACTTTGAGCTACAGTAAGAGATAAAAAGTTCTTAGTCGAAAAATTTGAAGGGCTGTTGCTGCTGTGTGAGGTCTTCTTCCCACCTATTCTTCCCCTCCTTCAGCCAGTGTCGTTGAGCTACGTTTGTGTCAGGATGTAAAAACACTAGTTTCTTACTTGAAGTTGTTTTGCTGCAAAGCCATCGTAAGAAATGCCATCCTTGAGCATCGGCAAAGTATGCATTTTCTTGTAAGGCGAGCGAATTGTACGGCGCATTCAGGATGAAAGGAGTGAAGACAGCGCAGTGTTACTGTGGGGTTACCCTTTCGACAATTCGGGCATAAACGGCCGTTTGTATGATTCTCCATGTGTGTCGTAAAGAGACGAAGTCCCATCGAGTCCCAGCAAGCAGGACAATGATCATATTTTTGGCATCGCTCAAGGAAGCAGTTTATGTGAAGAAAGTGCCCACATTTTGCTTTGATACCCATCTTCATACTTGATTCACCGTCTCGCATTGAACAAATAACGCAGACTTCGTCAGGGTTTGGCGTTACTATTCGGCATCCTTCGACGAAAACGAACATGAAAGTTGTTGTAACGAGCCAATTGATGGGTGTTTCTTCGGCTTTTCTATTGACAGAGCTCGTTCTACCGGCTCTTTCAATGCGACCACTCGAAAAATCGTTTCTGTTACTCATGATCTGAATCAGAGTTCTAATAATTTCTGTCAGCTAACAATAATGGATGTCTTTAACAGCTGAAAATTTCATCGTTCTAGCTATGTTTCTTCAAAAGAAGAGCTTTTAGCAAAAACTGTATAAAAAGAACTATTACAGTAAAAAATGTCCGCTTTCCGTGAAAAAACGTTGTTGTTCAGAATTTTGTTTTTAAATGCCGTTAATTAATGTTTTAGAACAGAATCTGAGAATATATCCCTTTTTTTTTAAAGCTCATCGATCATGGTATTCTTTTTTTTTAAAGTGAGCCCATAAAATTGAACTTACAGTTAATCTTTAGCGTTGAACTACAGGAGGATAGGTTTTATCATAATAACAATCTTCTTTTTGACTTTAACGCGACTTTTCTTTGTGAAAAGAAACACTCGGCGAAATTTTTAAAGTCGTTGATTCTTTTAGTTCACATGTTCTGATTTCCATCAGATTTTCGATAAAGACAGACGTAAGCTAAATAATTTCAATTATGAACTGTTTACTTCCAATTGAAGGAAACGGGGTTTTCCTTTTTAAATAGGGCTTGTTTTTTCAAAGAGGAAGAAAAAGGGAATGAATGAAAGTACTATTTTAATGAATATTTATCTTAAGGGTACGGCTATCGATTTTTAAAGGGGCTTATTCTGATTGTTGAAAATATTTTGTCGTTTCCTGAATTTAAGGAGGTTCCGTCAGTTTTTGGTGAATTGAGTCTCGTGCGGACCAAATTTTCGGAAAAATCTGTATTAAGGCTAGTTTTTATTAAATAATCTAAGGGGATAGAGTCCGATAAAGATTATTAATTTTGCGCTTTCCGAAAATCAGGTTCGTGCGGATGAAATTTCGTGGCGACACCCTTAGTCGATTTTACTTGCTGTTTCGAAAAAGTATCAGACTTTGAATTTAAAAAGTCGATTTTCGGCAATATTTGAGATTGCGCTCGAAAGATTTTGTTATAAGAATTTCTACCGTCACCTGAGCTACAGTCGAAATTCGTAAAGAAGAATTTAAAGTCGATTGATTCCAAAGCGGGGTTGGGGGTCCTTAAGTCAAAAATTTTCAATAATTGAACATTATTTTCATCAGTGAAGATTATGATTGGTTCTGAGAAACAAAGATCAAGTTCAGCCAATCGATGTTAGTAACCTTAATATTCGGCCGATTTGCACATTTTATTGAAGCCCGTGATCTGCGCTAGAATTGACCCTCCCAGAGTTATTCGCGCGTAACGGTGGTGTTCTCAATACTGTTCGCTCCTAATTATTTTATTGGCCGTAAAATTTCGAACTTCTCCTTCGCCGCCTTGACCTCTTTATTTTTATGGTTTCTTCCTGAGCGCTTCAACCGAGTGTCTGAATTTCAGAATTTCTCATTTTGAAAAATCGCTCAAAAAGGCCGTGAAAATGATTTTTTCCAAATCTAGAGGTTAAAAGAAGAAAAGCAAAGAAAGAAAAAGATGGAAGACGAATTTTTGAAAACATCTTAAGTAAGTCGGGAGCAATTCTTTTTCAGCGCATTTTCAGACTAAGTACAATTTAAGGGTATGCATTTCTTTTAAATTTTCGGATTCGCCGTTTTCCCGAAAATGAAATACTCACAAATCAAAGATTTCAAATTATCTTACTCTAACCTTCAGTTTAATTATGTTTAACACAGTTTTATTCTTTATTTAAAATGGCCAATAAGAAATTCATTCCATAACTTGGGGGCTCAAATTTTCTTAAATCAAATGCAACTTAAAACGCAAGAATTTCATTTTATAAATCGACCGAACCCAAAGGGTTTTGCGCTCATAATTAAAGTAAGCCTCTATCTTTAAAGAGACCCCGAACAATTTTTCGTTGACTACGAATCTCAATTCGAGCCGTCATTTCAAAGATTCGGTTCTAGCATAAGCAGGGGACAAGCACTCGAAAGCTTTGTTGCATCAAAAAATTCTCCGCGTCACGTGACCTTCACGAGTATCATTTTATATCAAAAGAATAGCTTGATAATCTCTAAAACCTTGACTGAGCGAAAATACTCCGCACTAGTTTTGATCCATGTTTTTGTTAATGCGAACTTTTTCTTTGCTTGATTTGGATGAGTCAAAAGTTATCTACCATTGTAAATTTGGACAATTGTTAGGCACGCTCCATTAGCACTAAATCTTGAAGGAACTTATATTGGACATAAACACTGGATAAAAGCTGCGCTTCTCAAAAAACATTTCCCGGTCGTTTTAGATTCCGGTCCCCGGAATACGACCCAAAAGTAAATTAGCTCCTTCTCCGACTCAGGTCTTTCATGTGAATCGAAATCGATAATTTTTCTTTGAGATCATTAACTTTTTCAAAAGTTGTTACAGAAGCCATTTTTCCTCAAATTTTCCTAATGGCTGTCAAATTACTAATAACTACCAAATTAAAATATTTACTATCAGTTTTTCACCTTGAATACTTTTACAAATCTTAGTTTTTATCAAGCGCTGACTTATATTTGCATCTTATCAACATCAAAGTTTAAAATTTGTTAATTTGTCGTGAAAACTTATTATTTGAGCTGATTTGCTCTCGCTTTGTGGTTTATTTACTTACTGATTTCTGACGCGAAAAGAAATCGGTGGGCTTATTCCTTCCCACAGACGTTTAGAGATTTTTAAAAGTGAATCTCCATGGGCCCACTTTCGTGTAGTGAAATGGCCAAACGTCATTTACGGGGTGCCTTAGGCTCCCTGGCAGTATACGGAGACCAACTGCCCTCCAAATGGAATCCCTATTATGATAAATACCTTTACTTAGCGAGAGACCACATGCATGATCCATGCGTATGGCGAAGTCAAGATTGTCTTTGCCTATCCCTCTGCAAGGTGATAATTACATCTGTCACCGGTCTACAGTTTGCCTGCGAAACGTAAAAATAAGGCCTATGCCGAAAACATTTTTACATCGCAAAACTTTCAGAGGTTAGTTCAGCTTAGATTTTAAGTCTTTTATGATTCTCAATCATAATTTGTTTTTCAATTTTTATTGAACCGGTTTTCGCTTGATAAAGACTATTCATAAGATCATAATTACTACTATACTACTGTCATTGTTGTTTGTAAGTAACCCTTTACATACCTTTTGTGTCGTTTTTGTTTGAATTTCGAAGGAGTCGTTTTCGCGTTTGGGCCCATCCTTCAATTTTCTTATTCGTCATTTTTTGGCGATGTTATTTCGTTATGATGAAATCGTTTCGTAGCACATCGCAAGCCCAACTGTGTTGCGATTTTTCAGGCAGTTTGCGCTCAACACGTTTCATCTTGGATCAATGTCGAATCCTTTCTGCTTGCTTATTCCTTTTTGTTCTCTGCCCTTGAAGTGACTTCGAGCTTTTTATGTGGAAAATCCCGTCTCCAAGCTAGCTAATTCTGTCGTGTTTTCGTTAGTTGATCAGGGTTATTGTTTCCTCGGCTCCACATCGAGATCGACATTGCTTTTCGCCCGCACCAAAGGTTGTTGATTCCGAACATCCCGTGTTCCAGTGTCCACCGCTGCGCAGGTTTTTGCCCTTGCGATTTCCGGGATTCTGTGCATCAAACGTGTACGTTGTTGATGGACTGAAAATCGCCCTCGAAAAGCCCAAGCAGAGTTCATGTTGATGATTCCAGTCGGCTGTATCGTTTCGAATATTTCCATTATTTCTAAAAGTTCCATTCGTTAACTCTACCGTGTAATTTGGTAAAATTTAAGTGTAAACGGATACGGATCTAAAGTTTCAGTACAATGAAGATGGTTTCATCGCGCCAGGATCGGGCGGCTTCTTCTTTCCTAAAGCAGGCGGGATTCGAGACCCTTAGGGTTGATCAGACCAGGTCAGGTTTCGCGCAGGTGGCTAAGTGCAGGGCTTCCAACTCACTCCCACAATTGCCAAAGTCGCTCGCGCCCGTCGATTTGAAAGTATCACTCATTGCAGAAGCGCAATTTTTGCTCACTTCTTTGAATGTAGATCATCCGCTTGATTCGATTATGATCCAATGTGCCGAAATTTTTGTTATTTTCCGTAAAAGCAGTCGCAAGCGACTGTTACCTATTTAGTCCATGTAAAGGTTTTTCGAACTGCAGTTTTTAATTGACTGAAAGTGATATCATCATCGTCAATTCCAAGTAGGCGTGTCATCTCAGCGTATTCTTGTTGATTGCAGTTCTTCATTGTCATAACCTGAAGAATGCAAACCGCTTCGGTGGCCCTTGGGTCCTTTCCTGTTGTTGTTTTGTATTTCGAGCAGAGACGCAAGAAGAACCGCATAAGCGTTTCATTTTGGCCGCGAGTCATCCTCAGCACATCCGTTGCCGTCGCTGATCTGGAGGGACCCAGAAGGGCTCCGACGGAATCCACAAATGATTCGAAGTCTTTGCGTTCGCTATCTTCTATGATTTCGTCGATGTAACGATCTCGAGGTCGAAGCGTCATGATGAGCAAGTTCATCATCTGTTTGTCAGACAGCCCAGACTCGCGAGCGTATTTGAAAGCACTCTTGTTTCGGTTGAAATGTTCCCAGAACGTCAGGTTCGGCTCAGTCCAGTTCCGAAGTCCATATTTTTCCGGGCTTGATATGATGACTTTGTCGGGATCCCGCTTCGGCAATTCTGTTCTTTTGTGTCCTTGCTCACTGTCTGAGAGAAAGGTGTTCGTCTGAGTCCCTCTTGTGTTTTTTCCGCTGGTTTCAGGCTCAGGATCAGTGAGCGGGGCATCGGGGTTAGTCTTGGTAGATTTGAATTCGTTGTTTCGAGAAGACATTTTTGGGTTTCGCAGTCTAAATAAGGAATCCATAGTTAATATGTCTTTTCTTCCTTTTTGTTTATCTTTGCAAGCATGAAATTTGGTCAAAGAAATGGCGTTAAACGGTTGAAAATTGTAAAAGACGAAATTCTTTGTTGGTAAAGCTGTTGTTGCTGAAGCCTTCTTAGCTTAATGAGGTAGTTAGGCTTAATAAATAATGTTAATTTACATTAAAGCATCAACTTAGCTATCCCCGTCGGTGACTTAGTTTTTCAGGAAGCTTTGCTGAAAGGGGGATTTTACGCGTATTTGAGCTTGTCGGGAAGGGGAGGTTTCTTTGTGGCTGGCCATTGATTGCGAACGCTCGTTGTACCCGCCGTTATTCTCGCTGCGCCTCGTATTCAGATGCGAATTGGCGGATTCGATGGTCAGTTGTACGACAAAGTTCACAGTTATCCAGGTTTGAATTGAGCAGCAGAGACCAGGTCCGTTCATTGTTGATTTTTCTAAAGAAAAACCTTGCCGTTTGCTTTTGGGCTGCGTAAAGAGAAATGTAGTTCGTCCGGATGCGGCGAAATTCAATTGCGATGATAAAGTGCCATTCTAGCAGCTCATCAAGCGTAGTTGGCGCAGGGCTGGTTTCGAGGATTCTTTCAAGATTTCTCAGAGCTGTTCTTGGTGAATAATTTGGCAGGGCTGAAGAGTTAGCCGTTCTTTGAATCATCACTACGATTGAGCCGATAATTCCGTCACTTTCCGATTGATGGCCAATCGGGTATCGTTTGCCGGCGAGTGCGTCGGGAATCAATTCGAGATACATTTGTTTGATTCTAGTCGTAACGTTGCTGCCTTGTTCCACACTCATTATTTCTGGTCTTAATTGTGTTGCAATCGTATCTGGTTTTGGCGGCTTCTATTGTGGAGCTTGAAAATCGCGAAAATTCTTTTTTTCTGTGTCTTCTATCTCGGGATCGGCGGAAATGGCGCAGATTTCGGATTTCCAAATCGTAATTACCCATATTCGTTGCGCATTCAGCCATGACTGCTTACATTCGTAGAATCAGGTGCTATTTTTGTTGACAACAATGATTGATCGGGAATCGTACCAACGGTCATCAATCAGGATCGGAGCAGCAGGCGGGCAGGTTCGTCAATACTTCTGACACCAATGTTGTAATATGCTTCCTCATTTATGACTTCTATGTACTAAGCTAAGTTCCTGCTAAGTAAGCATACTACTTTTGGATTGACGATAATTCGGTGTTTATTTGTGATTCTGGGGCCAGGCCAGAATGAGGAAAATGGGCATGGTCAGGCACTTTTATAGGAGCGCTCGCTCACAAGTCTCACTTCGAGTTCGACTATATTTCTGAGGTGCAGTTCCGAGTTGAGTGATGAGCTCGCGCTTCGCAGTTGGTGCTCGCGCTCGCCCCTCAGCTTCGGATTCTGTGAGCTTGGCTCGAGACTCGACTTTCGTTTTTGTAATCATAAGTTATGGACCATAACAACAGTTTAAGAAAGCCCAGAAACTTGGCTTTCATTTAGGCACCATATCAAGGGGTTTGGGTTATGCCCGCAGAGCAATCTATGGGACCTGAAGATCCAAAATAGGCACTAGAACTCTTCAAACTATTTTTTCGAAGGCGGGCCGGCCTCTATTACGGACATTCTAGCGCCCATAGGTGGCCAAAAACGGCTTTGCACTAAGATTTCTAGGGCTTTACTGAAAGCTCAGAGCCTGAGCTTTCTAAATATATGAGTTTTGATGGCTTTAGAGGCCGGCCCGCCTCCGAAAAATAGTTTGAAGTATTCTAGTGCCTATTTTTGAACTTTAGGTCCCATGAATTGCCTTGCGGGCATAACCCTGAACCCCTTATATGGTGCCTAAATGAAAGCCCAGTTTCTGGGCTTTCTAAAACTGTATCATATGACCCTCCAACTAAGTTGGAAAAATGGGCCGAAATTTAGTCCGGTAAGCCTACTCATAACAGCATCAATATACGGATACCCCGTTTTTCCTTCTTTCCAGGCTTTCAAATGATCAGCATTTTCGTACCAATCGATTTGGCGGCAGATTCGATTGCCAGTCATCTTAATAAGATTATTATTATTATTAAATAAATTATTTATTTCTGGCGAAAGATCTTAATTCGACGTCCTTACCTTGGTAAAATTATTGACTTGCGACGCAGCTACGTAAAAAAATTCTCGATAGATCATCTGTCCGCGTAGGATGATGGTCTTTTCCGCAGGGAGCTTTTCGGCGGATTTCCAGAAGAAACGGGTGGAGATACATCCGTAGTTCTGGTAAGGAGAGAGGTACGTCGTGTGCGGAAGTTTTGTTTTCACCCCTTGATTGAAACTAAAGAAGAATTTTTCATAGCTTCTTATAATCAAAATGAATACATTATTTCGAGTGTGAGTCATTAGAAAATTACCAACAAAATAAACGATAGCTCCAGGAAATTTATATCAAAAATATAAATTTTTCGATCAAAATTTCTATTTCTGGTTTTCCAATTGAAAACCGATTGTCTAGAAAAGTCAGATCTCTTACCCATTGAGCGTAAAAAGTGTCGAATCCGCCATTTTTGCCTTCAAGACCTTGAGCGCTTGTCGTTCTCCTCCCTTATAAATCGTCAGCGATCTGGGAGCACTGTGACCCCAAGCAGCAATCTTCGGAATTCCATACAAGCTATCATGATTTTCCACGGCTCTGGGAAGGCAGTTTTTGAAGTGTTTGGCAGTTACTGTCGGGCAGGGTGCTCCTGGTTGTTCCATGTCGTTGATGGTTTCGTAGAATTCTTCCATGGTCAGTGGGATCTTTCCGCCGTTTTTGGCAATGACTTCGTCTGGGTCGTAAAGAGTGTGGCCGAGAAAGGACTTGGTTTTGATTTCCATTCGATGGACGACCTTGGTGATTTCTTCATCTCGTTCTCTAAAGAACGGTTGAAATTTTTAACTAAAAAAAGAAGAAATAAATTTTCTTTGCTGACCTGTAAAAAATCTCCGCATCTTTCATCCAGGTCATTTGGGTGATTTCATTTTCTTTGCAAAACTTCTTGATAACTTGGGTCGCATCTCCCGTAAGCACATACAGTCTTGTCCCGCATTTCTTCAACCCTTCGTCCAAATCTTTCAAGCAGTCGATCAAGAATCGTGTCTTGATTGCTGAAAACTTTTCTTTTTCCTTTTGCCAGCTGACGTCGACGATGTAGATTGGGAAAACAACCTGAAATCAATTTGAAAATTGATGATGAGCGTTTTTTTTATTGATTAACAAGTTCTAAACAGACCTGACTTGTTGTTACGGCATGGTACAGTGCTTCGTTGTCGTGAAGCCTCAGCCCCTAGAAGAATGATTAGTTACGTGAATTTCATCGATTGATGAGAGAAGTAGGTCAATTATGAAAGCACAATATTGATTCAATGACAGTTTCCCGATTTCTAGACAGAAAGAATATGAACAGAGATTCCTTATTCGACTCGAATCATTCGACAAAAATAATGAAATAAGGAGACATTAAAACGTGTTCTAGCTCTACATCTAAAACGATAAAGGAGTACCATTTAAAATGACCCATTTTAAAGAATTTTGACAAAACCCTTACCCTAGCTCTACCCTTACCTTAACCCTAACCCCAACCAAACCCTTACCCTAAAATGACAACCCTCTCAGGAGTAATAAATTTGTTAGAATAGAGCCGTCCCAAAATTTTTAATATGCTTGAGAACCATACCTTACGAAACCAATGAACAGTTCGATGAGTTCTCTCCATAAAAGTTTCTACCGCCTTTTTTCAATAAATTTTCTTCTTTTCTTGCTTCCCTTTTCACCTGGCGCCATCAATCGACGGCGTTACGTACGCGCTGAAAATAGCATGTTACAGCATAATTTTTTATATAAAAATTATATAAGTATTATGAAAGTGCAAATTACAATAATTATCCATAATTATTGACCAAAAAGACTTACCTACTCCTGTTTATAAAATGACGATATTCATCGTTTTTTTCTCTTTTTTTTGCAAAATGTCTCAAGAAAAGATCTTTCTTCGATCGTCAATAAAAAAATGATAAAAAAATAGACAGAGAATCAAGTTCGAATAAGCGTAGGTAAAACTGTGTAGGATAAACTAAAAAGTAGAGTTGAAATTCGCGAGATCGGGATTTCGATTTGAAATCAAGGAAGACTCTTTTTCAGATTCATTTAGGCCCTAGATTTTTGGGTTAAGCAAAGTATGATTTATTTTTCTTTCATTTGCACATGAAACTCGTGAGCCAATTACAGTCAGCATCCTCTCTAAAAAGCAAGATTTTCAAAAAGTCGTCGAAAAGTGTTCCCTTCATGGTATCTTTCATGGAGACCGAATGTCTATCTTGATCCACGTGTAACGAAAAACAGCAATTCAAAAGAGTCAATATCTCAAGTGCTTTGTACAGATTCATTTTCTATCTTTGTCGACATGAATCTCTCTGGTTTTGTCTCTGGCTAAATATAAAATATTCACCGTTATCACCTTCTTGCATCTGCTTTATGTGCATTTTAACGGTATTTTGACGCTGATTTAATTACTTTTCCTACGTTTTTGGGTCAATTTTGAGTTTCTTTTCTTGAAAACCTAATAAAAAAAATTTTTTGCTGCCCATTAGTAAGGCATCATTTCTTTCAAGTTGAAAAAACTCATAATGTGATAGCTTTTTTCTCCTCACTATTGGAGATTTGTTCCGTCTTATTTCCAGAAGTAGGTCAAGAGTGAACGGTTAATATTGATTTATTGAAAGTTTCACAATTTTTAGACAGATTTTGTTGCATATAATGATGTAACTGATATTTGCTTCATTTTTTATAAAAATTTTTATGAAAAAATAACACGACTAATTTTTTCCTATCGCCGTCGAAAATTCTTATTTGCGATTCCTACTGACCCAGATTGCGAATATCAATTATGCCAAGGATAAAGCAAAATGACTTACTTCCGCGCGTCAGATAGCAATGATAAGTTTGCAACTCTACGGGCAGTCCTGTCAGAACTTTGGTTCATTTCAATTTATGCGTGTTTATATTTGCAAATATGTTCAAGTGTCGACTCTTTTGATTTTATAAGCGCCATATAAAACCGCCGATTTTCGATGCATTTCGCCAGAGGCTTTTTGAGAAAAAGATGAGAAGAAAAACGATCGGAATTTTTCTGGTGCTATTCGGTGGAGAGAAACGAAATTAAAACCTTAGTTAACAGCGTTTAGGGATATCATGTCTTATTGTTGGAATCGTAACCCCAATAGTCGTCCACGGCTCGTCCAAAACAACAGGTCAATCAACGCAAACTATGACAGGTTCTTCACCTACAACGCCTTCAACAACGATTTCATCGACGAACACATCACGTTTGACATCAACATCTACTTCAACGACAAGATCAGCTTCCGATAAAACAACAATAGCCACCATTATATCTTCGACAACACCTACATCTTCAACCAGCACGACATCTTCTACAACGATGACATCTTCATCAACGACAACATCTTTGACGACGACAACATCTCCAGGATCTACGACATCTTCGACAACGACGACATTTTCAGCAACCACGACATATCCGAAAACAACGACGTCTTCGTCAACCACGACATCTATGACGAGCACTACATCTTCGACAATGACGACATATTCATCTTCTTCAACATCTTCGACAGCGACGACATCTTCTTCCAGCACGACATATTCGACAGGCACGATATCTTTGACGACCACGACATCTTCAAGAACTACTTCGTCTTTAGCATCCACGACCATTTCGACGAACACGACATTTTCGACATCGAAAACTTCATCAACCACGGAATCTTCGAGAAGCACAACATCTTCGACAACAACGACATCTCCATCAACCACGACATCTTCAACAACTTCTACAACTTTAGCATCCACGACATCTTCGACAACCACTACCACTCCTGGATTTGATCGGCCTGAAGGCCAGTATGACTTTGATCTATGGCCGAACGGCGCCACAGTTGTAGACATGCACTGGGGGTATTCAAGATCTCGTAAACTGCACCTTAATTAATCTTTCTAGCTGCACGTGACGTATGATTCACATCCAGATACTGACCCAGCAGCAATTAGTATTCGAGAAGCAAGAGATTGCCTCATTTTCAAGTCGACAGAAGAGATGTATAAATTCAAAATTGAGGTGCCCGGAAAGAATACATACCTCCGGGAGAATCTCAAGAAGGAACTGGTTTATAGCGATGGAGAAGACGATGGCACTATTTTTTTCTTTGAAAAACATGTCGAGGGACGTGAACATTAATATTACGAAAACAACATATTTTTAGGGAGAAGACGAATGGTTTTACATAAAATCCGCTTCCAACTTATTCTGGAAATCAAGAACTACGGAAGGTAAACATTTTTCTTCCGTCTATCTCAGGAAAAAAATCAACAGTGATGACAAACTGAGATCTCAATATCTTATCAAAAAATGTACGTAACGTATCATATATCAACCTCCTTCTGCTATTGAAATAAACATCTTCATAATTAGTGATTCAATCAGCGATTTTCGAATTCATTTATTAATCAGTCTAGCACATAGTGAAAAATTCTCGATGCCTTGAATTTTATAGATCGATAGCTTCTTTCTCCTCGTAATCGTGATCCTTTTCTTCTGCACTTTTGTCAGGAAATTCCACGACGAAATTGACCCACAAGAATCCAACGATGCTCCAAACTTAATTCTTGTTGAACAATCTTTTTTGACATGCTTACAAAAAGAAAAGACGGGAATAACATCTGGGATAGAAAAGAACTTGAAAAGACCAACAAACATGAAGCTCGTAGATAATTGCCCAGTTGCGCTTCCAATTGTGATCATGCAAATGTCTTTTTATTGTTTTATATAATCTCGAAGATAATTTATGATATTTCAAAGTTATGCGTGAAGAATTTTGTTCTTTAAAAGATCAAAAACTTATTTATACCTATATAAAAGTCGTCAATTATTGCTATTTTATGTAAGCTTTATATAAGCTCATATGAAAGCTCATAATATTGGTTACTTTGAAAACAACTCTTGAGTAAGTCCTCTATCAGCCGGATAATTCCGCTCTTTTCTGAAGTCATCCACCTAAACAGCGTCAAAATAAACCTTCAGGAACATTCTTACCATCATAAACGAAACAGTATAAATATAGAAAACCACGATGCCCAAACAAATGCAAATGAAGCCAAAAACAAAAGTCGTCCTAACAAAGAAAAAAACTCCAGAAGAAATTCCGAAGAGCGCATAAATTGCGAGCAGGATCGTTTTTCGCTCGAATTTGTCAAAAATTTTCATGAAATTGAAAATGATTCCAGAGAGGATTGCGGATAAAGGGAGAAGCGTCATGATCATGGCGCCAAAATTCACGTTTTCAGTGTAGATTTCTGGGTTTTCTTCGATGGTCAGGTTCATTTTGTTGAGCATGACTTGACACTAGGGTGGGCAAAAGCTAGGGTTGCGGGGGCCCTCGAGGTTTTGCTTGCTTGTGATTGGCTCAAGAATAAAATTATGGTGTCTTATTGGCTGAAAGGACCCCCTCTCCAAAAAAATGTAAAACGACTTTAAGGGTTTTGCCCACCCTAGTCTTGAGCATACAGTGTAGTCCCATAAAACCAATATCCTGGGCAGACTACCCAGAAAATTGCAGCTATTCCGACAGTCTTGGCGATCTTTCTCGGAGGCATCAGATAATTCCGAACAGTTTTTGCAAAAGAAATTTCCGACAAATCATCGTCCAGCTCTTTCGGGTTCTTTTCCGGGACTGATAGACAATTCACAACAGTCAAAATCGGAAAGACTCCAAGAAAGATGACCATCGCAATTTTTCCATACAAAAAGGTTATCATATTGCCGAGTAAAGATCCGAGGCCGCCAAATGATGAAGAAAGCGTGAAAATTTGAGTCTTTTCTTTTTCGTTAAAAACGTCAATTGCTCTTGATGAAAGCGGCGTTTCCAGCGAAATCATCAGCGCATCAGATATGAAGCACGCTGCATAAAGAACGATCCCAGCATACCCTGCAATCTTCTCAAAATAAACCAAAAAGACCCCAAGCCAAACCAGCACCATCACAGCTCCATAACCAACGATAAACGGTCTTCGTCTTCCAACAGACAGTTGGCATCGATCGGAAAAATACGAAACCAGGATGACCTAGATAGAGTTATGTAAGTAAATGGATCAATATATGATTCCAACGAGGAGAATCGCGCTGAAGCCGGAAACGAAGGTGAACGAAGCTGCCTTTGACTCCGTAAAACCGAGGTTTGTTAGCCAAGGAATGCCATTTGTGCCTCATAGTGGGTTAGCAAGGGATGAAAGTCCGAGAATTTTTTCCGGTCGGGGCCTCGTATAACATGGCCCGATTTTTAGCTTGCTCCCATTTCCTATTGTCGCCCAAACCGCCTCTCTTCCTGAAAGAACGGACAGGTAAAAAGCCTTGCTCAAAGTCGACCGATCCTCGATCATCATCAAATCTCTCTGATTTTAAGAGAGATATATATCAAGTCCTCAAAAAGACGCTTTTGTCATGAAATGACCGGAACCCAGCATAACAGTTTTTTCTTGTGATTCTTTACATTTCAATACAATGATATAGTTATGCTCAGCTAGCATGACCGTTTCGCTCATTCAACCGCTCTAAGAGCTTGTCTACTAGACACGAAATTCCATCAAGGGAGTAAGCGTAATTATTTGAAAATATGAGCCGTTCAAGAAGCCCCTTGTTGG